GGGTTGACGAAAATGAATCCACGGGATCTTCGGGTAGGCGGCGCAGTCCCGCTAATGATACTACCTTGGCGGAGTTCCAAAAAAGACAGGAAAGGAAAAAGGTCGAGAGAAGCCGTGAAAAAGGGCCCAAGAAATAACCAGAGAAAGAACGTTTGGTCCTTGGCTCCTCCCAACCTAATCCGAAGAGACCGGACAATACAAAGCCAGTAACAGACAAGGAGGATTTGCGTCCACCCCGGAATACTAGAACATCCAAGAAGTACTTGGAGGACCAAAAGTTAGCCAAGATCTAGGCTGAGCTTAAAAAACTGCTGATCAAAGTCAAAGGATGAAGAAGTATGTCCTAGAAGAAACAAGGCGCCGCTGTCTCCTCGGTCTACTAGACCCAACTGAGCAAGAGTTGGCTAACCTGATTAACGAGAAAGAAGCCCACCGCACCTCAGCTCGTCTCGAGGCAAGACAAGGTAAGAGAAAAGTTCAGGAAGGGGAGGACCATCAGAGTTCCCAGATCACGAGGGCTTCCAAGAAGATCATTCAACCACCACACGAGACACCGTTTACTGGAATGCCTTCAGGAAGAAATACCCTACCTTCGATATAGCCCTCGAAGAGTTTGATGCGATCTATAGACGCAAGGGTCCTCATGAACACTACCAACGAGAGTCCCTAAGCGTCAAATTCATGGGAGAAGGGGAGTGGAATCCTCCCCCGAGGAAAACCAATCTCCAAGATCAGTTGGGACCTAATTGGCATCGGAAAAGTCCTCAAGAAGAAGATTACAGACCCTTCCATAGGCAAACTCGAGATAATCACGATGTTGAAGAAGAACAAGGACGGGAGAATAACCATTATCTACAGTATTCACCTCATAGGAAACATCAGCACAACCATTACGAGCAACTACCACCTTACCATCTTCGAGGTCAGAGGCAAAACGAGACAATCCGGGACGAGATGAGAAGAATTATTAGAATGGTTGTGGACCGGAGTCCCTTTGTGACGGGTTTGTCGAGACCCGCAAAAATTAATCTGAATTCCAAACAGACCAAAAAATTAATTTGTAGAAATAGTGGAATCAGGTCGAATCCCAAGAGAGCCTACTTTTAACACTTGGCTTTATACAAATGCAAACTGGGGGGGATTTTTCTTTCTTCAAAATAAAATGACAAATTAAACTAAATAGAATTGCAGAGAAAAATAATAATAGAAAAGTTTGGTTCAAGGAATGAATTCAATTCTATTATAGATCACTGACTAAAAAGATTATTTTTCTACCATTCAAGCATTCAACCGTAGGCTTAATAGGATAGCCGTAAAAAAACCTTATATTTTCCAAAAATATTTGACCAAGCCCAACACATAATCAAAACTTAGTATAATTTAACTGGGCACGATAGCGTTCTATGTTAAAATATACTAGCAATAAAAACTTTGAAAATTTAGTTGAACAAAAAACTAAAATAATTGAGATAGCTGCAATTAGAATGTTTTTGTCCTATTGATCCCCTAATTAGACTAATTATGCACATTCAACGTGTCACTACCAACATGCATAATCTGCTAATGTGCTACTCAGTGCCAAATGTTTAAGACGATAGCGCAGCATAAACAATTTGGTAGCAGTAGGAAAAAAATAATTGATTAAATTGTTAGATTAATCAAGTATTTACTCTCATAAAAAGAAATCAAAATCAATAGATACTTGAATTAAAGTAGAAAAGAAATAAAGTGAAACTTGTAGTCTCACATATAATATAAATGAATAAAATTCCTTGAACCAAATGAAGAAAACTAGCCACTCATGGTGACTACAAACATCTTAAAATGTTTGAGGAAAATTAAAAAAATAAAACTAAAAAGAGAATGGTGGCCAAAATGGGGGAAAGGAAATAGCAGCTTAATGCTTGCTACAGGAGGGGTGTTTTTATCAATTGAGGAGACCACTATTTATAGTGCATAATGGCTGAAAAAATCCCAGAAATGGGAGTAAAATCCAAATCAAATCTCATCCTAGTTTTCCACTAATGTTTGCATGATTCTCTACAACCGAATATGAGATCAAGATTTGGATGGTTGACTTGGTAAAAAGAATCTTCTAGGAACCCATTTGTGTGTATTTTTTGCAGCTGGAATTTTCTTCATCTTTTAACTCCGTAAAACTTTGTAAAAGGGCGTAAAAATCCAAAATGGTCCATCTTTTCACTTTTTGGTACCTAACAACAAAGTCATAACAAATTCCATTAATAATCACTAAAATATAACCAATTTAGGACTAGAAGATTATAATAAAATGAATTTTATTATAATTATCACTTTATACTAGAAATTCGAGACGAGCTACCCTAGGACTTTGACCTTCCCAAGGACTTTACCAAATACTTAGGAGATACTGATGTCTCCTAGGGGTTACATGGATATGTCCATTTCATGAGGATCAGGAATGCGTCCTTAAACTTCATGGCTAAAGCTCTGCCCTCCTATCTGACTGGATAAGCGCAGCGATGGTTTGACAGTTACCAGAAGGGAGTATAATCAATTTTGAGAACTTATCCATCAAATTGACCACTCATTTCTTTTGGAGTAAGCAAATCACCAGGATGTCCATTGATCTCTCAACGATCAAGGAGGGTCAACACGAAAGTCTCTCGGATTTCCATCGGCGCTTCATCCGACAAATTCTGCAAATTGATAACATAGACGAACGAGATGTTTAGAATGGGTTCATCCAAGGACTCAACCCAATGGGGAAATCCTCGATGTTAAGGGTAAAACTTTCAACCAAACCTCCTAGGAATTCTCAGGAGATGTGGACTAATGTGGAGAATCATATTCAACGAGAGCATACACTCAAGCGATCACAGGAGTCCTTCACGGCCATCGGGGCGAGGAATAACCCCAAGATTTCCTGGAAAGTAGAACAGCATTGCCTAAGCTCGATAGACAGTTGACCCCTTTAACCAAGCCTTGTCGGGAAATCCTTCATATCCATAAGGATGAACTGCCGACACCAAAGCCCTTGACTCCTAATCCGCACAGATTGACAGAACAATATTATGAGTACCACCAAGATTATGGTCATGATACTGAGAAATGTCGAGAATTAAAGAATGAGATCGAGAATGGTGTTAAGTCTGGGAAATTTCAGCAATATGTGCAAGAATCTTCTCGACAAAGAAATAGCAAGCCTTCCTAGCCAGCTTCTCGAAGCTTTCTTAGATGAAGTTTCCGAGGCACTCGAGGAGAAAATCGAGGAAATAATTGGCAACCAAGGAATAAAACACAGTAACCTCCCCAACAAGCTATCGGAGGAGCACCTCAACCGATTCAGCAGGTTCCTCTGGCGGATCCTACCAAGCAAATTACTCATCAGGTAAGAGCCATTTATGGAGCCCCTCTCGAAGTTTTATCTACCACAGCGATGAAAAACTCAGTACGGATCATCAGCAGGTTCCCCTTGGCGGATCCTACCAAGGGGACGGATGCCATAGTCTTTACTGACAGTGACGTGGTCCCAGATATTTGTCCTTACAGCGATGCTATGGTTATCAAGGCAATAATCAGAAACGTACATGTAAGCCGAGTCTATGTGGATAACGGCAGTGCAACCGACATCATATATAGCAATTGCTTCATGAAGATGGATATCCAAAACCCCGATATTGGCCCAGCAACATTGCCACTAATGGGTTTCTCAGGTCATACCATTATCCCAATGGGAATTGTAAGACTCCCCATCACGGTAGGGACGCATCCCAGGATGGTTACACTAACTATGGATTTTGCCTTGATAGATGCACCCTCGCCGTTCAATGTGATTTTAGGACGACCATGGATGTGCCAAGCTCGAGCAATTTGGTCTTCATATCACTTGGTAATGAAATTCCCAACTGAATATGGGGTTGGAGTGGTGCTAGGATACCAGCGCAGTTCTCGAGAATGCCTGCTCATATCAATCAAAACTGGGAATAAGACCATAATGTCTAACACGAGCACTGCCATGTCGGGATGTTACTCGATCCAACAGACAGCGAAACACAAAGATCACGACGCTGGTGATTTACCCTCACTTAGCAGTAAAACCCAAGAGCTGGTCCTCAACGAGAAGGACCCTTCTAAGACCATCTAGATAGGGGCATATTTGCAAGGAACGTTGCTAGCCGAGGTAATCGTCTTGCTACGCGAATACCGTGATATATTCATTTGGTCACCTACAGACAAAACAAGAGTACCACGAGATGTTATTGAACATAAGCTGAACGTCGATCTCAATGTCAAACCTGTGCAACAGAAGAAAAGAATATTCGCTCGAAATTGCAACGACGTCATCAATGAAGGAACGTTGAAGCTGGTTCGCTTCAACATCTTCCGTGAAGTTCTCTGGCCAACATGGTTAGCTAATCCAGTCCTGGTGCGGAAACCTGATAATTCTTGGGGCATGTGCCAAGATTACACGTACCTCAACAAGCATTGTTTTAAGAATTATTATTTCTTACCAGTCATCGATCAGATGGTCAAAAGTATCACAGCGTATAAAAATATTTTAGCGATCCTTCGACCTCAACAAGGATTGCCAAGATTCTGCAGGGTATATATATATATTCTGATTGCTTTCGTTGTCTTTTTCGTTTGATTGTCTCCCAAGCTTGTATAGGAAAGTTTTCATATATTTATCATGGAGATTATGTTTTTCTTATCTTATTCTTACGAATAGAAACTTGTAGTTCATTGTTTAGTAATCTCTACAAGAATTTTTTTTTTTTTTTAAAAAAAAGGCTATAAATTAGACAATGTGTAGTCAAACTCACCCTAACTATATCTTGGTCCATCACAAACTCAGTGTCATTTTAATTTGAGAATTGTAACAATTAAATAAATAGAGAACCCGAGAAAATTTCTACCAAATTTAAGATTTTTTTTCATTATGATTGAAACGTTATCGATATATAATCAACATGGGAGAAATTAAGACAACCTTTTTTTCTTTTTTCTTTTTTTTTTTTGGCTTTTGTTTCAAAGAGGGAAATCAAATAGAGGGATCAAAGTTGCCACACCAACTTCTTTTCCTCTCCTGCTTCCCTCATCTTCTTCTTTACAGCGTACCTCTCCTTTTCAGAATTAGAAGGGTTGTTTCTTTGATTTGTGTAAAGGAAAAAATAAAGAACTTTCATGGTACAAATTATCTACTTCTCTTAGCAATATACATTATCAACTCAAACCCTCAAACAGTTAAGCTAGTGGCTCTCTACAGAATATTTCATCATCAAAATCATCATTGGTAGAATTTTCCTGACATAGCAAACTGTTCTCTTGCATTGAATTCAAACCTACTGGATCCCAAACCATGGGAGGCGCATCATGATCAACACCTTGTACCGAACCAGGACTTATCTCAACATTGTTTTCAGGGTCATCTGCGGCATCGTGGAGCAGCATATCCCCTGGCTTGTTATCTTCTTCCATGCTCACTGCCGGATCAGTGTTCAGATCAGAGGTCAAATCGAGACCTGATGGTTCCCCATTCTCAGGTAAAGCAGCAACGGTAACAGTCTCCTGATCTCCAGATTCATTCGCTTCTTTCTTTTGCCTCTTCCATTTCTTAGTGGACGAAGTCCCATCATCCTCGAAGTCTTCTTCTTCCCGTTCCCTGTGTAGGTATTTCCATAATTTCCTCTCCCCATCGAACTGCACACAAGGATCACGTTCATAATGTAGACGGTCCAATGCTCCGCTAACCACTTGGTTTACTTGGGCATCCGAAACATCTTCCACAATGTACTGAGAATCTCTAATCAGAGAGCACACATCAGCCCTGGTACCAATGCTACCAGGCAACCTAGCAGCAGCATCTCTAACAAGACAGAGAATGGTTACATGCGGAGGACGATCACGCTTTAGCATAAAATGGTCCCGGGCTTTTGATGTTGGCTTTCCACCACACCTTCTCAACGGAGCAACAATGGATTTTTTACCATCAAATGCCGTGTAAGCAAAAGCTCTGTCAGGGATTGAATACCGAAGGACTTCCTCTTTGCGGAAATAAGATCTTACTTCTTCAGAACTAGGGCCTATGGTGGCAAGACTCTTCTGAGCTCTCAGGTCCTTGAACCTTTCCTTCTCATCTAAATTAAATTCCATAAGAGTCGAGGGAGGAGCAGGCAGACTACCTATTTGCTGGAGAGTCTCCTGACCATTTTTGAGCCAATTGGCAAATGAATCAACCAGCTTAACAACCATTTTATGAGGAAGACCCCATGCATCTGGTGATGTCAGCTCATCAGGAGTCTCGAGATCTGGTGGAGTAGGAATTACAGGACCAATCCAGGACCAACTTTTGTTTGTCTTCTCATACACTACAAGTGGCTTCCAACCTTTTGCTCCTAAAGGTGCTGTTCTGGATGAAAATATCTTCAAAACCCCTCGGACCAAATCTTGAAGTGGTTCTTGAGTTTCAAGAATGCTGGGATCTCCAGGATTCGTTTTAACACGGTTAACAATTTCCTGCACAGTGAGAGAAGCACCATTGGGTTGTGACGGAGCTTCTGACGCATTCACATCCACATCAGCATTTGGATGATTTTCACAGATGGACTGCTCTATATCTTCGCTCTCCTTAAAATTTGCTGTTACCTCACTCTGATCAAGAGGCTTTCCAACCTCTGAAGAATTCTCAGCATGGGGCACCGTCATCGCCATTCGAACTGCAGTCAGAAGATGAATGATCGAGAACGAGAAGCCTGTATGGAAAGAAGGTGTGATCAAAATGAAGGGTTTCTTCTGCGGTTTCGTATCAGCCTCTGCCTCCTCCACTTCCTTTTCTACAAGAGATACTTCATTTCCTCCCTTTTCTAAAGCATCAGTGTCATCAACAGCTTTCCTCTTTCCCCGCTTCCTTGACACATCCGCATCTTCTGTTTGCAGTTGACCATCTGAGAGTAGATAGTTAATATCCTCCCTTTCATCAACGTGAACCCCTTCATCTTTCACTTTCCGCTTCTTACCACCAGAGTTGCATCCAATCAACTGAGGACTAGATCTTTCAAGTTGACCACCAGCATGAGTTTCAACTAATTGACCTTTCTTCCCCAGCCTAGCAGAAACTTTTGCATTCCCTGCCAAAGATTTTATCAGAAGGGAATCATCATCATCAAGATCATTATCCAGTTGAAAACCTGACTGAGGAACCCCATATTCTCTATAAAATTCTCCTTTTCTCTTGTCCAAATTCAGTGCATTAAATGCTGGGACTTGCAGTCTTCCAGTCTGGTCACCTAGGACATGAGCACTCATTCCCATCTGGTAAATTTGTTGCCAATCAACACCACCAGTTAGTCGCCCAGACTCAAAGAAATACCTCTCATTCAAATCACTACCAGAAGCCTGAATTTGACCAATATCGTGCATCTTCCCTTTCTGCTCTGCTCTCCAGCTGGGGTTCCCATTCTTCATCATAGGCTGGTGTTCACTAAAATTGGGAATCGGCCCTGAAAATTGTGACGATCCATCAAGAGTCCACATCCCATCTTTTGCATCCTTCTTCCCATGTTTAGACTTTCTCGAGTCTCGGCCCAATTTCCCACCAGAAACACCACTAGGGAAAGCCCACTTGCTCCTCATCAGAGGATTATCATCCTCATCTTCATCAATCTGCTCTGATGAATCTGATTCGGTTTCATCATTCCAGGGAGATGCTCTTCCGCCTCTGTACTTTGCAGCAGCACGTCCACCATTTTGCAAAGAAGTTTCTCTAACTCTTTGCAGCATCGCCTTCGATTGAGTCTCCATATCATATAACCCATTACTAATTCCTAACTCAGAGGAGTCCCGACCACTTTTCCGCTTCTTGCTTTTGACATTCCAATCTGTGTACTTGCTAGATTGCTCAGCCAGGAAATGACCTCCTTGTTCTTCACCAAGCCAAAAACGGTCATTCACGTCTACAGTTCCCATTTCAGTCCCTCTTAATGCCAATTTTGGTTTCACATATCTCATCCGATCTTCAGCAGGATGTTGCATAAAGTTCCCAAAATTCTGTACACTATGATCATTGACATACGGAATCCTGGAATTAAATGGTTTTGAGGTTAAAACCTTGATGTCTGACAACTGATTGACTGCCTTATTCTTGCCATACATATTTACGCCCATCGAATTGTCAAAATATGCTTCATTCCCCAAGGCTTCATGCTTTTTACCAACTTTCAAATTCCCTGTTCTACCTGAAACCCCTGCTCGCAAGGTACGTTGTTCACGGTGCAGCGGAACTTCATACATTGATTCCCCCTCATCATCAGGAGCTAACATCTGATCACCTCTGCGGAATGATGCCCCAGGATCATAGCCTGACATTCTATTATGCTGAGAAAGGGGCATGGTCCCACTGTACACGGAAGGAAGACCACCAGCTACCTCTTCTGTCAAAGCTGCCTTTGAACCCCCTAACTTTAAGGCACCTTTTTTGTTTTGCTTCCCATGTTTTGTTGATTCCATGGTCTTCTTCAAAGCAAGAGAGTGCACGTCAGAAGCTGAACCCATGCCATATGCAGACTGGCGGTTTAACTTCGGCCCAAGTTTCCGATCCTTCGCCTTCTTACGCCACATGCCATCTCCTGGCTCCTCCATTTCGGACGAGTCACTTTTTAACTCCTCCATCTTCTCATACATCAAACTCTTTTCGCTCCTCACTATGTTCAGGACCTGAAGCTTCTCCTCAATGCTGTACCCCTTACAATTCAACCAAGCATCTTTCATTTGACAAAGATTACTAACCATGGTATTCTGATACTTCCGCAGGAGGTGATAATGCTGTCTCCTCTGGAAGAAATTCAATCCCTGTCTGTACATAGCTACCCTCGGCTCACACAACCCTCCCTTCAACATGTCAAATAATTTATCAATAGGGTTTCCAAAATGCAAATTACTCCCTGAAAAGAGCTCCAGTAATGTCCTGAGAAAGTTCTCCTGGTCCATATCAGGCAAAAACTGAGTAAGGCTGAACCTGTCTTCCTCAGTCAGCACATCATTCCACACATCAACACTCAAAATATCACGCAACCCAGGAAGATCATACAACTCAACCGGGATGCTGCAAGTCTGATCACCAACCTGGCAAAACTCCTCCCCAGCTTCCCCAAATTCAAGTAAGTCAACGTCATCAGAGCCTGCCCCGGAATCACAGTCATCAAAATCATCATCTTCGTCATCATCAGTATCAACGGCACTCAAATTTTTCCTCTGAAACTCCTCATCCTCACTGGACGCCATAGTATTACCGTCCCTCCCATAGGGCGAAAACTCTGAATCAAATCTCGAAACCTTACAACTATTCTTCTCAATCGCCATTCAAAACTACCACCAACACAAACATAACACCCTAACAAAAATTCAAAAAAAAAAAAAAACAAAAACTCAAACAAATCAGACTTAACCAGCTTCAAAAACTCAATTTCAAAACCTAAACAACAGAAAATACTAACCCCGACCAGCATTAAAATTCACAAAACCCATGCCCAAAAACCCACCGAAACAAGATAATCACATTTACCCATGATCAAAAACCAACAGAAAACACGTCCTACCAATCAAAAAAAATTCACAAATACCTCAAAATAAACGATAAAGAAGATGAGATTGGATCGAACCATACCTGGTGGAGTTGACGCCGGAGGCCAGAGACCCAAAAACTGAGAATTTCGGCGAAAAAAAAGGAAGAACAAGAGAGGAGCGAGAATACGAGAGGAAACCCTAGGAAAAGAGGGGAGATAGGGAAACAACAGAAAGGGAGGAAGAAGAAGAAGAGGTGGAGAAATAATAGAGTGTGGAAGGGTGTAGAGTAGGCGAGCAAGGACCAAGCAAGCGCAAAGAAGAAGACGAGTATGTGGAAGGGTTGGGGCCGTTGGATCAAGTGGCGAATGTGAAATTACGTAAAAGGGCATGATGGAGGTCGGGGAAGGAGACGAAGGACACGGGTTCTTTTGCACTTTGCAGAAGGTCATTTTGGAGAGAGAGGAAGTGTTTTAGTGTGTGAGTGTGTGTGAGAGGGAGGCAGATAAAGAAGGACGGGGAAGGAAGGAGGTGGGTTAGTTGGAGGGGAAAGAGCGTTAGAAGGCGTGGTTTTTGTTTGGAGCTTTTGTATTGCGGCATGGGAGTTGTCGTTTTGGGCCTTTTTTCCGCTGTGATCCAAGAAATTACTAAAGGCAAATAAAAAAAGTTCGTAGTAACAAAATTTGGAAAAGTGAATCAACAAAACTATTAAAAATTTACATTTTGTTGTTTATTAATCTCCTTTTTGTTCATTATCATATCATAATGATGAATATTTTGTCTTATTTTCTCTTCATAAATACTACTATAATCATAATGATGAATATATTGATCACTTTTAATACTTTGGGATCACATTTCTACGTAATGATGATCCATAAAACCTGATAATATGACTAAATTACTCTACAATACACCATCACTCCTTTTAATATTTTTTTGACTGATTGCTCATAAAATAAATTTGTTTATTAATTTGCTTCAACCTGTCATCTAATTACTAATTAGTAACTTCTTCTTATTAAGGTCACTCTTAACTTGGAAATCTCTATTAGCAGGCAATTGAACGTGACGTGATGACAATACAACTAATAAATTATCAGTTTTCGTATAAGATATCAACAGTCCACCCTATTGTATTACTATTAAGTAAAATATTTAATGGATTGAAGTATTGAACGGAAATAGCGTATGAGAACATACATTTTCCAAAGAGCATCTACAATAAGTAAATAACTACCTTTTTATTATACAATAATTCAGCATGTGTAATATATTATAGCGGTGTAAGAATTATAACACTGTATAATATATTATTTTGGGATTGATATATAATTAATGTTGATTTGATATAATACAATAACTATTTTATTTTATTACACATTGTAAACCAATGTAATAAAAAGTTAAATAATAGTATAATTTTTTATTTTTTAATTAAAAAAATTATGACATTATATTCTCACAATAGTATAAATAAACTGGATGCTCTAAATCCAACACATGTTATCATATTTCACTTGTGTTAATCTGATTGACAAAGTAACTCAATACCGTATTTGATTTGCAAAACAAATAGTAAAGTCAAAGGTAGGATGAAAAAATTGCACTAATCTAACCTCACAGACTTCTTCATCACACGCGGGAAATCCTATGTTTTTGTGTCACTTCTTTGGCAGCCCAATAACTAACTCCGCCATTTTTCTCTTCTTTTTTTTTTCCCTCTCTGTCATCATCATCATCATCTTAATACCAATAATATTATCTCATGCCACCTTATTATTACAGAAGAGAAATTAATCTGGCACCTGAATCTGTTGTTCTTCCTCGTACAAGGAAGAAGAGAAGAAAGAAAGGATCATGGGATCCTTCGATCATGCATCGAATTCGGGCAACAAAGAATCAACACAGTGGATTCTTGAGAATGCGGAGGTTGATAACATGGTTTCTTCAGGTTCCCCGACTTCTTCTTCCAATCATAACAAGGATAAGCCGCCCGTAAGCGGAATCGTTTCCAAGTTTGAGAAACTGAGATCTTTTGAGAGGCAGGGGAGCAATGTGAGGAGGAGGAATCCCTCTTATGGAAGCGTTAATGCTCCAAAGATGATGGCTAGGCAAGAATCAGGCGCAGCCAGGGGACTCAGGAGCTTGCGGTTTCTCGACCGGACCATGACCGGGAAAGAAACCGATGCCTGGAAGGCGGTCGAGAAGCGGTTTATTCAGGTTGCATCAGCTGATGGAATGCTGTTAAGAGACAATTTTGGTTTCTGTGTTGGTACATTAACATATTGAATATCTCTGCATTGTGTTCTTTTTTTTCTTTTTTTTTTTTTTGAGGTGGAAGAATGTGGCATATTCTGTTCTGCAATTTTTTTTTCCCTCTGTTTTTTGAAGGGATGGCTGATAGTAAAGAGTTTGCTGGAGAGTTGTATGATGCATTGGGAAGAAGGAGGATGATCAAAACTGAAAATGGGATTACCAGAGATCAATTGAGGGTGTTTTGGGACGACATGACAAGCCGTGATCTTGATTCTAGGCTGCAAATATTCTTTGACATGTAATAATGTTTACTGATAGTGTAATATTATCCTTGAAAAAGACTAATTTGAAAGAAATGAAAATGTTACATTTGCCTTTTTGTTGCTCTTTTGGTTTTCAGGTGTGACAAAAATGGAGATGGGAAGCTATCAGAAGATGAGGTCAAAGAGGTTAAGCCACTTATATAATGTTCTGTTTGTAATCTAGTTAGTGTTTGTTAAAGAGTTACCATGAATTGAACTGTGATGATGTGTTGTGGGAAGGTTTTAGTGATGAGTGCCTCGGCGAATAAGTTATCGACCTTCAAGATGCACGCTGCAACATACGCTTCGCTGATCATGGAAGAGCTTGATCCTGATCACAATGGATACATAGAGGTTACAGCATTGTAGTACTAAACTTGCTTGTTTCTCATTCTTCTGAGTAGCGTTTTTATGCGAATCGGCCTACTTGAGCCGGTTTCATTTTAGCTATCTTTTTTTGTGTAATTGAACAGATGTGGCAACTAGAAGCTTTACTGAGAGGGATGGTTGGGTCAGAAGAAGGTGTACATAATACAAAAAGGACTCAAACATTGGCAAGAACCATGATTCCGAAAAGATATAGGACTCCAATTAGCAAATTTCTTGTCAAAGGCACTGAGTTAATACAAGATAACTGGCAAAGAATATGGGTTTTGGAGCTGTGGTTGGGGGTGAATTTGACATTGTTTGCTTTAAAGTTTGAGCAATACAGGCAAAAACCATCATTTGAAGTACTAGGTTACTGTGTCTGTTTCGCAAAGGGGGCTGCTGAGACACTCAAGCTTAATATGGCTTTGATTCTCATACCAGTATGCAGAAGAACTCTTACCAGATTGAGGGAAACTTTCCTTGGTGCATTGATACCCTTTGATGAAAACATCAACTTCCACAAGATAATCGCTCTAGCGATCGTGATAGGATCTTGCATTCACATACTCAGCCATATATTTTGCAACTTGATAAGGCTAACAAGTTGTCCAAGTAATGTATTCATGCGCATTTTTGGAGAGTCCTTTGCATATCACCAGCCTACTTATTTTGGTCTGCTGGCTACTCTTACGGGCACAACCGGCATTCTGATGACCTTTCTGATGTCTATATCTTTTACACTAGCATTGCATTCATTCAGAAGGAATGTCGTAAAACTGCCAGAACCATTCAACAAGTTGGCAGGATTCAATTCTTTCTGGTATGCGCATCATCTGCTCGGTTTGGTGTATATACTCTTGATTTTACATGGCTACTTCCTGCTCTTCCACGTCGTCTGGTACAAAAGGACGGTATGTCTAGTGCCGATTACATGAACTTGTTAACTTGACATAACACAGGACAGACAACAATTACTCTAGCAATTAGTAGTACCATCGGAAAGTTACCTTTACAGTCTAAGATTGTATGGATTTATGTCTTTTTAGCAAATCTGGAATGTTCCTCAATTCTTGAAGTGCTTAGTTCATACCATCCCAGATATTATTTGCAAACTTCATAACCTAAATGTGTCGTCTTGCGTTGCAGACATGGATGTATCTTTGTGTTCCAATGCTCATGTATCTCAGTGAAAGAATACTTACAAGGTATGATCACAAGTTCCAGGTTGACATAGAGAAGGTAAAATCTCTAACATCTATGCTACTTCCCCGAGAAATCTATTGAAGACGTAACTAACCTGGTAGTGCAGGCAGTTATATATACAGGAAATGTCCTAGCATTGTACATGAGCAAGCCTCTAGGATTCAAGTATAAGAGTGGGATGTACCTTTTTGTGAAATGCCCGGACATTTCAGGTTTTGAATGGTAAAGCAATTCAAAAAACTGAAACCATACCATGTTTGTTGTCTTCTATTAAACAAATTTTTAATCTTCTCAAACTTCATTATTTCACTTCTTTTGCAGGCATCCTTTCTCCATCACTTCTGCTCCGGATGATTCGTATCTAAGTGTCCACATTCGCACTTTGGGAGATTGGACTACAGAGCTTAGAAACAAATTTTCCAAGGTGAAACTTTGATCAACACAAACTTTGCAGCAAAACTTGAGTCTTTTCTCCACTTCTGTGTTTCTTTATGTGCTTCTACATTGTAGTAGTTTTTAAAGGTGAGGCACATTTTTACAGGCCTGTGAAAATCAAAATGCACAACCAAGAATGGGAAGCCTTATTAGGTTGGAAACAAGGGCGCGCTCCGGTCCTGCTGAACAATTACAGGCAGGGTGAGTGTTCACATTCATTTCATCTTTTCTTATACTCCTTCCGTCCCAAAATTATTTTCCAATTTAAGTTTTCATTTTTACTTTAAATTTCTTAGAACATGCCGGTGTACAAGCCAAATCCGGATAGTAGTGGGATAAAGTCTTACTTGTAATTCTATACTCCTAACAATAATACACTCAACTGATAAGGTTAATTTATTCTTGAATACAGGTTCCCAACTATCTATATCAAAGGACCTTATGGAGCACCAGCTCAAAGCTACAAGAAATACGACATCCTTCTACTAATCGGCCTAGGGATAGGGGCGACGCCATTCATCAGCATTATAAAAGACATCTTAAACAATCAAACTGAATTTGTAAGGACTTTTATAACTCTTATTATAGTATCTTCAACAATCATAAGGTCGAAAAACCACGCAGGATATATGAACACATAAAAGAGATCAAACAAAAACCTCCTACTGCTGCAGGACATTGAAGAGGCCAGTAAGAAAGGTCCAAGAAGAGCCTACTTCTATTGGGTCACGCGGGAACAAGGCTCGTTCGAATGGTTCAAAGGGGTCATGGATGACATTGCAGAATATGATGATTCTGTAAGGCTGATCAACCTGGAGTAACTCAACTTCTCCATCAAACTATCCAAATTCTTCTTTTCCTAACTGGGATTTTTTTTTTTTTTTTTTGGGGTCCCTTTTTCGTGAAAATTTCAGCATGTGATCGAGATGCATAATTACTTAACTAGTGTGTATGAAGAAGGAGATGCAAGATCAGCATTGATTGCAATGGTACAGTGGCTACAACATGCTAAGAATGGAGTAGATGTTGTCTCACAAAGCAGGGTACGTAAATCAATTATAACAGCCTTTTGATCTTAAAATTGCAAGTAAAAGTGTTGATTTCTAACATAAATCAATGTCCATTTACAGATAAAAACTCATTTTGCAAGACCAAACTGGAAAAAGGTGTTCTCTCAGCTTGCAAATAAGCATCCTTCTTCAAGAATTGGTGAGTATTATTAGTCTTTTGTTTTACTTGCACGGTCAATTATTGCATAGTTTAAAAAGACAAAAATCTCTGGGATCATGTTATTTGTTTGCTGAACAATTTGAATGGTGCATTTTGATGCAGGGGTGTTCTACTGTGGGAGTTCATCTCTTGCAAAGCCACTCAAAAGGCTCTGCCAAGAATTTAGCTTGGAAACATCAACCAGATTCCTATTCCACAAGGAAAACTTCTAGGAAATTTTTTAGTCTTTTTGATTCTCCATTTTTGTGCCTTTCTGTAAATGCATTTGCCCCGAGAAGTAAAGGGCTTTGGTAATTAAGAGTTAGTAAAAGCAAGGAAAAGATTTAGGGAAGAATTTTTTTTTAGCTCCACTATAGTTTCAAATTTCAATGCAGTTAGTGTCATTAAGTTTTTGGTTCCAAGTTAATGATATTCTGTTTTTAAAAACTCATTACAATCATCACTCACCAGAGCTCAAAAGATTAAAAAATAAAAACTATAGAAAATAATACAATAATATAATAACCAAAGATTTTTTTTTTGCAGCCCTTTTCTTTTGTTTCTGTTATATAAACTGTAGTGTTTTCTTTGAAATACAATAATGGGAATGCAAAATGGTAGTAAAAATTTGCAATGGAATATCCCAATAGAGACATCTCAATGTCCTACAATTTTGTTTCATTTGTTCTTCTTAGGTATTCTTGACCTATAGCTGGCTAGTTTGCTAGTGGTAAACTTTTCAAAGAATGATCCTTCCCTTCCAAATCTAATAGGGGAAAAAAATTGAAAAAAAAAATGGTTTTGGTGTAGTGTCCCACATCGGGCATCGAACTGTCTCAGTCGAAATTCAGGCCACAATCTCCCATATTTCTGCATTTCATTTCACTTTCATTTCCTCCACTCTTCTTCATCATCGTCTCAGAAAATGTACCTCACTTCCCAACAGTCTCTCTACTCCCCCCCAAGCATCTATCTTTTCATTCATTTAATGATTTTCACACACACCTAGCCAGCTCCCCTTCTATTTCTTTATATTTTCTCTATTTTCCAACTTGTTATATATATATATATATATATAATGAAATCTATTAAAGTTGTTATCTTGTGTTTCTCATCTCAAAATTAATACATGCATCGAATGGACTTTCGCCAACATTTTTTATGTATAAGCTGACGTTATTGACAACAAAACTTAGACTAGGAAGACAATTTTCTCTGTTTTAACCAATATCATTTGAATTAATATTAGATCTCATTATGATATCACTTTGTAAATTTTGAGGTCAATCTCGTGAAAGATAGCAAAAGTTAATTGTGGAAGTTGTTCTTGGTTCGGACCAATACACAAGCCTTCTCAAGTAACTGTGAATAATATATATATATATATATGTGTGTAATTGGTACATAGATGGAGGGCAAAATCTAATATCATATTGTTATATTTCGAGAGTGTACAACCCAGTGGCATCGTGATGCAACCAAGGTAACACCGCTCTTGGTTGTTCTAGTAGTTTCTGCAATCTGCATTCTGTTAAAACTATAGAAGTTTATGGAGTTTCACTTCAAAATCAATTGATAATGAGGGAAGTAGTCCATAGTGTTTATATGCTAATACAAAGTGTCTCCAAACACCAATATAAGATAAATACTTCAACAGGAACTTTTAAACCCGCTAAACAAATTCACTATAAGGTTAGATTTAGGGTAGACGTGGTTCACGTCAATCCTCCAATCCCACTGCGTTAACTCTTTTATATAATTAAAAATCATCAACGTAATTATAAGTGAGTGCATGGCATGAGTAAAATTTTGTGACACATTATTGAAGATTATCAATAATAAGTATTCTAAGTGGATTGTAGTCTCCGTCACATCAATGTAAATCTATTATTGGATCGACCATGCATGATATTGTCTATATCTTCCACCAATTAATTAAAAGCGTATGCATGTTATTAGTCAAGATAATTCTTTCGGACCTAAAACAATTCTCGTTAGATTTTTTTTTTTTTTTTTCCATAAGGTTAATTCTCGTTAGAATTGGTCTAACAAATCGAACGTACTAATTACTACCTCATGTGCAGTGGTGGCGTGCCAAAGTTTCAGCCGGTCAAAGCGAATCAACAGGCCAAATAAGCCACACAAACAAAATCTAAATGAATTATTCAAATCAAACCAAAACCAAGTCATCAAAAGAAAAGGTACGTAAGGATATAAACAGTTATATATATATATATATATATATATATGCATGCATGCATTGACTTGTCCAACAGTCTATCTTTTTCCTTTATAAGTCCATAGAAATTGAGGGGCCATATATGGTCGTCGCACTTTTCTTAACACAAATATAGGACTGCACTCCAGCTATGGCAGCTTTTATTAAGAATGAAAATAGTAGTATAAAGACAAATTGACGGGCTCCAAATATTTTCAATATTTTTTCTAATGTGGTAATTTGGTACACACTAGAGTTATTCCCAATCCCATCCTTTTGCATATTTTAGTAAAGAAGACCCTACAAGCTTTATACCATAAGCTAAAATTTTAACAAAGGGTCAGTACTATATACTGATGATATCAGTTTGTACTCAGTGAAACTTATCATCAGTTCCATTTACTCCAACATAGACAATTCAGAACAATTTATAAGTCTACAGAGGAACTACACATGCAGAGAAACGACCAAAAACAAAAAAAAACAACAACAACAAAAAGTACTTCTAAATTACTTGGTAGCAATTATTAGGGCAATTATAGGGCTACAATTTTTTTCATCCATCTCTACCTAACAACATGATGATTACACTTAAACTAAACTTGGGAAGATTCATTCATTCCGATACTTTTCATGTATGATAATTACTACATGGGAAACAAGAATATTTATTTATCATACATTACAAGTATCTAAGTTTAATCTTCCTCTGTGTTTGGATAAAGGGTTGGCTTCTTTTCTTTCCTTGAAAGATGGAGAGTTAATAATGGTGGCCGGTAGGCTTGGAAGTGGCGGTGCTCTGATCTTTCACGGCGGTGGAAGTTGTGATTGGGAAGAGTTGAAGGGTTTGCAAGGGTTTATTGTTGTTGTTGTTGCTGCAACAAGGAAAAGAATGATCATGATGATAATGAGATGCTGCTTCCCTCATCTTCATCATCACCATCCAATCATCACATGAACAAGTTCTCAGCATCCAATTCTCCACCGTTGGATCTACCTTCCATGTTGTGTAGTTCTTGATTCGTGTTGCTCCAACCTCAGCTCCACCCTACATTAATATGCATGCATATTAACAAATTTAGAAACATATGTATGTATATATATTCCCTCTGTTCCGAAATGACTGTCCAGTTTGAATTTTCATTTTTAGTTCAAGTTATACGAAAAGTAAAAATCTAAACTGAACAATCATATTGGAGCAGAGGGAGTATTTGGTTGTAAAACTAAGGGTTTAAGATGGTGCTAATTCAGTTCCTCATAAATTCAAACATCTCTATCAATGCAAATGTGTGTGTGTGTGTGTGAGTGTGTGTGTTTAAGATGAATACCTGGTGAAGATAATCAGCTGAGTTGAGGATGGATTGGTGATGCATGGGAGGAGGGGGAGATGAATTATGATTGGAGAAGCAGCAGCCAAGGAAGCTTGTTGTTGGAAGATGATGATGATGATGATTCTGATGAAGGTGGTGGTGAAGCTGTTGTTGTTGTTGTTGTTTGGTCATCAATAACTTTCTTCTAAGCTTTTGTCTCTCCCTAGCTTTGTGATTCTGAAACCAGTAAAACACATTCTTGCCTTCAATTCTGCCATACAAAGACAAATGGGCTGTGATCTTTTGTATTTGAGAAGAATTTGGAGTTCTCACACCTCCTTTATACATTTCTTCCAAAATCATGAGCTGCTCAGGGGTTGGACACCATCTGGTTGAATTTGATGGAGACATCTTTTTTGTTAAGTTTCTTTTTGCAGTAAAATTGGAATGATAGGAGCACTGATTGGTGTGGAAATTCTTGAAGAAAAAAGGGAGGTGCAGTTTTGGAGATATAAATAGAAAGGAGATGAAAGAAAAAAGGTATCAATTATGAAATGGAAAGAAAGAAAGTAAATAGTGAGTGAATTCATGCAGCAAGTTGTCATGCTGATGTCCAATGTGTGTGGGAATAGGATAGGAGTTAGGGAAAGGTTGTCAGTGACAACTTTAATTCTTTTTTGGTTTTCTATTTTTGTTTTGAATCTCTTTCTTTTGTAGTTGAGATTTTATGCATCCACATCAATGCTTATAGCCTTTAGGCTAATTCACACTAGATTGGATTCTGAATTTCCTATATCAATCCAAATAAATTGGTGCTTGTTCCGCAGCCTTGGTCAACCCATATGTACTCCCTTCAATCCATGTATACCTTCACTATCCTTCAATCCAATGATTTATGCTCAAATGTACTCCCTCCGTCCCATGATTATTGTTCAGTTTGAGGTTTCATTTTTAGTTCAAATTATACTAAAAGTAAAATCTCAAAGTAGACAATAATTTTAGGACGGAAGGAGTATAACACTTCTGCTGCATACTTTCACCGCTACTTTCCTTTTTCTCTATTAGTCGGGCTAATTGCAACTCGCAACTCCGAGTAAAATTGACTTTATTGATTCCAAATTTTGACAACACTGAAGACATAAAATGGAGCATTTTTATTATAGCTATCAACCAAGATCACTGTTTGCAACTATCCCATGTCTCTAACTAATTATTTGGTCCCCTTTGTTCTCTCTATATATTTAACTCATAGAGTCCTTTTTTTTGGTTAATTTATTAGATGAGAGAAATAGTGTGATGAATGGGAAAAGACATCTCTTAAAGGGGGGAAATTTGTACGTACTTTAAAATTGGGGGGTGTTTGGGGTTGAATGATATCGTCATCATTACCATATAATTTACTCCCCCAAAAACAGAATTTGGAGTAGACATATGCAGGTTTGATGCAACAGATCGTGCAGACAAATTCAATACACCATCTAACTCCTTTTCCTCACCCTTTTTAAGTTAATGCATTTATAAAGGTGTATTACTGTTTTCATCTTCATGGCCTTGTCGTGTACTTTTTTTTTTCTTTCTCCTCATTCTTGGAAAATGCTACAGTTCGGAAGTGAATTTATACGTACTTCTTTAATCCCTAAATGAGTACGCAATCATTTTAAAATGAAAATAATATATTTTTTGTTGGGATGAAGAACTATAGCCTCCCCCATTTTTGACGATGCTATGGTTTGTAAATTTCCAATTTTTGAAAATTACAATTAAGGTGACGTAATGTATATTCACTAAAGATGATTGTCAAGAAGTTGATGTACTTTTTGATCTGTAAATTTTATTATTATTTTTTTTTAATGTGAAGACAATGGCACATTATTACAAATTTCTAGATACTGTAGTGTTTCTTCTTTCACTTTATTTTTTGTGAGAAGTCTATAGTTACATAATACTTTAATTTATAATTTAAACCTTCATAGTATCCCAAGTAAGAATTTGCTCTAGTTTAAAATTAAGGAGTTGAACCAAATACCCTCTTATAATTAAATTAATCGAGAAGCGAACTTGTTTCACTTTTGTATGTCTAATATTGACTGCTAAGTCTATGGTTGCAAGTTTCTTGCACTTGCAGTTTGCCATGTTCATCAGGTAATTTACCAAGTAATATACTCACTCCGTTCCAAAATGATTGTCCAGTTTGGATTTTAATTTTTAGATCCGATTTGTACTAAAAATGAAAATCTAAATTGGACAACAATTTTAAGACGGGAGAATACTAGTTTAATTTAAAACTTTTAGCATTTTTCACTGTGTTAGAAAAAAAGAGGGGGAAAAAAAAATTCTTACCGATATCTGATTTTTGAAGAGCATGTTCCCGGTTTTATTCATAATGGAAAAATAATCAAGGCAGTGCATGACATTTTTTCCCCCATGTCCCCTTGATATTCCATTTTTCCATTAAAAATGGGTACAGACCGGAGATACCCTAGCTATCAACCCCCTCCAAAATCGACCGACTATTTGTGGTCTTTAATCTTCTCTAGGAAAAAACAAAAAAAGAATAGGAGAAAAAAAGAAAAAGGTATCACAATTGTGAATTGGGAGAAATAAATGCATGTTGTCCCTAAAATTGTTTGTGCTTGGATGCTAGTACTCAACTTATCTTCTTACCTCATCTCAGAAGAGCGTACTAGAACTAGGAGTACAACTAGCAGTTTTACCACAAGAAAAAAAAAAAAAAGTCCACAAAAGCCTGTATATATTATATCCTGCCATGAATTGTGTGGACTAGTATGGCTGCATTTGTAAGTTCAACTGTCAGTTTGATTTCTGATCAACTTTAGATCTATCAATTCTTTCTTGTGTTCTACTACTAGATTTGTTTCCTTGGACAATTCAACTGCAAATGATCTCTCTGCTCTTCAGGGTCACCATATTGCTAGTACATTTGCTTAACAACTCACAAGTGTCCATTTTGGGTCAAACCCCTAAAAAAAAAAAAACAAAAGAAATAATGGATTAATTCAGTTTTTTAATGACTAAATAACTGAGTAACACTCGAAAATTGTCTCTATCAAAAGAGAACATAACTGGCTATTTTGTATATGTAATATATCAATATTTACTGAATTAACATAATATTGAATGAATTTACTGACTCTGTCGTTACAAAGTACCGAATTCGACAAGCATTCAAGATCCCGCTTCGGAGAAAACTAGAAGCAAAGAGGACTAGAGATATTAATTACTGCATTAGGGGGTATTAGTATAGTAGGAGTACTGCAGGTGTGTTTGGACTTTTGACAAACAGTCTACGTACGTGCACTTGTATCACAAATATATCTTCCCACCAACAGATCCTTCCTACTTCTAACCTGAATTATCCTATCTTTTTTCTTTTGCCTATGGTTGCTTTTCAGTGTGTACTTCCCTAAATTTACTGTGTAAAATTATTTGGTAGCATCTCAATGTTGATTTTTCAACCCCTCCAATTAATAAAAAGTTTTTCTTCTCTCCATATTTTTGTAGCCGTTGACTGACCATAAACCATTGCCTAGGCACCCAACCAAATAACGTAATTACGTACAAAATGTATCGGATATTAATTAATGATATTCAAATTAATTTCAAAAAAAATAGTCACAAATACAATGTCTTCTAACATTATTATTTTGTTTCTCGATTTAGCGTCACAAATCTAATATTACCTCCATTTCCATCACCGTCAAAAAGGTCGCAGCCTTGAGTCAAACAAGTGTTGTTAGTATTGTAAGTTTGTAACAATTCTACATGGTTTTTCTTGGTTTTTTTTTTTTTTTTTTGGAAGGCGAATTTGGTATCGTTTTCCTGTATCCAATAGTGACGCAAAAAGATATGTTACGAATTTCACGTGCAAACCAACCAAATAATTGTGTATTTGGTTATGGTTAAAAGGAAAAGGATATACGGAGGCATCTCCATGCTGGGAAAACTGTGTAGTCATTTCTCCAATTCTTGATTTCAAACAGTTTTAATGGGAGTGGTTGCATTCCTGCATTGTTCGTTTTGTCATCTGATGCCTCCATAGTACATTTTCACACTTGGGAATGAACCTTTTTTTTACCCTTTCCGACTCTTTAATTAATTTACATCACAAGTATATTATATATATATACTCCTTTCATCCTAAAATATAACTGTACGTAACCTAAATCAGTCATCAAGAACGTGTATTGCTAAAGTTATCGGCTATTCTTTCATGAATCATTATCTAATCTTTACTACTATAAACTTTCACAAAGTATGTGATGCATGTGAACTTAACCAAAAACAAAAATATTGATGACGGACTGCCATTGACGAAAGCCATGAAATTTAAGAGAAAGCTGGCAGAAATGAATGATTATGCAAATGATGGTCTCTTCTTTAGAGTACATTTCGTCGCATTTTGTTGGTGAATAATTTTTTGTCACGCAATAATTACATCATCAAATCTACAATATGTTTCCTCGCTGATTGCTGAAGAAAGTACCAAAAAACACGACCATAATGCATGCGACAATTTATTAAATAGAGAAGAACAATTTTAATCCATTCACGAAATCGAGTACTTTCGTACTGCTACTGTTTTTAGAACACATGCGGATTACTTGAAAAAACTTATGCAATGCTCCCTCTATCTCACAAAACTAGTCTATATTGAAAATTAAAAATCATACCAAAAACAATACAATTTCAAATTTTTAATTTACAATATAAACAATTTTTATATCATTTCCCACACGTTGTCCTCCACCTTTATTCACAGCCAAAGCATAATGTTTGCCATGATACCTTTTCAATTCGATACGCCTGTGAAGTTGTTTTTCATTACATAATGTAGAGAGAAAAACTACCACTTTTGAAACGAAAAAAGAAAAAGAACTTACAAACTATCAAATATTTTATACAAAGTGATAAATATATTGATCTACCTTCAATGTGATTATCAGGATCTGAATCTTGACAGGAGCATATGTAGACTAATCATTGAAATACTTTAAAGGGAGAGATTTATCTTTTGAAAGAAATCTATTTTGTTTAGATTGGTAAGCCAATAATATCAGGTATCGAGTCAGAAATATACAAAAAAAATATTTTTTTAAAGAAAACAGCACTTAAAAAGTTTCATTACAAAGAATATTTAAGTAAAGTAACATCTAGATAAAAATTTATTATTTCCATCCCAAAAAATAGTTCAATTTAATACAAGTCTTGAAATTCAGTGTAGACTATTTTTCTGAGACATAGAGAGTAATTGATTATGAGAGAGTAACTTTTCAAGAATCGATCTTATGTTTTATAATTAGTCCTTTGCGATTAGGGTTTCTGAGCTGAAACAATACTTCTACACCTTGTTAATTGAACGTTGATGGATGGAGTTATTTTGTAAGTTTCATTTATTTATTTATTTTGTTTGTTTGATTTTCTTGAACCTCAACTAAAAAAATGTTAAGAGACAAAAACAGAGAAAAAGGGACAGGAAGAAACTCAGACACACTCAAACCACGAGATTTCACATCAACGGAAATCAATGATGTTACAGCTCAAGGTTACTCCATTAATTTGCCGGTACTTGGAAAACCCCTGTTGTGTACTTGTTCCAGACTTACTCATGAATCATAAGTAATTAAATATGTATTTGAAATTCTTATTATCTAAAAATAAAAGTATTGTTTGCTAAATTTAAACGATACAACATGATTTTTTTTTATTTTATAGTGGAAAAAAATGCTTGTTAATACACTGAAAAAAAGAGGAGTTATTTCTCGGTCATTTTGACCCTTCATTCATTCTCTTTATCCTTGCTCACGAAAATCTGGAAAACGCAATCAATGCTTTGTAGCAATTAGAAATGGCCTTTCTGCACAAGAAATGGAGCCCTTGTTTTTTAAGCTAGATACTTTTCTATATTCCACAATGTATAGCTAGCTTGTACAATACCTAGATTCCCCCTCCCAAACAAGTTTCCTTTTCCCTTTTTTCCTTTTTTTTTTTCCCTCCCCTATAACTTGGTATTGCAATTTGTATAAATTCTACAACTTTAAATTGTTGATTTGACAGTCACCAATTCGGGTTCGTTTAATTTGTATAAATTCTACAACTTTAAATTGTTGATTTGACAGTCACCAATTCGGGTTCCAAACGAAATGAAAAAATGATTCAGATTTGGTCATTGGGTTTGGGTCAACAAATGTATCGAAAGACTTCAAAATCTCAAGTTAAACATAAGAAACATTAGCTACAAAAATGTTGTTATGTGGGCAAATGTGAGACTAAGATGCACTGGTAAAATAAGAAATGGTAATAATCACAAGTTTAGAGAGATTTAATTTTGACGTGAGTAATATATATTCTTTCTATCCCAAAAAACAGAACGTCGCATTGAGTTTAAGATATATATATATATATATATATAGTAAAACAATATAAATTTGAATATTCAATGTGGACTATTTTTTTAAAACAGTTATACTATTTTGGAATCGGCCTGAAATTTAGACCTTATAAACCAACATTTGAATGCAATGAAATTATCATCGTAGGTTTTTACTTCAAAGTTTAAATTACAAAAGGAATTAAACAGAAATTATTGTAACAAAGGTCACAAATTTTATAGTATTTCTGATGATTTATTGGGAAAGACTTTTCTGGTGTGCTTGACTCCAAATGGGGTGACCTCTTTGTCACAGAGATCCGACCCGTACCAGACGTCACGGGGCAAATACCTCCGGAAATAGAAAAAACCCGAGCTCAACCGGGGCTCCTCGAGGACTTGAACCTGAGCAAAACCGGGTCTCCAATCATCATCATCATCTTTTCCACTCAGTTTGAGGTAAAGGTAGCAGATTTGGGATTCGACACAAGGACCTGTGACTTGGAATTGATCCACGACACAAGCTTGAAACGGCTTCCGGGGCACATCGTCCAGTACTTGGGGCTCCAACGGGTCAACCCACCTTACGTGTTTGGAGTTCAGATGACGCACTAAAATGTCGACATTGGATTTGACATCCCCAAATCTCAGGCTGACATGGCCTGAGGTTTCTGCTCCCTTTGTACAACTTGTTTCTATTGTCACACTGTAGGTACAATTCCTCTGCAAATTGTTTTCATTTTTTTAGTTTTTTTTTAAAAAAATGAAAGATAAATTCATTAATTTACCAGAAATCATCTAGCACTGCTTGATAGACAGTCAGAAAAACAGAAATTACAAACAGTCGTAATACAATTTTTTTGTTAGTCCTTGAATGGTTGCAATTTTCTTAAGAAATTCAAAACTCTTCCAAAATGATGTAGTATAATCTTCGATACCTTGTCGTTAGTGGGTGTCTCTGCATAAATTCCATCGGCCGAAAGGATGAAAACATGAAGAAGACAGATCAGAAGAAACATCCATGGATATGGCAAGTGAGATTGTCCGGAGAGTATCTCCAATTTCATTCTGATGATCAGCTAGCGAAGAACAAAAAAAAACAAAGGTGATAAGTCTCTTGATATGTTGGGAAGAAATTGGATGGAAAATGAAGAGAATTATGTACTATCTTTTTTTTTTGAAGCCAAAATCATTCTTTTCTTGTCGTTTGTAAAAGCTTTTTACTTTCTGAACCTTTTTCCATATTCAATTATTTGATTGGTTTCCCTCCTTTTCGTCTTAAACTTCTATGCTTGCTTTCTTTATGTTTACACATACCTTATCTGCTTTATTAGGGACTAATCCTCTTCATAACTAAGTAATGGGTATTGTGGTTCTTTCTGCTTATAATAGAAAAGGTAGGATCCAATAAGACGCCATTTGTGTTACATTAGTATTTTTAAATATTTTACTAAATGAATTTAATTGTTGTTCTCAGTGATCAACACTAGATAATATGCAAGAGATGATATCAATTAAACCGATGTAATAGTACGACATGTAGATCAGTTTTAATACAATTTGGTATGACACGACAATCTGAATTGCCACGAATCGGCACTATATGATATACCCCATCAGCCTTCAAAGTTCCAACTCAGATTAATTTATTACCTGGGACAAAGTTTATCAAACAAAGAGTTATTCTGCTGATATCCTTATAAATTACAAACAGTTGAAGAAACCATTTCACGCTTAAGAATGTTGTCTGTTGCATAAATGTCCAAACTACGGGGTTGTGGCTTATCAAAGTGTAAAATACATGGCCACCGGTTTGCTCTTCTTTTTATCAAAACTTCCAAGAGAAAACTAATCTAATATAATACACAATATTGTCGCCTGATACTAAAATATATATATATATATATATATGCATAATATTGTCCCCTGATTTTGGAATTTTCCTATTGTGAAATTGACCTCAAAAAAATCCAGGGATTCTTACGTTGTCACCAAAGTAAGGTTTAGTTTTGGCCTGCACTACCTTATCCTCAGAAACATTGTTAACCAACCAATAATAACTCATGTATATGATTCTAACCCCTTTTTCCGGCTGGTGCGATATTCTCCGTTGGATCCTAATCAAATTTTAAATCGTAGTACCTTGTCTAGAGAAGAGGATCCAAATATAGTTGTCCAACAATTGCCTCCAGTGTACGACATTGGGATTCTTGGGGGACTTTCTTAGTAAATTCAGTGGAATTGGAGAAACTATATTTGATACAACTGTAATATCACTTCATAATTCATAGTACTAGTAACCAGCAAAGCAAAGGTGCATATGAATACTTACACATCAAAACAAAACCATGGATCTGCTGCCCTGCCCCTGACCTAATCAATGTTGTTTCTGTTACTGACTCTGAATATCCAATGGCTCAAAGTTCGATTCCGATACAAGAAACTCGTCAACTCCATTACACTTGGCCTGAATGAAATAGTAGTAGGCACTAATGTATAAAGCAATGTGAATGACTATTTATGACACCAGCAAAGACGAAATATTCTAACACTTTTGGCGATTTTAGCCAATGAAACATATGATACACCCTCGCTTTTTCTGGATTTATTGCCTTTCAATAAACTGACATGATTCTTGCCTACAATTTCCTCACACCAAATCTCTAAGAAGTGTCACCAGCTGTTTCCAGGACCTATGTCCCTTTTAAAAATTCCTTGTCGATCAATGGAGCTTCTTCCCAGAAGGACAAGTAGTAATATGATAAAGAACATGCCAAAACCAAAAACAAAGTCCTTTTCGGAGAGGGTAGTATCATCTACGTAAATTAGGGAAAAAGGCCATTCCAGATAAAATATGCATACATGGGACAGAAGATATGTGCCTATATAAAGACGTCCACTATGAAAAACAATGTATCAAATCTGCTCTCTGGATAAAAACCAGAAAAGCTGAGTTGCTCTGAAGCATGGATTTCTCAGTACTCTACATTTACCTCCTAATTCTGCAATGCACATTCATCAGCATTTCTTCAACAGTCCAGGCACTTCCTCGCTGTTCCCCAAAGCTCTTCAGAGAATATATTGGCGCAGAGGGAAAGAGTGTCACTTTTTCAGATGTACCAATTAACTCTAATGTGGAGTTCCACTTCATTCTATCATTTGCTATTGACTACACAAATGCATCCAATCCACTTCTAACTGATGGCAACTTCAATGTCTTTTGGGACACAGAAAACCTCACTCCTTCAGCAGTTTCTCAAATTAAGGCCCAGCATCCTAATGTAAAAGTGGCAATGAGTCTGGCGGGAGATACCGCTGCCAAAGGTGTCAATGCCTCCTTTAAGCCCAGATCAATCAACTCTTGGGTTAGTAATGCCATAAATTCAGTAACTAAGATAGTGAAAGAGTATAACCTGGACGGTATAGATATTGACTATGAACACTTTCTAGCTGATCCTGATACATTTGCCGAGTGCATTGGGAGACTTTTGTTTCATCTTAAAGAAAACAAGATTGTATCCTTCACATCAATAGCACCATTTGAAGAGGATGCAGTCCAAGCACATTATTTGGCACTGTGGCAAAAATATGGGCACCTCATTGACTATGTTAACTTCCAATTTTATGCCTATGATCGCGGTACTAGTGTTTCCCAATTTCTACAGTATTTTGAAACTCAAAGTGAGAACTACAGAGGTGGAAAGATTCTGGTGAGTTTTGGTACGGATGGCAGTGGAGGTCTGACACCGGAGAATGGGTTCTTCCGTGCTAGCAGCTTCTTAAAGCGTGAAGGAAAACTTCATGGTATCTTTATCTGGTCTGCTGATAATTCAAAGAAGGAAAAATTTCGATATGAAAAGCAATCACAGGATCTTCTCGCCACCTGAAAAGGAAGAAAGCCATGGGGAAACCATCCCCAACAATTAAGAGATTGTAAGTAATTCATACTGATATATACCAGAAGGATAACATTATCATGCCTTCATTTGCATTTTCTCATTCAGGACAACTTCTTTTCACAAGGCAGAAACACAATTTAATCAAGCAGAAACGAGTCACTCACTTATACAGCTCAATGTAAGTAGCCATTGATAGAAATCAAAATTCAATTTACGCAGCTGCATGACAGATAATAGTACTTTTTCCCCTTTACTTCAGCTTCAACTGCACTTCAATTTATTATACTATCTCATACAGGCACTACATATTAACGATGAGACTAGAGACCAGTGTTAACAGTACGAAAACTCAACTCAATTCTAACTAGAGCTTAGAATAAAGAGATATATCAACGAACAAATCCACAAAAAATTTGAAATTCTGTTAAACAGATGTGTTTGGAAGATTAAGTTGAGCAATTCAATGAATCCAATACAAATCTCCGAAATGAGTACCTGCAAAAAAGACAAGAAAAAAAAAAGAATGCAGTGGATTCTAAGACCTTTAATAATCACAACAGAATTTACAGAACCACGGGGAGTTGGATGAAAAGCAAAAGCAGTGCCAGAAACCCATGCGGCAGTAGCAGAAGCTGGCTTACCAGCTGCTTCAGGACTGACATAAGCATCAAAGTTTGAATCAGCAAATAATGAAAAGTCACCACCACACTGAAGTCTTGTTCAGAGTGTCTTCTGCTTTGTTAAGCTTCGTGAAACAGATATTCTTTCCAGTTGGATAGATATGCTGCCAAGGGGGCTGAACTGAAAACCCCATTGCTGACAATAGCTATTGGAGATGCTTGAAATCCATTTCAGTGGGCAGGGTTAACCTCCTAAACAACAACTGTAGAAGGATTAAAAATGCTAACACCCACCACATGCTTCGCACCAGTCTGTTATGATGGCATGGTTCACCATTTTGACTCCCCAGCCGTTGCCTCCAATTGAGCTGATCAGAAAAACACATGTACAACAAGATTTATGGGCTTCTTAAATGCTTAGAGTGACATCGTAACCAGAAAATAGAAATTGTCCCGAGCAAGCACTCATCACCAAAGTCATTAATGTACATTAACATGTTGGATAGTATCAAATATTCATAGAGTAGAAGTACTCCTGTCTATAGGAAGCCAAGTAAAAACTCCCAGTGATGCACATTAACATGCCTGATAGTATCAAATATTCAAAGAGCAGAAGTACTCATAAGCAAGTCATAACTCCCAGTGGTAATCATTTTCCAGCAACCTTTTGTCAAAGCAGATATACAAGCTACAACTCAAGATAAATGTTTATGTATGTATTATTCTGAAAGCCCCTATTCAACAAAATTATGTCGCGCATTAACGTTCTCGGTCTTTCATGTATATAAATCGCCGGAAAGTAATAATGATATTACAAATGGTCGGAACAAAATAACCAGATTCCTATCATGGTGAGCTAGGAAAGTTGCGGTACTTATTCTAGAGACAGGAAGCATTTTGCCAGTCTAAGAAAACTAGAGATCAACAAAATACATCCCAATACAAAACTGGACTGTTCATTTGGCAAGACCAAAAGGAAAGAATGCAGCTGAGTGTATCGTGTATTATCAGAAAAAGGTTTGAAACTGAGGGACTTTATCTCATATAAGGGAAAGATCTGCCGAAGTATGAAATAAGTACAAAATTTCACCATTTCTTGGGACAGAGCATATAAACCACTAAACCAATAAGCAGAACAAAGGAGGACATAACAAGTAAACACAACTTCACTGTTGCTGAGGACTACTAGAGGCAGAAACTAAACCAAAATCTTGGGTGTTGCTAATGTAAAATGTACTGATTCACTCCAAGTTATACTAAAATTCAAAAGGAAAAAATCCTTAAGAACACTACATTCATATCAATCATTAGAATATTGATTGACTCCCAGACCTCCAGAGGAATTAGACACTCACACTGGGACCTGGGTCTCCTGAGGAGACATGATACACTGAGAAAGAAGGGGGTAACGGATAACAAACTAAAAGCAAATCTTTTCTGTAGTTCTTCTGCTCTTCAGAATCTACAAAAATATAAGGTAAAAAAATAAAAAAATTCTATAATTCCCTGTTCTGTGTCTTAACGATGAGTTACAACATTCAACAACTGATCTAAACACTACACGGATCATATTTAATCAGGGTATTAATTCAGTATCTTCCAAAAGTGATGAAATTTCCGAAGTCTTCATCAATCTTACACATTCTAGAGCTATAACTAACAAAATTGCTCAAAATCTAAGTAAGCATAACTACAACTTGAGCTTCAGTGCTTCACCATCATATTTGCAAAACTCAATGTTGTAACAAGAAAAACGATTACGAAAATCAGTAAGACATTGGTCTTTCATCCTTCAAATTAATGTAAAAATAGAAATACACTACAACCAAAGCTAGAACTCACTTGTTGACATCTCCTTCTATTCGATTCCCCTCTTTTTCTTCTTCTTCTTTCCACTCTGCTCAGCCGAATCAATAGTCTCCTCGCCATCAACCTCCCTGCTTTTCCTCAGCCTTCATTTTTTTCTTCTTCTTCTTCTTATTATCACTCAACTCCACACTACCTTCAGCTACTCTGTCTATCTCCTCCTTAACTTCCACATTGAGTTGCTTACTATTGTTATCCCCGTCAGCTTCGCTCCCTTTATTCACCAAATTGCCAAATCTTTCTTCAACCTCCTTCTCTTTCCTATCCTTCTTCTTCTTTTTGTCCCCCTTCTGCAAGCCAACTCCTTCACCTTCAGCTCCATTCACGTTTCCATCTTCAAATGTTTCTGTCTTTTTCTTCTTCTCCTTCTTGACATCAACTTTGAGTTCAATGGGCTCTTGCTTTATCTCCTCTCCAATTGTACCAAACACTATATCACCTCCTCTTCCCACAGATTCTTCATTTTCCCCTTTATTGCCAGATTTCTTCTTCTGAGATGCCCCAACAACCAGGGGCGGAACTACGTTGGGGCCCGGGGGGTCTCGAGCCCCTCCGGCGGCCGGTAAACCCACAGGGATATCACCGGAAATTATTGTCAATAGCTTCCTCTTTTAGTCTCAGCCCCCCTAGTTTTGGTGTGGGAGGAGGCTTTAGGACGGAGAAATCCAGCGGCAAGGGCTAGGATTGTTTCTATTAAGATTTTTCGGCGACCGGCGTGTTGCAGATTTGCAGAAGCACATCGGAGAAGAAGAACAGTATTTTTATCAAGAAATATCCCCAATTTCTATCATGATTTTTTTAACCAAACCATCCATAAACCCGTCTTTCCTTGGTATTCATCAGATTTTTCTCTTTTCCGGTTTGAACGGAAAGTTGCTTCGTGCAAAGTAGTCTTCACGGTATCCGTTATATCATGGGAGACGGTAGTCCAATTTCCTCTAACACACTTGTGAGGGGCTAATCTGTTTCAAGGAAAGCGTGATTATCACGTGCTTCGGATTTTTCCTTCTCCTATATCCTATATTTGATTGTATATCACAAAATACTCTATCCCATTTTACTAACATTTATCAACAAAGACTTATGATGATATCCCTATAAACTACAAATGAAGATGGATCAATGAAACCATCTCACGCTTAGGAATCTTGTTTGTTGCATAAATTGCCAAACCACTGGTGATGAAATAGGATAGTTGCTGATCACATTGGATAGATAGGCCACCGTTTTGCTCATTCTTTTACCATCAGAACGTCCAATAGAAAACTAATCTAATTTACACATAATATTGCAGCCTGGTTTTGGAATTTTCCAATGGTGAAATTGACATCGTAAAAATACAGGAACTCTTACGTTGTCACCAAAGTAAGGCTTAGTGTTGGCTGCAATAGCACTCTCATTTATATGTTCTTTCATTTTTTTTTTAAAATAAAGAAAGGAAAACAAAGGCATTGTTATGATTAACATATTCAAGTATTTCTTCAAAATAAATACTAGAAAATAATAATACTTTTTTTTTAGACAGAAATAACAATATTCAATATTATCTATTGTTATGTATAAAAATCTCAATAATTTCTCTTAAGTAGGATGGCAAAAATAATACATATATCTTGAGATGATTTAGGAAGCAAATATACATAAATTTGACCAACCCAAACATAAATGGAAGGTTAACGAGAAAAAGAAAGAAAAGAATATAAAAGTCGCCCTACCTTGACTAGAACATGATTTAATTGGGGTATCCTAAGAGTCAAAAAAAATTGGGGTATCCTACACTTGAAGTGTACTAGTTTGAGTTTTAGGCGTTTTTGCCTCGCTTCTTTGTAACAAAAACGAAAAAGAAAAAAAGGAAAAAAAAAAAAGAAGTAGAAAAGAACCTCGTGCAAGGATTCGAACGCGAGACCAATGTAAAAAAGTGCAACACAATCACCGACGTAAACACCACCGGGCCAACACTACAACATTCTTGATTTGCCTTCCCTTTAAATGTACATTCAGTAGCGGCTGTCATTGTCTCTGCAAAACCCTTCCGTCTCCCGCCTTAAACCTCTGTTCTTTCCCCTGAGAAATCCTCCGTCAACACACACTCGTGCGTGTGTGTGTGTGAGACGGCCGTAGTAACCTAGGATTTGTCCGTTCGATCAATCATAACGATTTCCCCACCTTTCTATTTTTTCCTTTTCCATTGTATCAATTCGATATCGAGAAGCAATGAAGGGAGGACAACCAGAACCAGCACTTCAGTTCACTAAACAACTGTACATTGAAGATGTTGGTCCTCGCAAAATGTAAGTGTTGTTTTTATTTTTTATTTTTTGGCTGTTAATTTAGTTTAGTTTTCAATTATCAAGGCCCCCAATTTTTTTTTTTTTTGAACTTATGGAGCTCGAAAGTGTTTGATTTTGATTTTTTTTTTTTTTTTTTTGTTTTGTGTTGATTTTCGTTTTGGTATTTGTTTTTGTTTTTGTTTTTGTTTTTTTCAACAGAGAAAGTATACAGTTCTCTACATTCGGAGAATCAGATATACTGAAAGCTGCTGAAGTAGAAGTATTTAAAGGCGGTTACTATGAGAGCAAAGAGAAGCCATGGGCCAATGGCTTGTTGGACAATCACATGGTATGTGGCATTCTTCATCCCTGTTCAGTTTCTATTGATTTGTGGTTTTTTTATTTTCATATTCGTACCAACTCTGATTGCGTTGCTCGCATTGCGAATTAATCGACCATTTTTTATGGTACTAAAAGCTACCTATTTGCTATGTGCCCTTAAATACGTCTGTTTCGTTCCCAGGTTTTGCAATTGTGTGTGTATCTGTCTCACACTGGGGGGTTAGGAAAGTAAAAACATCATGTGTGCCCCCTGCGGAAATGTTGAACTCACAGTTGACGCTTCATAATTATGTCTAGGATATCCATGCATGTTTCATTGCGGAAAACGTAGCTCTGGTCCTTCTTTCTGTATTATGATTAAGCTAGACATGACTGCTGAATAAATACAGTTGCTACTGGAGTAAGTTGCTACTTTCTAATCGACATTGAAATTTAGTGAGTTCGTGGGTGGGTTATTTTTTATTTTTTTACTTTTTGGGCGAGGGTGGAGTGTTGCGAATGTACACAGCTTGCTGTCATTATACTTCTGTGGAGTTCGTTGTTCATTGAAAAGTGTCCACTTCATTGTTTCAGGGCCCACAAAACAAGACCGGTACTTGTCTTACCTGCGGTGGGGGTTTTCAAGATTGTCCGGGGCACTATGGATATTTGGTTCTCGCTTTGCCAGTTTACAATGTGGGTTATTTGAGCACTGTTCTCGACATCTTGAAGTGCATTTGTAAGGTATCAGCCTACAGCTCATTTTAGCTTACATTTCATTTTCTTACTCACAAGTATATAATCGAATTTTTCAGTACTTTAGCCTGTCTCATTATGCCTTTTGTGCTCCTTAGAGCCATCATTGTTCTTGTGAGCCCTGAAAAATACAAAGTGTCTAGTGCTTTCTCTTTGTCCAGTTATAATGCTTATTTTTCAGAAACAAAAATGGATATGCTTGTTGTACTTAGATGATAACTTACGCATACTTTGCTCGTGAGGAATGTGTATTCCATAGTTGTGCAAAACTGCCTTTTTTTTTTTCCTCTCTCTGCGTTAATGCAACACCACAAAGTTGATATCTTCTCTAGATTTGTTCCTTTCATCTTGATCAACTATCATTCTATGCATACTTTTCTTTTCACACCCTTGTACGTTCTTTAGATTCTTTTTTATGTCTAGGTTTTCGTCTTAGCCTAATATGGTTGACAATTAGGTCATTTCTTACCGTTATTAGTTTCATTTGGTTTTTAACACCAGAACCAGACTCTTGGATCGTTGAAACTGGGTTGTATGTTTCGTTTGTTAGGACGTTGGAAGGGGAGATGAGAAATCTATTTGAGGATATTTGTGCTTCAGTGATGGTTACTTGTTTCTCTCTTTCTTTGACCCCATTGCAATCGGGCATTTATATTTTCTTGTCACCAGGGATGAAGTTTTGTTAGTTTTTGTATGTAGATGAGACGTGGTGCGAGTAACAAGATTTTGCTCATTTGCTTCGGTTTATCCCCTTTTTAAAACGTTTCTTGAATGCTTCATCTCTAGATATCTGCATTATCTCGTCAGAAATAAACCTTAAGCATGGAAACTATTATCTTTGCCAGTGTCTTATGATGTTACTATATCTATTCTGCAGCAATGTTCGCGTGTGCTTCTTGGTGAGGAACTGCGAATTAACTTTTTAAAGAGAATGAGAAATCCTAAAATGGAGCCTCTGCGAAAGAGTGAGCTGCAAAAGATGATTGTAAAAAAGTGTACTGCCCTGGCAAGTAGTAGAAAGGCAGCTAAATGTGCTAAATGTGGATATGTAAATGGTATGACTCTTGCTTCCTCTTTTTTTCCTCTTTTTTTCTCCCCCATAAAAAACAAGAAGGAAACCTTTCCAGTTTTTTTTTTTTTGTTTTTTTTTTGTGGGGAAGCTGTTTTAAGTATCGTTTGACCACACACAAAATTTTTATACATGCTGTTAGGATTAACAGGATTGACTGCACAATCATGAAATTCGTTTCATTGTTGAAAAATTTGTGCAGATGTAGAGATCTGATTGTAGCCCCCATCTTTCCATGCCTTTGTGATATAGTGTGTATGAGCTGTTAGAGAAATTTCACTAATATCTCCTGTGTGTAGATTATAGGAGCCTCTCTCTCCAGTGTCTTTCACATGCTCTCTGAATTAATCTAGGTGTAAAAACTCATTAATTTGGACTTATTGACATTTCAGATGATGATGAACAATTGGCAGGGATTCATTGGTGAAATTTTATTGCAACATAGTACTTAGAAATAGAGTTTAGTAAAACCTTTTTGACCAAATTTGTATATGATCTCCTTTTCTGGAACAATTTTTTTTTCTGTCTTTTTTGTTATTAAAATGCTTGCTTAATTTATGACTTGTTATTTAAGTTGGTAGTATTTTACATTTTTTTTGGGTTTAAGCGCTTATGCCTTCGCTCAGCTTGGGATTTTACCTTTTTCAAAAATTTTAATATTTTGTTTTTCTGTTTAAATTCTTGTATTTTAGGTATGGTGAAAAGAAATACAAAAATGCCGGGAATTGTCCATGAACGGTTAAAAGTCAATGCTAGCTTAAAGGATGAATGTAGTTTAGCTGTTCCCAACAAATCTAACTTTAGCATTCCTGATGAAATGGACCCTAAATTAGTTCATTCCCTTCTGAAGAATATGTTAGATGAGGTATTGTCTCTTAACACTTGAGAAGCTATCTTTCTCTCCCAAATTTGTCTCTTAGCCTCGCATTTTCTCCTTTCTTAACAGGATTGTGTTTTCATTTTGGTATCTGCAGGATTGTGAGTTGCTTTACCTTAATGATAGACCTGAAAAACTCATGGTGACCAGTATACTTGTGCCTCCAACAGCCATACGTCCTTCTGTTTTTGTCGATGGTGGAACACAGAGGTCATTTTCACATTAAAGTGCTTGCTTCTTCTCGCTTCTGTCTGATATTACTCTTAGTGTTTCCAATTTACAGTTGTAAATTGGAGGTCCTGTTATTGTTGTATATGCTACTACTTCCTTTCCTTTGATGGCTTTCTAGACATATCGGTTGTATGTTAATTTATGTTTGGTTATTGATTGTTTTAAGAAATCAAATGGATTATTTATAGTTTGAATGATTGTCAATCATTTTCTTGAAATTTCATTTCGAGGATGTGTTAGTTTATCAGTGAAATTGTGGTTGATTTGTCCTAGTTTTTGTTTTTCTAGTCTTACTCATAATAATGGAACACTGAGCTAGTTTCAAGGATGAAAAGACATAATAGTGCAATTGTAACCGATCATGGACAAGCTTGGAATGGATGTTTTTTCCTTATTTACTATTCAAGTTTTAGAAAATCTGTGAATATATGCTTGCCAATTGAGGCAAAAAGATTGCCAGGCCAGTCCTGGAATCTGATTCAAGTAATGGAAGGATATTGAATATACCCTCCTATAGCCCCCATTTTTTAGTCAGATTGTATTGAGATGTCTGATGTATGTCCTACAATATAGTTTTATGATACTTTTCTCTTGCATATATATCTCTTTTAATTGCCTGACGAGGGAATGATAGCTTTTTTGAGGATTATTTATGCATTTATTTTTTTGGTCTTCAACAAAGTAATGGCAATTAATGATCTTTCTCCGACTACTCTCGGGTAGACATACTATCAGATCATCTAACTATTCTTGTTTGATCACCTCTAGACTGTATTATCATCCAGTTTTATGTGTATCTGTATTTAGTACATTCCTTCATTATAAAAAGGTGAGAAATTGACTTTGTGCAATCTTACCATTACATGCAGTAACGAGAATGACATTTCAGAGAGACTTAAACGCATCATCCAAGCTAATGCTTCTCTTGTTCAAGAAATATCAGATAAAGATTTTCCCTCTAAGGGCTTGGTAGGGTATTTATTTCCGGGTTTCTTTTCTCTTCCCAGAGCTCGTTTCTTTTTTAAGTGTATGATGTTGATCCTGGACTTGCTTTTTGATGTTACTTTTCTTTTTCTCTTGTTTTCCAATTGTAACTATCATGTTTAATTTTGATAAACACCCACTTGGTCTCTGCTCTTATCTGCTTTCTAAAGATACTGTGAAAAGTAAAGATGACGGTCTGAAATATCATTATTGATGTTGGAAATTTAGGTCCGGATGCTTCCTAATAAGAACCTCCTGATATTTGCTGTCACTAGGCTGTTTTGAAGTTATAATTATCTTATATATATATACATATATATTATTTTGGTCCCTTGATTTCGTTAATAAAAATTTTCATATACACATGTTTTGATACTTAGCAATAAATTTCTGGTGCAGGAAAGTTGGATTTTATTGCAAGTGGAGGTAGCACAATATATCAATAGTGAGGTACGTGTAAGTCTCCCGATTGAACAACCTACCAAACCGTTGAGTGGTTTTGTCCAACGGCTCAAAGGGAAGCAGGGAAGATTTCGTGGAAATCTTTCTGGAAAACGTGTTGAGTTTACAGGACGAACTGTCATATCTCCGGATCCGAATTTGAAAATTACAGAGGTACAACATTATCTTACTTTCTATATGTGTTCTAGGTTTTGTATCCTAATTTGTTTTCCATTTTGACAAAGTGATCAAATATATCTTGAAGTTTTTCATTTTTGCTTGGCAAATTGGTTTGAACCATGAGATGTTGCTCTCTGCCTAGGTTAAGTATATGGAAAGAAAAAAACCTTTCCTAACACCCTTGTAATGACTTTTATTGCTATTTATATTCTTTTTATTTATAATCCTGACGAGCTCATTTACCTAGGTTGCAATTCCTATACTGATGGCTCGGATTTTAACTTTTCCCGAGCGGGTTTCACGTCATAATATAGAGAAGTTGAGGAAATGTGTTCGAAACGGCCCAAATAAGTACCCTGGGGCAAAATTAATCAAGAAGCCTGATGGTACAGAGATGTAAGATTTTTTTAAAGGGCCTTTTTGCTTGTCACTTATCTTTTAGGATTTACTGCTTTTGGTAAATGTTTGGCATTTGTGTTGCAGATCACTGATGTTTTCTCGTAAAAATGTTGAAGCTGATGACTTGAAATGTGGTTACATAGTGCATCGTCACTTAGAAGATGGAGATGTTGTTTTGTTTAACAGACAACCAAGTCTGCATAGAATGTCCATAATGTGCCATCAGGTAGGTTGGCTACAATCAGCTTTGATCTAAGTGCTTTGTGTCTGTGTCTTCTCATTTGAATTTATCTTAACCTTTTCCGCAGGCAAGGATAATGCCTTGGCGTACACTGAGGTTCAATGAGTCAGTTTGCAATCCATACAATGCCGATTTTGATGGTGATGAAATGAATATGCACGTGCCTCAGACAGTGGAGGCTCGAACAGAGGCTTTATTGTTGATGGGTGTAAGTGTTGCTTCATGCCTTCTCAGAGTTTTGTTTCTGGTTTTTTCTTTCCTCTTTCTTCGATAATAAACATCAGCCACTGTGGCTGCAAGTGCTTTATGCTTTGTTTCTGATGTTGCAGGTGCAAAATAACTTGTGCACTCCAAAAAATGGAGAGATTTTGGTTGCATCGACACAGGACTTTTTGACTTCTTCATTTCTTATTACGAGGAAGGACACATTTTATGATCGAGCTACTTTTTCTCTCATTTGTTCATACATGGGGGATGGGATGGATCAAGTTGATTTGCCCACGCCAGCGTTGGTTAAGGTTTGTTCAATTGACAAACTGTACTTCCTTTACCACTTTCGAACAAAGCCATAATATATCCGCATTCTATTCTATTCTCCTTTTTGGGTTGAGAAGATTCCTATTGAGTTCCAGGCTTTTTGAAACAACTTTGTTTGCCGATTTTACATTTCATTATTTTATGGAGTGCTAGTATCTGTAGCCATGTTGTCTACATTCTTTGACCCAGCTTACTTATGTTATTTCCAAAATGAAGTTTAAAAAGTGGGCATTTGCATTCCTGATTAACCTCTTCTCAACCTTAAGTCATAGGTTGAAGTATTTGGGAATTCACAGAAATCTAGTCATCCGCAATTTTTCAGGAAATATTCATTGGTCGAAATTTACTAATAATTTATCGCTCGGTGATTTATCTACCTTATAGATGTAGAAGCCGAAACATGGTGGCTTGTAAATTTCAAATTCTGTAATCTGTCTCTCCTTTGTTTTCTGGATTTTGGTAGCAGATTTATACACATCATTATTCTTTTGCAGCCAGTTGAGCTTTGGACTGGGAAGCAGCTGTTCTCTATTTTATTGCGTCCATATGATAGAATGAGAGTTTACTTAAATCTTACTGTAACTGAAAAGAGTTACATCAAGCCCAAAGAAACTATGTGCCCGAATGATGGGTACGTATGCTTCCGTAATAGTGAGCTCATTAGTGGACAATTGGGGAAAGCTACATTAGGTATGTTATCCCTTTTTTGTTGAAAATCAATCATTCATCACTTTGTTTTAGTTTTCCATATTCAAGTTGGCTGCATTGCTGAGTAGCCTGAGTTTAGTCTGAGTTAATTAATTACAAGAAATGTCTTCTGTATTATTAACCATCACAAATATCTGTATTGTTCAGTTTTTTTTTTTTTTTGGGGGGGGGGGGGTGGTAATCTCCTTAACTTGAGATGCGCTTTCTCTCCTTCTTCGGAATTCATTTCAACCTTGTCTCATGTTTTTGTGGGAGATGATGGGTTGAGCTGTTTTCAATTTCTTTAGAGGGCATGCTGATGTTTATTTTTGAGCATAGTCGTTAGCGTGGTGTTTTAGAGAATTGCTCTGTGGAAATTTTCAATTGAATACCTCCATTTTTTCCCCTAACTTGTCCTGCTTTTATTCACAACACTGCAACATTGAAGAATGTGCCCAAAGGAATCTACATATAGAACACATCTGTACTGCGTGGGAAACTGTATTCCATTTCTTATTAATTCTCCGCCAATTAATTTTTTGGCATAATGATGATGGGGATACTTACGGATGGGGCATCACTAATTATAATGAAATCTTTTCAGTCGAAAAAGGATGTAATTGAGATTTCTGTTTGCATCCTTTGTGGATTTTCAATGCTATAATAGATTCATTTGGACTGTAAGTACTCACATTTTAGATTGGAACAGGAAATGGAAACAAAGATGGTCTGTATTCAGTTCTTTTGAGAGATTATAGTCCCCATGGTGCATCAGTATGTATGAATCGCTTAGCAAAGTTGAGGTATGGCTGTAACCATATCACCATTGTTCATGTACTTTGTTCTCTTTGGTATTGTAAGTTAGTGTGAGGTTACCCTTTACGCTAAGTAATACAAGTTGTACATATATTTTGCAATCTTTGAATTTCCTTCTTTGGTGTCAACTAGTATTTATAGCTCCCACTTAGGTCCACTATGAGATGTCATGTATTCCTATGGTATACATCAATATATCATATGAGTTTATGTTGTATTCTTCCTAAGTAATTATTGCACGTGGACTTTCTTTCTGTTCATTTTTTATTGCCTTTGTATGTTGATCAAATCTCAGATGTGGAGTATGGTTCCCGTTGCACTGTCAGTCATGAGATTTCATCCATATATTTCATCCCTTTGAGGGGTTGATGTGGTTTCTCATGAACTTTGATACAACCTTGCCTATTATTTTTAACCTTTGCTTTAGCCTGATGATGATGCATGATGTCAGCCTTGGGATTTTTAACATATTAACTAAACTCATGACTCTCTAGAACATACTTTTGCACACTTCTTGACTCCCAAGTTTATGATATTTAGCTTCCGATGATTCTTCTTGAGTGTGTGTTCTACATTCTTCTCAAGCACACACATGCTCCCAGTGTAACGTTCTTCTCAAGCACACATGCTTCTCAATCTTCTACTTTGGATTTTGTCATTGCATCCATTCCCTTGTTATGATCTTCTTAACTGTTACTCATACTCTCGCGTGTTCACGTTGGTTTATCAAAAGCTGCATAAAACTGCATGAAAAATAAAGCAATCTTGTTATGCTCGTCGACTTGCTTTTTCGAATTTTTGTCAACCTTTAGGGTGTTGTGTCTCTTTCCAATTGTCTTACCAGGACTTTCCTCTTCATATACAAGAAAGGCCGATATATTCTAACTTTCCTGTCTATGACTCCCATTCATGTTTCAGCAACTCTCTTTTGAGAAGTAAATATATATATGTCTGTATGTGTTTTGGCATCTTAAGCTTGAACCGTGTAATGTCTTTGTCTGGATGTTGTTCTTTGTATATGTTTGCTTAAAAAGTTTGGGTTTGGTTGCAGGATTTTTTGAATTATCTATCTGCTTCATATGCTTGACTCTGAGAGTTTTCTCGTGCACTGTGTATCTAGTTTATACATGGTAGTAAACTTGGAGGACAAGTGGGGGATGAGTTCATTTCTCTTTCGGATAACTTTTAAGTGGCCAGAAATTCACTGAGTTACAGACTTGGTTGTGGATACGCATGAAATTGTGCTCATCTGTTCCATTGTGTATTCACATGCAGTGCTAGATGGATAGGGAACCATGGATTTTCTATCGGAATTGATGATGTCCAACCACCTGCTCCTTTGATTCTTGCCAAGGATGAGAAGATACGTATAGGATACAAAGACTGTGATGATTTAATACAACAGTTCAACAAGGGACACCTTGAGTTGCAACCTGGCCATGATGCTGCTCTTACACTTGAAGCTAAAATAACTGGTGTACTGAATGATATTCGAGAACATGCTGCGAAGGTAAACATATTTGTACTTCCAGTACCTTTTGCAAGTATCTTAATCGTTTGTTATCCTCCTTGGCTGAATGTTGGTTGAAGGAATTGGAATTTTCCGTCGAAGTGTGGTAATATTTTTTACTGTATGGTCGAATTTGATAGGAACTGATTTTGATCCAACTCATTCTAATGCTTATCTGGTGTTAAGACTCCTTGGGATTTTGAATTTCATCCTTACGAATGCATTGGGTGAGATGTAACCTAATGAGGATGTATATTCCATTTGCTCCGTTATCACTATCATACACATCTTAACATTAACATCTTTATTAATTATGAACTCCTTTTGCTTTATGAAAGATCTGGGAGTTAACTTACTTTCCTCACCCGGGATTTGCTTAGAAAGGATTGAAATAGACGAGTTTGTCTCAGGAAGATTACCAAACTTAAGTGAACTTACTTTCTCCCTCTGTCTCTCTCTGCTCTTTTCTTCCATTTCATTTTGTTTTAAAAGACATCGGACTCCCAAGTGCTTCTGAAATAAGTGATTTATGCTTTCTATTGACTGTCTCATATGACTCCTTTTCGGCTTTCTTATTGTAAATTGTTTATTATTTGCCTCATACTTACCATGTTCTTTGGTATAAAACTCTTTGAAGGAATGTATGAAAGGCCTTCAGTGGAGGAATAGTCCTCTGATAATGTCTCAATGTGGTTCGAAGGGATCTCCTATAAACATCAGTCAGATGGTTGCATGTGTTGGCCAGCAATCTGTTGGTGGTCGCCGGGCTCCAAATGGTTTCATTGATCGCAGCCTTCCTCATTTTCCAAGAAAATCAAAGATCCCTCAGGTATTCTGAAACTTTACATCGATGGTCTTTCACTTGGGAGTTGGTATAATTGCTGAAGGCAATGATCATAAAATCATTTCTTCGTGAAGAGAAGAGTTTTGAGTTCAGTACGATATACATAGTTTTCGTTTTGTAGAAAAATTATGGAATCTAGTTGATCGCAGAAAGAGTGATATGAAAGGAGGATGCGTATTTGACTTTATTTTTAATATTGAAGAGGATGGAGATAACATCGCCTTTGTTTCCCAAACTTATTATCTTGTTCAATCCTCCAATCGATTCTGTTCTATGAACTTTTCATGTTACCACAAAAGGTATTCTTCGTGTCTATTGACTATTCCAAGTTATTCCTCTATTGCAAAGGCATAGTACCTCCCACAAGGGAAAAGCCTCCATTTGAGTTTCTATATCTAGGAACTGCCGGTGGAGACCAACCTTGAATCAATCTATCTCTGTCATCCTTCTTCCTCTGTTGCCTTGCTTCCATGTTATTGTGCACAGAAAAAGCGATTCAGTGGTGGAATTAGTTGAACCTCTAATATATTACCTGTTGTTTAGTTGCTGTAGTTGTCCACTGAACGCTTGCTCCAGTTCATTAGAAGGTTAACCTCCCAAGTTAAATATAGGATTATTCCAAAACCTGGTAAGGAAAGTGATAGGATTTGCATTATATTGGTGTTCTACTTCTATTGTTAACCAGATCATTTCTTCCATCACTATTACCTTGGAAAATAATATTTTCTTTTAAGGTGCGATCTGTTGAGCATACTTCGATTCTGCACCCCCTTTTATTCAGGTTTCACCAGTAGTCATTCTTTAATCTTTTGGGGACTTTTTCCAACATTGCAACTAAGAATTCTTCGGATTAAAAATAATATGCAATGTGGCTTTACTAACAAATTTTGGCTTAGTCATTTGCAGTTTGAAATCAATTGATTCTCTTTGTTATACAATCATAAAGTGTTTTAAGTTTTCTTTGGTTTTGTCTGCAGGCTAAAGGATTCGTGGCTAATTCATTTTATAGTGGTCTAACTGCTACAGAATTCTTTTTCCACACAATGGGAGGAAGAGAAGGCCTGGTTGATACTGCGGTATGCATGTTTCTTCTGTTTTGATGGTTGCCTCATCTCATTTCAGTCATGAAGTTCTTTGTCCTCCTTTCTGCCCTCTATTCTGTTTCTGGTTTTTCTTTATTCTTTTTTGGATGGGGGTTGACGTGGCATCTAGTGCAGTGTTTGGATGATTATTATGGGAAGGGAAGAACTGTAAAGGCTGGACATGAGCTCTTTTTCTTTCTTTCTTTCTTTCTTTTTTTCAAAAAAATGATGCATCAAATCTGTGTTTTGATAGAACATTGTTTGATGATAAATGAATCATATAGCTGACTTTGCATGGTGGGAAAGTTCTGGTGGTTTTGATTTCTGAGGTTTGGAGGTGGGAGGGGTGACGCGGTGGGTGTTTTTATGTGAATATTATAAGCTCTCGTCTTGTTTTTTCTTGCCAATTCGCTCTTTAGCTTTCTGATGGAGTTGGAACTTTCATAATTAACTTTTATATATTTGTTGCTTGCCTTTAAAGTTATTTTCTTGGACTTGTTTACTCTTTGCAGGTTAAAACTGCTGATACTGGATACATGTCTCGGAGACTTATGAAAGCTTTAGAGGACCTATCAATTCATTATGACAACACTGTGAGAAATGCCAGTTCTTGTATAGTTCAATTTGTTTATGGTGACGATGGCATGGATCCTGCTCAAATGGAGGAGAAAACTGGGCAGCCTCTAAACTTTGATAGATTACTCATGAATGTGAAGGTTAGACATTGCCCTTGCATTAACTTTGTGTATCTTGCGTCAAAGTTGAAACCTCTCTGACTTACCTATGTTTCGTTTGCACTGCAGGCAACCTGTAATGCGGGTGATATGAAGAGCTTGTCTCCTTCAGAGATCTGCAAAATGACCGACGAAAGGCTCTCTGAACATGACATGACTCCTGAAGGGGGGTGCTCGGTGGCTTTTAGAGATTCATTAGCAAAATTTCTCAAGGACAAATGTGTCACATGTTTAAAGAACACAATTGAAGATTTGAAATCAGATGCAGATCAGAATGGAGGCAACAATCAGGATCATCTTCAAAACATATCCTTGAACATATCTGGCATTACTGCTCAGCAGCTGGAGGTATTGAATCTACTGCATGAAAATATTTTCCTGCTTTTCTATTTGTGGGTTTGGCTAAGTAGTTATCTTCAACATTTTCTCAATTATGAGTTATCATTTTAAAGAAGTATGGTCTGATTGCATAGCATGCCCCAAAATTATGGTTTTCATCCTAGCAGCAACAAACACCACCTTCTCCTCCAGATGTAAGCCATCCCTCCATTTAACCAAAGAAATTCCTATGGTCATTAGGGTTTGGAGTGTTTCACTTTTAAGCAAATGCTTGGATTCCTTTGAGGGAAAAAGTTTCCAACGGTTCTGTACAAGAGCTTGGATTTTTCTTTGGGCATATTACTTGAAAGGTTGATATAAACTTTGGCCAATATCTTAGGTCTTTTTGAGAGTCTGCATCTCAAGGTATCATAACAAAAGAATAGAAGCTGGAACTGCAATTGGGGCAATTGGAGCTCAGAGTATTGGAGAACCAGGCACACAGATGACATTAAAAACTTTTCACTTTGCAGGAGTTGCAAGCATGAGTATCCTTTGAGTATGAATAATTCTTATGGTAATGCAAACTTCCTGGTCTTATGGTAGTGATAGTGCTTTCTTGTTTACCTTAATCATAAGATAGATGTTACACTTGGAGTGCCTCGTATAAAAGAGATTATAAATGCTGCCAATAAAATAAGTACACCAATTATATCTGCAAAGCTTAAAGATGAATATAGTGCAAAGGATGCAAGCATGGCAAAAGCTCGTATTGAGAAAACACTTCTTGGACAGGTGAGTTGTATCTCAATTATAATCATTATAAACTAGATGTTTTTATGATCTTTTTTCTGTATACCCTTATTTGACATTAATGCAGAGTTGTGCGCACTAATTTTCCATCTTCAGGGCTCCTCTTACCTCCTCAAAATCATTTGCCACTGTCATATTCTATTTTTAGATAATTTTCACTGATTATTTCTCTGATATCATTTTAAGTGTGTCACATTCTCTCTTTAACCTGTAGGTTGCGAAAAGCATAAAAATTGTCATGTCCGGAAGGCAAGCATCTATAGTTATTTCTCTTGACATGGAGATTATACGAGCATCACGACTTTCTATAGATGCTTATAAAGTGAAAGAATCAATTCTGCGGACTCCAAGAATAAAACTCAAGGAACAGGTATCTTTGTTTATAAATTTTGATCATCTCATTCGCCATAGCTGTAGCTAAAGATTTGTAATTATGCAGCACGTTAGGGTAAGGAGCCCCAGAAAGCTGGAAGTAGTTCCTCAGGCTGACAAAAGTAAACTTCATTTTGAGCTTCATGCTTTCAAAAATAAGCTTCCTGCGGTAGTTGTGTCGGTGAGCCAGAAATCTATGTTTCATATATCTGCAAAAAAAGTTGAAGATTTTTTTTTTTTTCTTTTCGAGTATTGTGTTACCCTAATTAAATCTTTTTGTGGTGTATATGGATTGACAGGGTATTAACACTGTGGAGCGTGTTGTCATAAAAAAAGATGAAAAGAAAGAGGGATTGAAGGAAGTTTCCAAGTACCATTTGTTTGCAGAAGGGTAAGTTTTCTGTCATGAACATCTGTTCTGGTTTGGCAACACTGTGATTGTCCTTTTCTTTTCTGGGCAGTTAAATAAAGTTTTTAGTTGGACTATTGTCTGGATGGACAGATGTCTAAAACCGCTTCTTCTTTTGTTGTCATCTAACTGTTCATTTTATGTTTGCATGAGCGCACCCTTTGACATTCCCGATACAGCCTTTTACATATTCAAAACTACTTCCAATACTTGTATTTTAAAGTAAAACAAAAACAAAAATAACAAAATGGCTGTCCATGCGGGTCCTTATAATGCTTGTCTTCATATCTGTTGTAGATGTCTTTTTGGCAAGTATAGTGGATCAACTATTATGATATGAAGTATTAAGGGTTTTATATTGAGTTATATGGCGATTATGATTCTTGCAGCACTGGTCTTCTGGAAGTCATGGGCACTGAAGGAGTTAACGGGTGTGAAACTCGAAGCAATCATGTCATGGAAGTCAAGAGAGTACTTGGAATTGAAGCTGCAAGAACTTCCATTATCGATGAGATTAGGCATACAATGTCGAGTCATGGAATGACAATAGACATACGTCACATGATGCTTCTGGCTGATTTAATGACATTTAAGGTTGGTTCCATCTTTTAACATCTAGACTTGTGCTGAATTTGCGTCAAGACCTTGTCGATATTCTAGTATTAAATGTGGCATTTAAAGTCAGATGCTCATTTTGTATCTGCTGTCTATGTTGCCAGGGTGAAGTTCTTGGTATTACAAGATTCGGTGTGCAGAAAATGAAAGACAGTGTTTTGACACTAGCTTCTTTTGAGAAAACATCCGATCACCTTTTCAATGCTTCTGTGAGTGGGAGGGTTGATAAAATTGAAGGAGTAAGTGAATGCATCATTATGGGTATACCAATGCTGGCAGGTACAGGGATGATTAAAATCCGTCAACGGTAAGTAAATTCATGTTATGCACAATCCATATTATAGGTTTTTGTTATACCTGAAGTATATTTGTGCAGTTATAGAAAAGCTCAAAGACGTTTTAAAATTTCTCTATGACATCTCTCTGTCTGTTTGAGTGATTCCATACTTCCAGTTACTCAGTATTATGTTGGTTGATGGATGTGGAGGAAAGATTTAACTACTGGGAAGAGATCAGACAATCTTTAATTTCTTTCTGTTTTTCTGTTTTGCCTTCGCTTTTGAAATTACTTGCAATATATAAACCCACGATGAAGAAACAAACAATAGGATAAACCATGGCCCTCAAGACTTGTTTAGTTCATCCGATAGAGGAGTCGCTTAAGCTAGATTCTTTTGAACCAGTATATGCCAATGCTTTTACTCTAGAGCATAGATGTTTTGAACCTTGATTCTATTGTTGCCGGATGGATTTGATATTGACTTTTTTTTTTCCTTCCTTGCAGAGTGGAGGAAGTGAAGCTGAATTATGGATTGGACCCAATTTTGACCTGAAGTTAATCATGAAATGGTTGTCTTGGTGAAACCATTCTATTGTGGATACAGATTTTGCTTGACCATCATGCTTTTGAAGTGTCCCAGTTTCAGCCAAATCAGATACACTCATACCGGTGTATAGGCACCATGGTTATGGTGCAATATTAGCCTGACCAACACTGTCTAGTAGTCTTTTGCCATTAACAGTGTGGGAGGAGATAAAGAATCGAACCCGCAACCTTCTCTCATTATAACCAACTTTAAGTCAAACGGTTCGAGTCACTATTTCTTGCGATAGTCTTTTATAGGTGTATATTATGACATTATACCAAGCAATATTTATAAGAGTTTTGAGCTGGCTTTTATATTTGATTATTCTCTAGTGACCAGTATTAATTGTCAATTTCATTTTTCTTCTAATAACAATGGAATTAATAAAGTACTAAAGCCATGAAAATTCCAACGACTTGAAAAGGAATTCCAGCTTTATAAGGCAGCTATCGGGAATAAGATTCTCGTTCGTTCACCATTGGCCATAAATTTAGAATTAGTTTTCCAGAATTTTCATTCTCCTCTTGGTAGATTGTTTAACCTCAGTCACAATGACTAATTTCTCTTTGGCTATTATTATTATTATTATTATTATTTATTATTATTATTACTATTATTATCTGTTTTCTTGTTGTATTGTGAGACTAATCAAAATGTGACATTTAGAAATTCAATTATCCAAAACCAAATTAAATAATAGTTTCTTAGTCCAAAAAGAAATTACAACCAAACTTATGAATTTTACTGTTATTGGCACTATTCATAGAGGGAGTAAATATAAAAAATTTAAAACCAATAATTGTAAGAGAATTTGTGCAAGATTTTTAATTTCAGGTTAAAAATATGGTTCATTTTTTACTGAAATATATTTGCTTAAACAATCTCCGTAAAGTCTCATTAAATTTGAAGAAAAGAAAAAGAATAGAAGACCATATTAGTCTTTTCACTTTGTAAAAAGCAATTAGAATTTATTTATGGGATCCTTAATCTAGAATTTGTATTTCTTTTTTTTCTTTTGTTTTTTGGAGCGAACTTTATTAAATCTTTTTTTTTTTTTTTTTTCCATATTCTCTGAATTACGCCCTCTCTTTTGGTCCGCGCCTAAATCCCCCGCCTGAGCCATACCCCGACGGCGGTGCCGCCACGCAGCGCCACCGCCTTCAATTTCTTCCACTAACGTGAGTTGGCACATCCTTCTAATTCCTCAAACTCGAACTGTTTTTTTTTCCCCCCTTTCCCTTGATAATTTTGCTCTATAGTGGCGCAATGGCTACTGATGAAGCTGTGCAACACGATGAGGAAGTAATCGATGTGAGTTTCTGCACACCAATTTCTTTCAGTATGGAACTCTTTTGTGCAATGTCAATATGTTTTCTGTTCTTTTTTTCCCTTTATTTTGAGTGTATAGAACTATGGGAGTTTTCTGTAGGTGTAGCATCATTATTACAACTATCTCCTATCAATTTAGTTGGGAGCTTAGTTGGGAGCTCTGTTAAGAAAATTTTGTGTGTGTGCGTGTGTGTGTGTGTTTGTTTTTTTTTTTTTTTTCTATCCATATGCAAGCTCGGACAAGAATTCAACCTCGGATGATTTATTGTTAGAAATACATCTTTGATGATGACTGTTTCTTAGTTTTGGGGGATTGAATTTTGATGCGTGTGTTGTTATAATGATCATGATTTTTTGTCATCTTACCAGAATTCCTTCAAAGTGTCCCCGGAGATGGAGAAGTTTCTTTGTGACCGATTATTGGATCAAAGCCAGCCAATTTCCGAACGTTTTAGAGCCCTCTTTTCTCTTCGTAACCTCCGCGGCTCTGGACCACGCAATTCTCTCATTTCTGGTATGTTCTTTCTCCTTTAGTGATTGATCATTCAGACTAATTATATAAATATAAACACGGAAATTTTTATTGGAATTCCGGGTGTCTCGGAGCTATCCATTTTGCTTTATTTTGTTTCCCCTCTTTTGATCAATTTTGATGCATTTTTAAGTTCTTGTTGTAGGCTTGGTACTCATGAGTTTCAAGTTATCATGAGTCTGCTTGGATCATACAGCTACCAAGAATTCATTCTGTGGATTGTAACTTATACTTGCTTTATGTCCTTTAACACTGAGGATGTAGTAATAACAGCAAAATTACTTGTCTCAGCATGTTCTTAAACATCATAATAGGTTGCATTAGTGCTAATTTTAAGAAAGTTTTGCTTTTTGGTACAGGAAGTTTTTCCTCTTTCTGAAACGTTGAAGTAAGCTATGGGATGGATGGTTATTAACTATTTTAGGAGTTCTTTTTATCAGTCATAAACTGCTAATACATGAAGAATAGCAATAGGGTCAAACTGTCGCTTGCTTCTTCATTAGTTTAGTTGTCTTTCCACATTTTTGCGGGAGTATTCATCAACTTGGTGTCCAACATTGATGCTTTTTCCTTCCATTCAGCAACAAGAGACTCCTCAAATCTTTTGGCGCACGAGGCTGCTTTTGCTTTGGGGCAGATGCAAGACGTTGATGCAATTCCTGCGTTGGAATCAGTTCTGAATGATCTGTCTTTGCATCCTATTGTTCGCCATGAGGTAGGAAGAATTTTAAAATGTCTATATATGCAATGTTTCTTCATTTGTTTCCTCTGCTGATATTCTTATTATCTGCTAATATCCCAAAGGCTGCAGAGGCACTTGGTGCAATTGCTTTAGAATGTAATATTCCATTGCTCAAAAAGAGTTTGGTCTCCGATCCAGCTCAAGAGGTTCGTGAAACATGTGAACTAGCTTTAAGCCGAATTGAAGACATTAAGAATGTTAAAGTTGATGATCCATCCAGAATTGATGCATCACCATATCTATCAGTGGACCCGGCAGCCCCTGCTTCTGGTCGTTCTATCTGTGAACTCAGGTTTGTCTTTAGTTGCTATAATTTCTTGCTACTGTCCTTGTACTTCGTCATTTTAACTTGACATTTTCTGTCATTGATCGTCAAGGGGTACACTTCTAGACGAAGAAAAGAGTATGTATGAGCGTTATGCTGCTCTGTTTGCACTACGTAACAATGGCGCGGAAGAAGCTGTGAGTGCAATAATTGACTCATTGAACGCCAAGAGTGCTCTCCTGCGGCATGAGGTAGCTTCTACCTAATTTATGACCTTTTTTTTTTATTAAATAATTTGAGCTGTTGAAATTATAAACAAAAGGCATGGTTGAAACTTTCTCACACCTAAGCCCTGTATTGAGTGTGTTCATGGTGTTTTCCAAATTTCCATCAATAGTTGTTCAGTACCTATAGGCTGTTTCACTCTTTTAACATTGTCCACCACCGTACTTCCTACCTTTTTTGTATTACTATAAAGCTTTCCTGATGGCTGTTCACAGGTTGTTGAGTTGTCCTCTTGTCCTCCATAAGTCCCTAATTCATTGTAGATCACATCTTTTGAACTTTAGTTTGAGGATTTTCAAAACGGGAACCATGATTTGATTTTCAGTGTATGGAGTTACTGCCATTTATTTGAACATTACAATGAGGCTCTTGGCTTGAATTCAAAATTCTTTCGCTCTCTATTTTGACTTTGGTCATTAATATTGTTATCCTTCTCAGGTTGCTTATGTTTTGGGCCAGTTGCAAAATAAAAGGGCTTCAGATGCACTGTCTAAGACACTCAAAGATACAAATGAACATCCAATGGTTAGACATGAAGCTGCTGAAGCTCTTGGTTCTATTGCAGGTTAGACTAGCTTCTTGTGACTTTAAGAGTAATTGTACAGCTAATGTCATCTAACCTGATTTATCATTTCTGCCATAAGGATAGAAAATCTGTTTATTTTCTATATGTTTACTGCCATGAAGGAAACTTTGATTTGTGATTTATTGCATTGAGATTGTATTTCGTAACATTGGACTGCTTGTGGGACCAGGACACTATATCAATATCTTCAGATTTTTTTTCATGGCGTTTTAGATCGTGTTTTGGATGAGTTAATAAGTGGATGGATTCTTCTAAAAGTCGCCGATGACAATGCAAGGGGCGAGTCAAAATAAATTAGTTCCCTCTTGTCAAATTAGATTATTGTTCTGATGAATGTTTGTTTAAATTAGTTCTCTCTTTTAGAGTCTTCCACATGTCAAGTGCAAAAGTCCAAAAGAAAAATTAATATAGAGTCCTCTTTTCTTGCCCTTTCATGCTGCGACGCTTCTCTGTTGCAAGTGGCAAATTATGTTGGCTTGTGAAATTTGTACTGTTAGCTAAAACCCTTTGTGTTATTAATGGACCAGATTACTTACCATGTTTCTTGTGTGATCAGATATAAAGCCTGTCTTCCACTTCTAAAACCTATCTTCCACTTCTATCTATAGATATTCATGTATTATGTTCCATTTGTTTTCTTAAAAAGTTTTGTAATATAGATTCTGATTTCTTTTGGTTTTAGTTCCTTATTGATGATTGAACAAATTCTAACTATTGTTTTTCCTTCTCCTTTTTTTTTTTTTTTTTTTTGTAGATCAAGAAAGTATTATGCTTCTTGAGGAGTTCTGTAAGGATCCTGAGCCTATTGTCTCACAAAGCTGTGAAGTTGCACTGAGCATGCTTGAGTTTGAAAGATCGGGCAAATCTTTTGAGGTACACCTGAACTTTCTAATTAATGATACACAATTACACATGATGACATTGACTTCAAATGATGATTGAATAATTTAAGTGACATTCATCTGGGCATTGCTTTGATGTTTATAAAGCTCTGATTATCATGTGCTTTGTGCTAAGAACATTTTTGTATTACTATCGTCTACAGTACCTCTTCATGCAAGTACCGCAAGCAGAGAAAGTCGCATAAAAATTTTGTTTCGTTTCCGAGGGTAATTAGAGCTGCTTCTCGGTGAAAATGGATACCATGTTTTGAATTCCGCCGTGCAAAGGGATAAAAGTAGGGCAAATTTGATCTTTACTTCTAGTCTGATCCCGTGCTCCTCCCTTTTGGTTTTATACAGAACCGCAATGGAGAAACAATGGGATGGAAAAACATGAAGACTTGAAGAACTTACATTCGATCTTTACTTGGTTTAGTCGACCTGTTTGTAACCCTTTCAAGCATAATGCATCTTTTGATTCTCTTTTAAGTTACCCCATCCGTTCGACTTTAATATCCACTTTGTTATATCATTTTAGTTTAGCAAAATTAACTATTTTTTCAACAAGAAAAAAAGAAAGAAAGTAGACTACATATACCGGACTGTAGTCATTTGTCATTTCTCTTATTTGATTAGATTATTCCTCCCTTGCAGAGTGGTGTGAACGCTGTTGTACGGAGTTATTGTAAACTTGGTTTTTTTTTTTTTTTTTTGTTTTTTTTTGTTTCCTTGATGAATTTGGGAGGAATTTTCTGCTCTGGCTTAGGCAAAGCTTTTTAAGCAAATTCCCCAATTGAATAAGGGATAAAATTTTTATTCTTAAGCATAATAAATCAACATGTGTTGGGATACAAAATTCATAGCAAAATAACAAATTGGAAAAAAAAAATGGTCGAATGTCGAAAATGATTTCATTTTTTGACATATTTGAAATTAAATAGTGTAATTTATTTTTAATCTATATAAATGTGAAAAACTGTAAAAGCTAATGTTGAGGATGTGTGGAAAAGATAAAAACACGTTGAAGTGAAGGTTGAACTTTAGAATAATGTACAATTTTTTTGTCCCCTCTTTATCATTTTATGGAATGTCCATATTTAATTATTTATTGACCAACTGTGCAGGCTGGAAAACGTGATGCTTTGCCTGTACATCGTCACGTTTCATTTCATCTCCTTTTCATATTTTTCTTTCCATATATCCCTTTGTTGATTTGATAGAGAATACAGTTTATTTTTGGTAAGAGGAAGAAATGGCTTATACCTTGGAAGATCAGATCATCCCTAAATTGCCTCAGATCACTTGCCAAAACAAGTTAATTTATTTAGGTAACAAAAACGTTTACTTCCATAGTTTAATGATTCTCTAAATCTCAATAATTTGTTTCCTAAAACTTTTTGATCATGTGTGCACCTTCATGCAACCAAACCCTCCATATATAAATATATACATACAACTTAAGAAGATCGGTATATTGTACAAACCACAAGGTGTTAACTATATAGCCATCTTTCTCTACTTCACTCGTTTTTATTTTTAATGGCGCAAAAAATGGAGTTCTCAACATTCATTTTGCTAGTTTTCTTCGTCATTTCGACTTTCTTCAGAAATTCCATGGCCAACGTATACGATGTTGGTGGATCAGATGAAGGTTGGGGCCCCCGTGTCCGTGAATGGGCTTCTTCTGGTAGAACCTTTGAAGTAGGCGACGTTCTCAGTAAGTTTAATTACCGTTAGGGCACGACTCAATTCCTAAAAATACACGAACACAATATTATTTAATGATCATTTTTTATTGATTAATGAAGTTTTTGAAATTGGAATTTGATGTGACCATTTTAATTAATTTGTTGCAGATTTTAACTACGATTCAAGCGAAGACAGCGTGTTACAAGTAAGGAGTCTACAAGATTACGATTTGTGTTTTTCATTAAGGCCGGTGGCCACATACAAAAGTGGAAGAGACATCATCACTCTAAGCACTCCGGGAGACCTTTACTTCATCAGTGGAAACCCACAGAAATGTATTGCCGGAGAGAAAATTCACGTCAAAGTGAATGATGATGGCAATGATGGTGGTGATCGAGGTCGTTCGCCGTACCCGTTCAGCCCTTACAACCCGAGTGGATACCCGACTACCAGCAGCAGTTCTTCTTCTTTTAAGTGTTTGGCCATCTTTACCATGATTGGGATGATACTTGGTTATTCGTTTTTCTGAATCGACCGACATACTCTCTCCCTCCGTCCTAAATTAAGAGTTATGTTTGTTGCATTACGTTACTATGATATGTTAGGGCAGAGGGAGTGATAATGAATATCTCTGAGGAGATTTAGCAAGAAGTAGGATTGACAAACTGATCTTGTATATCTATCTTAATATTAAGATTATTTAATTTTGTTTATTGGATTTTAATAAATTTTCAATGCTTTTTTCCCGGTGATTTGATTTTAATTATACTCTTTCGCATTGTGGTTTTTAGTTTATTTCCGCACAATTGCATCATCTAAGATATCTTAAAGAATTACTTTTTCTTTCAACAAATACATCAAATTTCACCTTACATTAGAATTTAAATAAACACCTTTAGAAGGATTTTTTCTTTTTTTTGGTGAAGCCTTTGGAAGGATTGGTTTATTCGTGAAAACCAATTTCACTGTACAGAATATGAGAATGTAACCATATTATTTATGTACTTCTTATCTGATTAAACTTTCTTGGCTGTTCCAGTTACAATCTGCATTCTAAAAAAACTAAACAATTTTACATGTGAAAACTGAAAATTTGGACGGGATTCACAGCAGGGAGATAGAATAGAGTGTCAACACAGTCTAAGGAAAAAAAATCTCACATCTGACATCAATGTAAGGGTTGCAGGCATCAGCTGGCATAATCATACACAGTTATCTGTAGCTGGGAATCAAGAGCATATTGCTTTATGAAAGACCTTCTCCACCAGACTTCAAATGCTCTCTGAATATTAGGACAATCATCCCCTTTGTTCAGAAACCGATCAAACCAATTTAGCAAAATGGATTGTTGCCGTGACAATGGTAGAGTTAAAATCGTCTGGCTCAGCCCTTCCTCAATCAGTTTCTTGTCAATTGATCTTGAAGCTCTCTTCATCCACCCAAAATCTTCGTAAAGGGCTTCCAACCACATAGTTAGCAGAGAGTATCGGGCGTCTTTTGGGACCAAAATGTGTCCTCTCCCAATGGCAATACAGAGTTGTGCTGTGATCCTGCTGATCTCATGCCTGTACATGGTAGGAATTTTCGAATGAAGGACAGCAAGTTCTTTCTGATCTGCCCATAGTTTCACAAATTCATCACCCATTTTCCTATCAATCAGGATATCAACAACCCACTGCATGTTGTCAGCTGCTCGCGCTATCTCACTCATCAAAAAACCACGATCCTGTCTATTCTCATCCACACACGAACCTTCAGACAAGCTAAGTATGAGGGAACTAAGGCATCTATGACAAACATGATACATAGTGTCCTTTGAAATATCAAATCCATTGCTGTAACCGTGACTATCTGAACTTTCTTGTTTAAACAAACGAGATATCAGGGACTTCATTTCTCGACGAGCTTTGTCATCCTTAGCTTGTAAAACACCAGTTAGCAGTTTCAGGAAGATGTCATCAGCCCTAGGAGAGGTAGAAGTTTCTGCCACCACTCTCTGAAGCATATTAGGGAGAGGTTCACAAAGTTGAAGGTCTCCAAGTTGAGACACCACTTTTTCCTCTTCGTCCTCAGACCAGGGTACTGCTTCCAAGTACTCCAAGCATGCAAGAATGCCATCATCAAACAGAACAGCAGAACATACCTACAGAAGAGCATTTGGCTTAAATGGCAAGAAATTGTCAAGAGATGCGGAATTCAGAAAATTGAGGATGAATTTGTATGCACAGTTGTAGGCTTTCAAGTAAGATGTATCATTGATCATTTTCTAACAGAGAAATAACGTTTTTTTTCCAGATTCATTTACTGAAAGCAGTTCATAAATATATCCATCTATGATCAAGTATGTAGCTCTCAAAGACATTTTTTTTGTCAGGACTGCATCCGGAGAGTTATGTTCAGAAGCAAAATCCATTCGCTATATGAAATTGGAATTCTTTAGGCCCAGAAAATTCAAACCTAAGTTATTTACTCAATTTGACTCAAAAGCTGCAGTTTCTTCAAGAAACAAAAGAACCAAAACTTTTCACAAGCAGCACTTACAGATAATAAACCAGAAAATAATACAATCAATAATTGTCAAAAGGATTCACCAAAAGCCGAAGTTTTATGCCACTATTCAGGACAAATAAATAAAAAAGGACAAACAGTTCTGTTGCAGTTACCGTTCTTACATCAAAACGTCACAGCAAACAATGGACTTTAACCATCAAAACAGTACTATGGTTATAAATTTTCGTAGGAGATCCAAAGAGCCAAGATTCCAGGAACCCATTCACCTACCAGATATTATAATCTCACCAGCTCAACAAATTCCGACTACCCAAAAGATAAATTGGAAAAAGATAAAGAGAGTACGAAAATCAAGACATCCCACATGACATGACCTCAGATCACATCAAGAATCAAGAAAAGTGACAATAACTTAAATGAATGTAATGCCAGAACGAAATTGTTTACAAAAAATGTATACAATCCAAAGTAAATCACGGGAAGAAAAGGATTATTAACCTTCAATAATTCCAAGACCTTGGAAACCTCCTCTCCCATCAATCTCTTCTTCAAGTCCTCACAGTACATGAGCACTACAGCTTCGACATAAACCTCAACGTCATCACAATCAAGAATCTCTACCGAAACCATCTGGGACCCATTGGGCTGGAGTTTCTCCGCGAAAAACCGACTCCGGCCGGCGAGAACCCGACGGTGGACTTCCATTGAGACGCAAAACCCATCACACGACCTTACCGCCAGCTTAACATCACCGGGCCCTAAACTGTTCATAGCACTATCTTGAAATGGGGCATCCTCCAAGACCTTAAAGACTCTGTCTTGAAGCTTCAACCGGGCTTCAATTGAACGTTTGGAATCACGGGCTTGTTCCTCTGTCATCATTTCGAAAAGGGTCGGGCTTGGAGATGATCGGGGTGGGTTTGGCGAACCATTGGCGAAGGATGGCGGAGGGGAAAGAGTGGTGGCGTTCCCGGCGGCGGCGGCGGCGGTGAGTCGGGAAAGGGAAAATGGTTGGTGGTGGGCTGAAGGAGGAGATGGAGTTGGGGAGAGAAAAGGGTCAGAGAGAAAGCCCTGTTTTATCATTGAGGATACTAATTGGTTCCTTGAAGATTTTGTCTGAGCATTGGCAGCCCCGGCACCGGCGGTGGTGGCAGTAGAAGAGGCAATAGTTCTATGGGATGGCATGATTGTCAATTTGGACCAATTGGCGGGTGAAATTTTTTTGGCTTTTGACTGAGAGGGAATTTAAGAGGATAGTGTGTGAGTGAGTGAGTGTGTGTGTGTGTGTGTGTGTGTGTGAAATGGGAATCCAAGAAAAATCAAGAAGTGGGTTCTTTGTTGTTTTGGGTTTTTGAGGGACTTTGGATCCTCAAATGCTCTCTGATTGAGTTGAAGAGAGAGAGAATGTGGAAGTGTGTGAGTGTGTGTGTGTGTGTTTTGTAGGGGTGGTGGGAAATGGCAGTTAGAATTAATTAAGAAAAAAGAGAAGGCAAAGAGCTATATTTAACGGCTGATTAAATAAAATAAGGCGGGAGATATTGTTTGTGTATGTATGTGGTGGTGATAGGATGCTGTCAAAGTTCCCCACTGCTGAAGGACTTAGCTCATTGGTAGATTTTTTTTTATTTTTGCATGTATACAATAACGATTGGACATCCCGGACAGGACGGGGAAGGTACCGTACAACAGTGTGTGACTGTGTGCCTGATAAATTAACTGGAAATTTTTGGTTCTGTTCAGAGCAAAAAAAATTTTCGGTATATTACCCACTCAGTTCTAAAACACTCTTCTCTCTATTGAGTGCTTGAGCCGTTTAGTTTATGACTTTATACATTTTTGCATTTGAAATACTATCTCCGTCCAAACAATAGTTCACATTGAGTTTTCAAATTTGTAATAAAAACAGTAAAATGTTCAAAACTCAACGTAGACTATTTTTGTGGGACGGAGAGAGTATAAAAACTTGTTTTGAAAACGAAAAATTATTCTAATAACAGAGAACTCAATGGATCAATTCATGATCTAGATTGTTTGATTGTTGAACTGAAATTGGCATTTATATGATGGAGGGGAAGTTGTAATTTTCTCAAACACTGGTATGAAATGGAAAAGGCCTCTGATTGGGCATTATCTAAGTATGGACGACATTACAAGCACTAGTATAGTAATGTTGTGGCGAGTTTGTTTTCACCGTCTGAAAGCGTTGTTGTGTACTTTTGTTAGAGCACCAACAAACATCTTTGTCTCTGACAAATAAAAGGGCCATCACACTATTTATTGTTAGTGAACTAAAAAAATTTACCCTCCTCGTCTCTTGCAAATATTTTTTTTTTCTCTGTTGAGTTTACGGTTAATGATCTTTTATCTCCAATAAACTTGGCCTAATGAAACTTGACCGACTTGATCATTAGTGCTGGCCTGTAGATAAATTGCAAGTGTTTGGGGTTAAAGAATTGTCAATGTTGTGGTGTCAAGGTGAAAACAAAAACATGTTCACCCTGCAGGGCCCCAAGGACTACCTAGATAGATAGTTTGGCAATCAGGCACATGTATTTTGGACATCATTATTTAAAGACTCCTTTTATAGGCTCTTTTATTCCCATCTATCTTCTTTTTGTAAAGATTCCCTTTTGTGTTGTTGCAGATCCCTGGACGTGAAAATGCACAAAGATTCATGATTGAAGTAGCTAATTTACAGGCTTTGCAGTAAAAATTTCACTTCTTGCTGCTTGGATTATTTGTCCATGTTAGGCACTTACCATCATCATTTCATTGTATGCCCATGTGAAGGGGTCTCTCAGAGGCTGGCAAATATGATGTTCTTGGTAATCACTAATCAGTACCATAACTTCCTCCCTCCCAATTTGACAGTCCACTTTGTTGTCGTATTTTAGTTCAAGAAATTTGGACAACTAAAATGGGACGAGTACAGTTTTGGACAGCCATGTAGCTGTGAATTTTTTACCATACTCCTTCCACTGGAATTGACATTGTGCTTAACTTGTATAAACTGCAAATAGGAAGCTTGCTGTTTTGCTGCCTTGTTTAATGCAAAACATCTAACTGTACCATTGTGTTTCCCCCAACTGCAGATCGTTCGGCGCAAGATGGGATTTTGAGTTTGGGTTTGATTTGTGGGGTTATTTTGGCTTAGTGATCTACTTAATAATAATTAGTAACAGATTCACAATTTACCCGCAATGAACCAAAACTGCATTACAAAGAAAAAAAAAACATGTAATACAAGAACAAAAGTTCCATTTACAAAAGAAAAAAGTGAAAAATATGGGCTTGTAAACTGTAATGTAGAAACTCTTGAAAGGTGAAAGTGAAACTGAAGGGAAACAACCGAAAAAAGAACAGGTCAAAAATGAACTTATCAATGTGGCTTTAGTCCTTTCTATCTCACCAGACGCCTTGTAATGGGTAAATCATGTCAATTCTGGCGCGGATGGAGCCCGTTTCTATCCACAACTAGGCACACTGCACGAAAACTGATGATGAGGGAACTACAGAGTCACCATTTAGAAGACATTTGATTGCAAATCTTGCATTCCGGGATCAACTTTTGAGTCCTTCTCAGCTTCAGCTGTTCCGAATATTGGAGTATCTAGCTCAGGAGGACTCTGAAAGTGAATACAAACGTCAGTTAGAAACCTTTCTCTAATATCCAAGAACACATGTGTAACTGATAAAAGACGCAGGAGTGAAATGGCATTGATGTTCATTACCATGCATCGCACTAGTGCCCAATTGACACCCTTGAAGAACGGATGCTTCTTAATTTCGCTTGCTCCTTCACGTGATCCTAATCTGTTCTTCGGATCTCTATGCAGCAAACGGTAAATTAACTGCTTGACTTGAAGACTTGCCTGCATTCAAGAAAACTTTCCACCATAATTACTGGGAAAAATGTAAATCGTGCAGGTTTAGTCTTAACCTTAAGCAAAAATGGTTTCCTCGTTTAGCAGATTTTAGCACAACTTGATGGAATGTTGTAGCCTGTACAAACTCACCGGTATGCTTCCAGGAAACTTCAAATCTTTGTGCAATATATTTGCAAATGTCTTTTGCCTTGTCTTTCCCCTAAAAGGTGTGTATCCATACAGCATTTCATACAGAAGAATCCCTGTGGAACGGGTATCAACCACCAATCAGTAAACTGTAAGAATTGTACTGCTTATCAAACCGGCTAGTGCTAATAACAATATAACTCATTTTTTCAAGAGAAACTGATAATTTGATCATCACTATTCACTAATGGTGTGATGAGGCTGAAAGAATTACCTAGAGCCCACCAGTCCACTGCACTGGTATGGCCTGCTCCTGCAACAATTTCCTGTAAATTGAGAAAGGGATCTGCCTTTTAGAAGTTAAATCTCTAGATCAAAACTTACAAACAAACAAGTGTTAAATACATGGAGTTTTCAATACAAGGGCCACTGGGAAGTGCTAACCGGAGCGATGTATTCCTCTGTCCCAACAAAAGAATTTGAAGCTCGCATTGGTTCAGCAAAGAATATTGGATCTTGTTGACCTTTGCGACGCTTTTTCTTTTCATCTACCTCTGGTATTAAAAGCTGCATCAAAGCATATCAAAATGGAAACATCATGAAATTAGGGGGAAAAAATCAAATAAATTGGAATTTATCATAAGTGAGGACATAAGCAAACCTCCGGCTTGCAGGAAGTTAAGCAGGATAAATCAAAATCTGTCAAAGCCACATGCCCATTACTCTGCAGTAGAACATTTTCAGGCTTCAAATCTCTGTATATTATACCTGTCAAAAAGCGAATAATCTGTCAAGTATGAAATTTACAACTTCATTGGTACAGATTTCCGCCCTGACGATTACAGGAATCTTGCAAGTTGAGGTGTACCTTGACAGTGAAGATACTCTAATGCTACAATGACTTCTGCAGCATAGAATCTGCAAAAATTTAACAGCAGCGTAAACAATAATCACTTAATTTTAGATACAGATTTCTCAGGATAATTTATTGTTTACTGTACCTTACAGCATCTTCCTTCAACACCTTCAGTGGCTGTCTATCCAAAAGCATGAAGAGCTCGCCACCAGGGCAGTAATCAGTTATCAGACAGATATGTGTTTTAGTCTGCAATAGATGTTCCGAGTGCCTCAATCTCCCAAAAATTACAATGCAGAAGAATACAAAAACAATAAAGACACAAGCAAGCTCGATGGACTAGTATCATTTGGGTATTTTCTTGTTCACTTCTGGAAGCGATGCAATTTTCGTGGCTTTTCCAGGGTTATCATGATCCAAAACTTTATAGTTAGATATTAATCACTTGTCAGTTTTACCTGAAATGAAGCGTAAAGAGCAGGAAGGAACGGGTGGTCCAACATGTCTAGTATTTCTCTTTCTGCACAAGCCCTGTGCACCTACAACGAAGCAAGATAAAAAATTAGCAAGAACCGAACTTTCCTCTTTTTTTTTTTTCTTTTTTTTTTCCTTTTCTATATAATTCAAAGAAGGGTTCCAGAAGTTAAAAAATGATACCTTGTTTCTATTGAGCATCATCCCCTTGTCCATTGCTTTCATAGCAAAGTACTGATCAGTGCCACAAAGTTCTACTAAATGCACACTGCACATTCATCAGCTAATTGAATTAGTAACAATGAACAAGCATGGATGAATGTGAAGCATGGATCTAATTCCCAGCTCCTAGATTCTGATGCTGCTTGAGGCATCCATACATTCAAGAACAATACTGATATACTGTGGGGAAGTGTCGTGAATAAGTAAGTCAAAGACAAAAGATGTATACAAATACAGACCTGCCAGTATCACCAGATCCCAAAGGTTTTACTGGTCTAAAGTGTTTCAATCCTATTTGCTCTCCACTATCAAGAACCTGGATTAGAGATCAGAACAGCAAGTCAGCACTCTATAAGCATTATTAGCCACTGAAGTTCAAATTTCATAAATAAACATACTTAGTACTCTGAATTAAGAACAATTCATCTCTCCACACCTGATTTAACCATACAGAATTTATATTCCTCAGCATATAAAACACAGGATATTATTTTTGTTTCTACCTTTTGAATAGCTTTCCAAGCTGCTGAATCCCTTCTGTGTGGTTTCGGATGGACCACTTTTGAGTGATTTGCCCACAAATCTTCTGGTTTCTGAAAGAGCACTGACAGCATTAATGCTAATACAAAATCATTAGGGAAGTAACACAGGAATGAAATAGATAGTGATGCCTGCACTACAGAGAAATAACCATTTATTGAACAATAACGTTTGTCTTTCCAAGCTACATCGTAGCCTGATTAAAGTTAAAGAGCAGGCTGCCCAGTTGTTCAGCTTTCAGAAAAGCATAGCCACTTAACGTTATGCCTAGGACTCACAAACTTCAACTGGCCATAGATCGAGACACAAATCTGTCAAGCTCTTCCAACCTCAATCTCTGACAGTAGGTCGCAGTCCTGAATCCAAAAACATTGAGATTGTTGCCTTCCTTGTCACGACCTGCATTTCCTTCTGCAGCTAGTGGTGTCCATTTCGCGGCCTCTTCTGGTTTGTACCGCCAAACTACCCATGGTGCAACGGTGTTGTCTCGGATGGTATCTACTGCATGGTAAACCCGATAGGCAAATGCACAAGCAGGGGAAACTAGCTCAGAAGGAAGCTTCAAAAAACACTCGGAATGAACCAGCTTATGGACATTTGGCATCGTTTCGTCATCATAGGACATGCGGCAAAGCTGCGCGAGACTCCCACGAACGCTTGTGGGCATAAATTCACGCTTGAGAGTGGAAACTGCATTGATTTCACCCTGGATCGCCATCATCAGATCACATGAGAAAGGAAGAGCTGGATTATCCGAGGGAAATTGCCGCCCGTGAGCCAAACCAAGTCCCTCTAAAAATGCAATCTGAGCAGCTGAAAGAACTTGGCGGGGAGAGTAACCAAGTAAAGCCAGTGAAGGCCCCAATCCACCGCGTAATTCCGGCACAATCTCATCAGGGAATGTCCAATCAGAAACAAAAGGAGCCGGGTTTAGGTCTTCCAGGACCCGAGAAGCATAAACCGCAAGGCAAGGATACAACTGATAGAGCTTCTGTGTGTCATTCCGAACTCGTCCAAACCACCCAACCATGTTACCGGTGTTCAAGTAGTCATGGCGATCGAACATTTTGAATCGAACTTCTCTGCCATGAGGAACCTGGAAATTGCCGAAGCCCTTTAGATACAGGGCCAAAGTAATCGGAAGATCGAGAGTTAGGTGGAGAACTTGGCTCACAAAAGATTCTCGGAATAGGAGAACTCAAGTGAGTTCTTCATGGAGAGGGAAATCATCCTGGCGTAAGTCAAAACGGCGCAGTAATAAGCAAAAGCGGATTCAGAGACTCGCCGGCGGAATCCAGATGAAGCGACGGCATATGAATTGTAGACAACTCGGATGATTTCCGGCAAAATTTCAGCCCCAGAGTAGACAAATTGAGGTTCCGGATCGGGGTAAAATTCAACTCTATCGACGATATTCACAAGTATCGAAAAAGGATCCTTCGGCATTTGCTCATTCTGAAGAGTTGTAGGTGATTGAGGCTGCGTAACTGGCCGTCTTCCACCACGGCCACGGCGGCGGCCGCGATCAGGAAGAGCATTTGCGACATTTTGGATATGGGGAGGAGGAAGCCATGGCCGCTGACTTTGTGCCATTACTACGGTTTAGACTTTAGACAGAGGGAACAGGATAAAGGTAGCCTAGGCGGTGATCTATGGCCGGAATTGGGAATCCCTAAAGCCGGAAAACTAGTCGGATTTTGCCTCCCAATTTCTCGTGTTAATAATTCAAACCTTATTACGCTTAGATTTTACCCAAATAGGAAAATCACACGAATTATCATAATTATTAATGTTTTTTTTTTCTCGTTTCACCCTTTTCGACTTACGCTTTCAGTATATATATATATATATATATATATATATATATATATATATATCACCAACAAAAATTAATTTCACTACTAAATTCAGACACATTTTTTCAGAAAGTTTACCTGGTTGGCATCTGGAAGTTCTTTGACTGCTTCACCAACATTTTCAGCAGTTTCTTTCACCTGGACAATCGTGAAATTGGAACCCAATTATAAAAAAAATAAAATTAAAAAAAAAAACACTTTAGCAATGCAATTTACTGATCAATTCCTCGCTTCGAAGAATATAATGAATTTTGTAAAACTAAAACACTAGTACAACAACAAAGTGCACTATTGAGATGGGACGGAGCATATAAATTACTGAGCATATAAATGAAGAAGGAGATGGTTTTGGAGTACAAACCAGCTTGGCACCCTCATTTGCTGTGTCCTCAGGGATGCAATTGTGAAGCGGCTCAACATGCTCACTCCCATCTAATTGTACTCCTATGAAATATTGCACTTCTCCCTGTCCATACCCAGTTTTGTTTATTAATTTATCTTTCTTGAAAAAGCGTTTTATTACTGTTTTAGTTCAACAAAGTAGACTATTTTTTTTAAACACCGGGAACACGTAATAAAACAAAGAATCAAGATGTACTGTGATATGTGGCTAACCTTTTGGTCACGCATAGGCTGGAGATGGAACAAATTCCAGAACTTCTTGCCTAAATTATAAGGTTCAACCAGCCAAAAAAAAAATAATAATAATAATTTATAGTCAGAAGCATAATTTGCAGATGAGCTGTTGCATTAAGGGGTAAATGGTATTGGAGTAAATTCATACCGGTCTTAGTATAGTTGATGAGTTGAACTGTGACTTCAGTTTGGGTATCAATTGCATGTCTAATCTTCTTCACCGTAGCCGGATCAGTTTCGGGTCCTTGAAGAAATCTATTGCCAAAAAAACAAAAAAAAAAAAAAAAAAAAAAACAATATGCCATTATGGAAATTTGGAAGGCAAATACTTCATCATGCCTGGAGTTGAAATATGTAATGCTGCCTTCATTTACTTAACGTGATCAGATCACCAACTAAACCTCCTTTGGGGGAAACAATTTAGTTAATTTTGCTAATTATTATTCACAAAGCACTATTATAAGGAACTTGGACAAGCTGTCGAGTTTTTCCGTTGAAGAGAGTGGTCAAGAAACCGAATGTTTATCTTGGGTCAAGGCCCAAATTTTAAAGCTCATATTAAAAACTATGAGGAGGTATAGCATCCAGCGCCCGTGGCCTAATGGATAAGGCGTTTGACTTCTAATCAAACGATTGTGGGTTCGAGTCCCACCGGGCGTGCTTCCCTTTTTTCCAGCCCTTTTTTTTTTTTTACCTATCTGCCTTTCTTCGTAGTAGTATTTTTGATTTTTTTCATTCATTTTTTTTCCCCTATCACTTGGTACGTAGAGGCGTAGAGGACTATAATTTACCTGCAATTCCTTCCCAGGATTTCTTCACGGCTGTACTCAGTGAGCTCCAAGAAACTATCCGATGCAAAAATCTATTAACAACTCAAACAAAACACCCAACTTAATTAATTAATCACCAAGTTAATTAAAGATGTAGTAAGGTTTTGCAAACATAATCAAACCAACTAATGCAATCATCACGTACGGAATTACTTACAATGGGATTATCAGGCAACCTGGGATCAGTAATCACAAAGTTCTTCTCAATACGCTCCAACGTAGTGGCCAAATCAATACCCTTTCTCATCTCCTTCTTCCTGACTTTATCATCCAGGCTCTCCGGCCTTGCGTCATCATCCTCCTCATCACTCTCATCAACCTCGTCCTCTTTCATCGTAACTCTAGCCTCAAATACGTCATCATCGTCGTCATCGGTTGCCGTACTTTTCCGACGACCTTTCTTCATAATCCTAAACCAACAAATTCAAAATACTCAGGGAAAAAAAATTCATTCATTTCCCAAATGCAAATTAATTTCAGGTCTTTAATGTTGGTTACTTTATTATAAGGTATTTGATTTGTACTAAATTTCATTCGGTATATTCTTTCAGTTGAAAATAAAATTTTTAAAAGTATTTTTTATAATTAGAAGAACATGATAGATAAATAAAAAAAATTACATTTTTAAGATTTTTTTTTCAATTGAAAAATAGTAATGAAACCTATAACAAATCAAAATGACTTAAATTAACTAGAGGGAGTATAAGTTAAGGTACCCCATTATGGAAAGGCGTCGTGATTTTTTGGGTTTATTATTGGTTTCGGGCTGCTCCACGATACGCTCCATTGAGGACAATGAGGATGAGGTTCTGGTGCCGGCGTGGGAATGCCGTCTCGCCGGAGCCTTGTTGTTTAAGTTGAGACTTATGGTTTCATCCCCCCCATTATCTTCCGATGATGATTTTCTGGTCAAGCTGGGACGGCTGTTGGTTGATTCACTCAGGGCTCTGGGACGCTGTGGCTTCTTCATTGCATCCACGAGCTCCGTCACCGAACTCGCTGCCATTTCCTTCTGCCTGGCTGTAACCCAGATATCAAATGAGAAGACATTAACGAACATATTACCGTACTCTCTCCGTCTCAAAAGAACAGTATTATCTACCGATTTAAATTAGTACAATTTTTTTTCGGCTAGAGTGAATAATATAATTCTTCCTCCGTCCTGAAATTGTTGATCAGTTCAGATTTTTATTTTTAGTTTAAATTATACTAAAAATAAAATTTTAAACTAGACAATAATTTTGGAACAGACAGAGTATCAATCATATAACAACTATTTAGTAAAACGTCCCTTCTCCTATCAAGCAGTAATCATTAGTTTATTATTGCTCTTCCAATAAGTATTTCTAATTAGTGAGAAAAAAAAAAACAGACAATGGAAAAAAAAAAAGAAGTAAAAGAGTAGAGTAAAACCGTCATAGCGGATCAATGATTCGGGGAGGCCATTAGGACGAAGCATTTTATCCTTAGCCCCTTCTGTATGCTTGCTTACTTCCACTTGCATTCTGCAAAAATTACTCGCATATCAATTACTAAAAATTGTGATAACTAAATTAAGTACACCTGTTATTATTCGATTTACTGTACTACTCATCATGTATTTCATTTCAATAATTTACTCTGCAACAACGACAATTATTACTAAACTCCTTATATACATGCATGGCGTGACCTTATAATAAAATCATATAATGTCTCCAAAATAAGAGTTGGAATAAATCAAAATATCTGCATTGTCGTGTTCATATGTGAGAAGAATACCATAAACTAACTCAATTGAGCACCAAATTAATAAAATGTTCATGCATATCTCGAAGGGTAAGAACTACACTACACAACACACATGCAAGATTTTGATAACATATATTTCCAATTATTGATAATATGATTTGATAGGAAGCGATGGAAATGGACCATACTTTTCATGTCCGAGATGCGCCTCACCCCACCCCCAAAAGTCCCACCAAAAGTTGTCCTTGGACAATAAGGAACACCAATCCAAACAAACAGCATTTGATTGTAAAAACCCACTCAACTAAAATGTTAAGGGCGAGTTTGATTGATTAGTCTTTACTAGCACCCAATGAATTTGCGCTTATTGGTGATTCAAGGAGTACTTTGGGGGGATGCTTAAGGCCCACCAAAGAAACTTTATCTCAAATCAAAGATCAATCATTCAATTAATTGAAGAAATTGACAAGGTGAAAAATTGAAATGATTCGAGAAAAATGACTAGAATCATAAGAAAGAAAGTATCCATGTGACATTGGGGCTACATTACATTATATTGTGAATATGAAGTGTCATTATGAATTTGGGTATAGTTTAGAAATTTAAGGGACCACTAAGATAGACCGACAGATTCAAATGGACCATGCTTTGGGTCAATTCGTGATGTTGAGCAACACTAGCTAGGAGTAGTATTGAATGATGGAATATTTTTAGAACTGGAAACTTTTATAGGTTTGTACCATGAAGATTCTTATACCAAGTTTATTAACACTTGAGAAGTCGCAAAATTGTTCATTATAGGAGAAAATGACTATTGTTCAGACGCTACAAAGTTCTGATCATAGCGATTTTTTAAAAAACTAAGAGAACAGAAAAATAAAAGTTATTGAAAATGAAACAAAATTTTCAAGAGTAAATTAATTAGTAAATGAAAACTGACCCGATGAATTTGAGAGTTTTGCCATTTTCATCCTTGATGGGAGCAATGGTGAGCAAATTCCAAAAAGGTGTTCCATCCTTTTTGTAGTTGAGCAGTCTACCGCAGTAATTAGTTCCAGATTGTAAAGCTTCTCTGATCTTCGCCACGTCCTCTGGATCCGTATCCGAACCCTGTAAGAATCGACTGGACCCGCCCGAAACCCACCCATTAGGAAGAATAGCATAAGATCATTGACAAATTAAGTCCAAAACAAGGGACCCTTTAAATTAGTGATGATCATGATCCTTTCCAACATATAGCAAAAACTTAGTACATGATCTAATGATATTTGTAATGGGCCATGAGTGTTATGATAGTTTATCCGTACTGATATACTAGTTGTAGTAAATAAATTTAACAGACGAATAAAATCAGTTAACACTAATTAGATTGATAATTCGTTTTGGATTGTTCTTAAAATATCTAGAAAACAAGAACAGGAAATGAAGAGATGATGATCAGATGTTTGTACCAGTTTCTGCCAATGACTTCTTTGGATGTATAGCCAGTCATCTTGAAGAATCCAGCACTTGCATACAAAATCGGGTAATCGGGTTTGGTAGCATCCGACACCACAAAGGTTTGCTGAAATGTTGATAAGGCATCCTTTATGTCCTCCGACACCCTTGGAAATCCTCTTTCTCTTCCTACAAAAAGTCATGAACACAAATGATTATAAGCTGATTTTTTTTCAATGTTATAATTTTCTTATTAAAAGTATTGTTACCAAAATTAAGAGGCTAGCTAGTAGCTAGATGAAGAATACCTTCATCGGATAAATCACCGGAGCTTCTGACGGAGTTACCGGAATCACGTCTGCTTGACTTATTTTGCTCCTCGCCGGAAGTTCTTGCTTTAACACCCTGTGGTTTACCAGTTTCACTGTCAGTTTTCAACACCAGGCCCCACTCAGCCGCCCTTTGAGCAGCGTTTCCAACTTCGCCGGGAATTGGAGACTTGGCCTTCTCCGGCGACTTTACCACTTCCTGAACCGGCTTTGAAGACTGTGATGTTGAAGAGGGCGGTGAAGGATCTTTGAAAGCCATCCATGATGTGATTTGATCGGCATTTGTTCTGCCGGACTTAGAAGCAAGCCAGCTGTTTGAATCTTCCGGCTCCGCCGGAGGAGGAGGATCGTTGGTCGTCGGAGGTGATTCTACAACCCAACTTTTCCACGACACCGGTGACCGGAAAACCGGGCTGTTAGTTTTCAGGCTAGAAGAGGAGTAGCTTGTCGGATTGAACACTTCCAGGGACCCACGGGAGTCTCGGGGAAGCGCCGCCGCCGTCGGCGACTTACTGTTGTTTAGTGCATGGTGGTTTGATGTTGGTGATGGTTCCATATCTCTGCATGAGAGAGAGATTTTTTTTCGGCAGAATGAATTAATGAATTGTCACGAAATTAAAAATGAGTTTTCGAAGTATATATATACAGCAATATTCTTCAAATAGTGTAAGTGCAACTATTAATAATTTGTTTGATCCATACCTACATTGATGTGTAATTTTCTATAGTGAAGTTTTGTTCTTTTTCTTTTTTTTTTGTTTTTTTTATAATTATTTCTTTGGGATGATATTTTGAGTGGTTAAACAGTGAGATTTGTCTTCATTGACGTTGATAATACTTGCATAGTTGCATGGTGGGACAAAACAACTTTGGAGTTTTAGAGCTGATGAGTAACGTGTTTATATGGGAAAAAGTAAGACTCATAAGAATCTAGCTAAGTATCCATATACGGATTGCTCATTTGTAAAAATTTACTCCTCATTTCAAAAATAAAATTTTTTTACGTTGTTGAACTAAAATTTTGTTTTTCCTTTAGTTAGTAATGTGAATATCCGCTGGATATTACATGTGCATTTTCAACAACCATGTTAATATATTATACTCTCTTAGCAAAATTAGATTATCGTTTCAAAAATTGACACTTTGATTTGAATCTACATATTTAATAAGTACTTACGAAATGAATATGGGGTTCAAGTCGAGGAGGGTTTAATTTCATGAAATTTTTTTTTTTACCGCCGAGAACTCCATTAGAGATGGGTAAACCCACGCCCACTACAACAACATGGAAACCAAGTGGGAGGTAAACTACTCTAAACAAGTTCGGGTTGACAAGCTCGGGTGCGAAATCGGGGGTTCATTAATGGGTTAACCATAACAAACCCCTAGAGGTGCCAATAGGCAATGTAAGAGCCAACGTATCACTTTTTGTTAGAGTAAAGGATTGAACTCATGACCTCCTCTTGGAGCAAGGGTAGTTTATCACTAAACTAACTATTAAATGTAAGACTGATTTAATAATAATTGGATGATTCCAGCGAGAATCAAACCCTCGACCTCCTGATAATAACCATCCCCTAACCGCCCCACCCAACTTTCCCACTATATCCTGGCCTCTTTAAAACTTCAAAGGTTAATTTTGTCATGTGGACAGAGTTAAAAGCGGGCGATTACTTGAAGCATTGGAACAGCTAACTTTCAAAGCATTGTCGGGCTGAGATTGAGCACATAAATATTCACATCAACTTTCCAGTTTCTGGAGGACAAGGTCACAAGGCAAGAATCACTTGCAAACGTCCAATTTTCAGATATTAACAATTATGACACCAAAAAAAAATGCTCAAAACGACTTAATTATGAGCTCAAACAGTGGCTAAAAGGCCCTAAGATGAGCTAGATCATGAGCATATTAATCAAACAAGACTGGCCAATGAAACATATTGATCTAGACATTTATAATACAGAAAAAAAAAAAAAAGAGAGAACGAAAATCAAAATTCCGCTTTACTGTTTTGCATTGTCAAACTAAAGTGAACTACCAAAATAGGACAAAGCAAATTTTTTTTCAGATACTCAAAATTCTTCATCTAATCTATTTGGTGTTTAAATTTCAACTTTTTATATTCTGGATTAAACACTAACTTTTATCGAACCGACGGATATCTTGGATTTATGCCTCAACCAGGAATTCTGATTTTCACCATCCCTTTACAATTAATAATTTGTCATTTTTTGCTCCCATAAATAATATCTTCCTTTTCTTAATACAAAAAAGTCCCATATTTTACAGAGGGTTAGGGTAGGTTGCAAAATTAATTTGAGCACATAAACATGTAGACCCTTTCTTTGTTGTCCATGAGTACGACGTGCAAGTGAACTTTTCTACAACTATTAATAATATAGATAGAGAAATTAATCCGGTTATTGTATATGCCGTGGCTTTATCAAGTAGTATTGCTTGTTTTTGTCCTTTTCGAATAGAGATGTATTAATAATAACAAAAAAAAGAAAAAGAAGTAACAATAGAATTATGAAGATCATTTTTTTATTATATATAGTATAAACTTTTATTGCATGTAAATCATACGTGACTGATTGTAAATTTTGATTCTAGTTTTTTTTTTTTTTAACTCTCTTTAATTATCACATAGAGTTACGCCGTAAGTAGATAATTTCATACCATTTATAGCAAACTCAAGTAGATCCATACTTTTAGTATATTACCTATTTCATGAATAAAAACAAAAGATTATGGCAGCTGCATGTATGCTGTAGAATTTTTTTAATTATTTTTTTGGATAAATCTAGATAAACTACAAAAAGAAAATAAGAAAAAAAGATTCCTTACATCTTATAAACGTAAAAATACAAGAGAGAGAGAGAGAGAGAGAGAGAGAGAGAGAGAGAGAGAGAGAATTAATAACTATCTGTATACGATTTACTTAAAAAGAGGGTTATTATTGAGTTTGGTGGAACTTTTCATCAGAACATCTCTGGAAAGCAGAATTGATCACAAGAAAACGCAGGCGCACACGCACCAATATACACAAGATGATCGATCATGAAGAGTTTCGACATATTGATGGAACGGATTCACTACTAATTAATAGCCTCGCATTAAATACAAAAATCAAACTCATGAAAGGGAAATACACACATATATAGTACTCCCTCCGTCCTATAATTATTGTCCAGTTTGAATTTTCATTTTAGTTCAAATTGTACTAAAAGTGAAATCTCAAACTATATAATAATTTTGGGACAGAGAGAGTACATTTGATGCGTGGGATGACTATGAGTTTGCAAATTACGAGAAATATTGTAAAATGACTACGATTTGTTTTCGACATGGATGGAGTTAACTGAAAGTAAAAATATAGATTATGATTATAATCACGAAATTCATTGTTCTCTTCCTTTTTTTTTTTTTCTGGTTTCCCTAAATAAAAAACGATTGGCCTTAGGGAGAATGATTGTCGTAAAAAGGGTAGGCCTTCCCATGCCTATACACCTAAAATTCACGTGGCAAAACCTATTATATGGCCCTAACTCCCTTCCCCCATTGCCGCCTTTGACAACCAATCATTTCACAATAAAAAGACTTACTATCAATTTGTAGATTATTAATAAACAGAACTGTTTTACTTTATCGCACCCCAACTTTCCAACCCTCTTGTGGACTTGTAGTATTGTTTCCCCTGCAGCTTCGATCCACTTTTTGGTGATTCTTTTGGGGTTTTTTTTTTTTTTTTTGGTTGAATTCGGATAAATCTAACAGACTGGAAATTGGTTGACGACAAAAAAAAAACATACGGCATGAAACAACACAGATGCACCATAACAACAAAGACATTTATGCAAATCAATGAAGCATATAGCTGATATATTAACCTAAAATCCTAAATGTCCACTGGCAAAATGGGCAGTATTATTGTACGTCCCTTCTTGTGCCTCAAGTGTGATTCTGTCTTGGTGTCTCATAAAAATCCAATGCTTTGGGTTTGAATTTAAGTAGGATGATCAGGTGTTGGGCACGTTGGATTTTTGGGAATTGGTGTGTACCTATTAGGAGGAGAGCATGGTGCCCATGCATGCGATTCATAAAATTGTCACTTAATTGGGAGTTGCTGCATGCATGCTTGCCTTTTTTTTTAAAAAAAAAAAAAAGATACATGTATATTAATTAAAAGTATCTAAACTATTACAAAGACATGTATTATATCCTAGATTATGTAATTCTCCAACTTTAATCAATTGACAGCTAACTTTAATCAGTTGGCAGGATTCAAAGATTGGGAATAAAGTTAGTAGTAACGAAACTATCTTTTGTGCCTCACTAAAAACAAGAGCATTTCTCAGATCTGTCGTTAACACTTCACAATCAATATACACATTGACAGATGTAACACCAAGTATTGATGCTTCTCGGCTATGTTTTGAAAACCGGACCGAAAGGTGAACCGTTAGCATGACCGGGTTGGTGGGTTTACCAGGTTAACCGGTTAGCTCGTTCCTCAAAACTAGTGAAAATCGGTTAAAATAATATTAAAAAATATTAAAATTAATTTTTCAAGAAATATATGCAAAAACTGGTTTAATCGGTACCGGTTTTAGGTCAAACCGCAATTTTGCTCGGGTTTGACCGAGTTTGACCGGGTTATACAAAATCTGGTTTTTTATGAAAACCGAACCGATGAGGCTCTCAGTTCTCGGGCTAACCGGTTCGAGCGCCCGCGCCGATCCGATTTTGAAAAATAGCTTCTCGGAGTGCCATAAGACATGTCATGGCTTTCGTTTGGAAAGGTGAGAGTGCCTGCAATGAGATCGACTTAATTTGCATAACCATATCTAGTGAAAAAGTGATCTTCTATGCACCAGCTGCCCTCCTAGTTCGTGGATGAAAGGAACTATCAAAATGAATTGTTGCATGTGTACCTCTAGGCCCTTGAGTCGGAGTGGGGGACATATAATTGGTGACAGAGTGAGGTTGAGGGGATCTCAAACTATGTTGAGTATGCTTATATTGCATCAATTCGCTTTGAATGATCCTCCAAGAGATGACTGGATTGATGGTCAGGTTCCTCTATATCTTGTCATTCTTTTCTGTCCATATTCTCCAAAAGATGAGTAAGAACACATCTATATCAGTTGAGGAGGGGCGAGTCTGGGATCTATTGGATGTACTACTCAAGTAAGGAAGCATTAATGCAATTAAGGATTGATTGGTACGAAGGATATGCAAAGCTCCAAATGGCTTGAGAATTGGGACAGTTGACAAAAAAGATGTAAGCTATCTTCTTCATGCATGCCACAACGAGGACACATTGTATCAACTTCCACTCCTCGTTTTTGCAATCCCATTCTTGTCGGAAGAGCATTGAGAACAGCTCTGCAAAAGAATAGTTTCAACTTTGGTTGAACTTTGGAATTCCACAAGCATTTCCAAGCTGGCACTTCAGATTGCATGTGATTTTGAGATTGACTAGATTCAGCATTGGTCAAATTTGTGGCGGTATGATACCCAGATTTGACTGTATAAATTCCATGTTCTGTCTTTATCCAGTGCAGTCTATCATTCTTTTGTTTCCTAGTCGGGTCGATAAAAATACCCGTGATGTGTGAGATGATGTGGTCCGGAAAGAATCTTCAGAAAAACTGAAGTTTCCACTGGCCATCTAGGCGGATCAGATCTTTAACACCGAGATTAGAGTATGTAGCCACAAATGAATCTTTAGAGATCGGATTAGGACGGTTAGGAACCAATCATCTGCAATGTTGATGTCTTTTCCTGAAATCACCTTCCATTTTATATTCTGATTTAATAGTTGCATTCCCCAAAGCATGCTTTTGTATCCCCAAGATGAGTTGTTCGGAGGCTACAGTTGAGGAAAAACACCATTTCCATAATATTTAGCTTTATAAAGTCTAGATAGAGAGATTCTGGAACAGACAATATTTTTCATGCATGCTTGCCTATTATGTGTCGCATTTTTATGTCTGAAACTATTTTTTTAATTTTTTTTTATTTTTACTCATTTTCGAATAACTTTTTGCTTTGTCGTGGTCTAGTTAAATTTTTCAAATTTATCCTCTTTTAAATTAAATTTTCTTATTCTTTTTTTTTTCTTTGAATGACCTCAGAAAAAATCGAGTGTTTACACGTTTTTTTACACCAAAACACTTTTATTATTAGGCGATGTAGGTTGGGGAATATGATTAATTGAGAAGATTCTATATATACTTGCTTAAAATCGTGTATTGGAACTCTTTTTAATTTTCATCATACACATTGAATTCAACACTCTCTCTCTCTATATATATATAGATAATATCAGTACATTGGTCACATCTATTGAGAAATATCCAAACCCAAGATCACGTTACTACAATCTCTAATTCTACTAATTATACAACTTATTATGTAAAGGTTCACTAAAAAGTGACAATATGACTACTTGCATAAGAGAAGTTCAAAGAAGTCCAATCATTTCAGAGTTAGACAGCTAGCCATTCGTCATTCATCACACTATCAATTTTCTCTTTTGACAAAATCACAATATCAATTAAGTAGTACAAAAATCTTGTGAGACAAGACAGTAGAGCTAGTAATAAAATTTTGTGATTAGAAATCCGTATCGAATGTCAGAGCAATAATTTCAGATATCAAATGTATAATATATCAAACAAAACACATATTCAACAATATCACACGTATTCTATTCGAACCCAAAAGAAGAAGAAAAAAAAAGTAATATTTTGTGCGATGTAAGAATAATAAGACCAATATCACCACTACTGTTGAGGCTTTTTAAAGACCGTTTACAGTAGCCGATGGTGCGGTAGGGTCAACGGGCACGTGAATTGGCTTTATTGGATCATCATCTTATCTGTTTGAATGGGGGCTGTGAAGTCAGTCACAATCCAGCGCCTCCCCGGTTGGCCCAAAATTCACATCCCATTCCACGGCGGGCCCCGCACTTGGAGATAGAATCATAGAACTGAAGTCTGTGAAATTAGGACTAAAAAAACTAGTGGTCCAGCACAGGTCCGTCCATTAACAACAACAACAACAACAACGAGAGGAAGCCCAACACCCCTGCGGTTTTTCTTTTCCCCCTACTTTTGGGGGTGCCTTGAATCTGGGGTCATTTTTTGTGTCTCAGTTTTTTCTTCTTTTTCCTGATAAGTGATGATAACAATCAGATCAAATACCACAAAAGATGCTGATTCTTTCAGAGGGGATGCACGATTGAAATTCGATATTTCTCTTATAAAAGAGGTGAATTTGTTTGTAAGTTATGTCTTAACTTAATTTTAAGGACGATTTGAACACCGAATGATTCAATATTGTTAGAAATTTCATTCTCATCAGATTATGATATGTTCGGTGCTTCTGACTCACATTAAATTAATTTAAATTGTATGTTCTTTATACTTTCTTGCCCAAAAAAAAAAAATTAAAAATAAAATGATAGTGTATGATTCAATATTCATCAATATAGAACAATCGTTCTCTATTTAGAATATAGTGCTTTTGTGCTTGCATATCATAAGAGAAGAAAGGAAGACTTGTAAAGGAGTAGTACTATTTATCTCCCCACAATAATATTTCATATTATGATTCATAAATCGAATAGCATAATTTACACTTTAAAATGTTCAACAAGAATTCTGTATCTTAGGGTAAATGCTTAATTAAATTTTTAGTGTCTTCATGAAAGATTGTGGCATTTCTACGTTTTCATGTATGTAAGTAACATCCAAATTCTCCCGTTATTTAGTAGTATCCAAATAAATACTATGAAAACATTGACGCCAGCCTTGCCCCTTTTGTGAGTTTGCCGAGCAAATGATGTATGATTAGTTAGGCAACTCTTTATTATGACTTATGGCTTGAATCCATTAGAAAGAAACAAATTGACTCACGAATTCTTTTTGGCCACAATCATTTGGTTTATGATCACATTATCCCAAGCAAAAAAGGCACTTATTGTATTTATGTTTTGATGATATTTGAGCTGAAATATATTTTGTAAAAGCAAAATATTGTCATGTAGTGTAAAAACCATGACATTCTATTGCTTAATTTAAGCAGTTGATAAAAGAGTGCTTAACAATATATATATTGAATAATCTAACTTCACTGAGATGAAATACTTTTCTGAAAAGAAGTTCGCATTATTTTACTGTTTAAACGCATTGAAATAATTGTTTTTTTCCCCCGAGATACAGTAATAAATGCTGTGTTGTTTAAAAACGCAGAAAATCATCTTGTTCTACCAAAAAAAGGAAACATTTCGGTGAAATTTGTCATGCGCAGTCATCAATACGTGGATATAGTATTACAATTACTTTTTAATTCAAAATGGTTCAAGTATTTCATATAATTAAGTACATGCTGTTAGGGAATAAGTTACTTTCTCAAATAACAATTTTTTTTATTTTTTATTTTTTTTTACCCTTCAAGACAATTAGAGAAAAAAGAATAAGACTCACAAAAAAAGAAAAAAGACAGAAGAAGAAGAAGAAGAGAAGAAATTAATACAAAACAGAAGGAACTATTTATTTATTTCTTTTTCGTCTATCCTAAAATTGAGGTGTTCTTCCCCCTCAACGGCTCGGCTCATGAACTTGTTGGGCTTAGCTAGAATGGATGAGAAAGGCCTATCTTCCCCTTATTGGTTCTGTGTTTGAGGCAGGAAATTAACGCGTAGTAATTTGCATAACTAATAGTACTCAGCCAAACTAATATAGTGAAAATTGACTCAAAGAATCATGTGTCATGTACTACATGATTAGAAGCGGCGAAATTTAAGAGGTTATAAGCTAAAATCTTCGCGCAAAAAAAAAAAAATTCTATTAAACATATTGTTTGGCTCTATAAACTTTTCGTTTTTTTTTTTTTAGACGTAAAGAGTAAAAGAAAATTATGACATTTTTGAATGCAAACTGCCGATATGATTTCATTATTGTGCATACCTCATTAGTTATCACAACAGTCCATAATTGTAAAGAGCGTGTCCAGTGGAGGTCGAGCAGTTGGCAAATATTGGTGGCTTAGGACTCTAATTGTAGTTTGATCAAATGATGCCAGCAAATTCTCAAATTATATTACTATGCTAAAAGTTGTCAAAATGGTGGCAACAAAATTAACAGATAGAACGGGGTTTGAATTGCACCAATGATATAAAAAATAATAGTGACTAATAGCATTATATTTTTACGGTCAAAATGAACATTTTTTTTTTTAATCGAAAAGAGTCTGTTTTTGTTTATATAAAAATATAACTTGAGTTTTTATTTTTCGCATCAAGTACTCCCTCCATCCCATAATTATTGTCCAGTTTGAATTTTTATTTTTAGTTCAAATTGTACTAAAAGTGAAATCTCAAAGCGGACAATAATTATGGGACAGAGGAAGTACATAAAATCAATGGAAGGAGCAAAATCATGTTCGTTTCTCCTACTATGAACGCGTCCACATTTAGGTAGCGTGTGACAAAATCATCACTTCTAATTTTCATTTTTCACCTCAATTTCTTAGTCAAAATTCTAATATGGAGAGAAAAGGAGTGCGACCTTGCCACAAGTGCATCGCTCGTGCAACGTTTCCCGCCATAACTAACCGCCAGGCGTCCAACTGAAAACACACACTCACACAGTTGCACTCTAACAAACAAAGATTCCTTCCTCTCTCGGCCCTCAACAGAAAACACACTCCCATTCTCCATATCCTCCCAACGCCAAAAAAAAAAATACCCTTCGTTAAATCACACACAGTCACGCACTAGCCAATGAAGCTACTCAGAACTCCAAAAATGGCGAGAAGAAACAGGATCAATGACGACCGCCTTCCTCTCTTTAGTACCCGTAATAGCGGTGGTGACAGCAAGAGGAGCTTCTCGAAGAAATGGGTTCATCTGATTCCCATAATTGTTATGTTCTGCTTCTTTGTTCTCTGGTTCTTCTCTTATACAGGTATATATATGATGAATTTTTAACGACCCAGCAATTCAACGTTGCTCCTTTCCTTTTTAATTTTAGTGCCAGTTCGTGGGATTAATACCTCTGTTTTGCACATCTTTATGTCCCCTTTCTTTTTTATGGTTTGAAATAATGACTGATATCTTATAACTGGGAATGGGTTGATGCAACACTGGAGAATATGTGAATAATGAATTGGAACTGATCCGGAGTGATGGTACCAATTGATTTTGCCTGAATATATGAAGATGTTTATAAGTGTTTGTTGATTTCTCTTGTATTTCATGGTATAAGGCCTGCTAATGAAATCTGTTTGAATGAACATAATTAATTTAATGTATCACATGATTCACATCTTGCTTGAAATTGGAAGCAGAGATTAATGGAAACCCCTGTCGAAGAGGGTGCTGGAAGCTCTTTTGGAATGGTTTTTTATTTTTTTAATTTTTTTTTCAGTCTCCGTTGTTCCGTTATTTTTCTTAATTACTTGCAAGTATTGTTATTTTGATCAATTAGTTTTACTTCGACTTTATCTTCTCTCTGTTCTTGCTGATTCCTGAAAGGAAATGGGGACTTTGTATGAACTTGTTGATTCATTTTGATCATTATAACAAAAAGAAGAAAACGAGTTTGGATTCTACAATCTACATGTATGGCCTCTTACTTAGTTTCATTGAAGCATTATTTTGTTTCGGATGAATGGATTAGCTAAACTCTTGACTATGAACATTACAATCCTTGTTCAGTTCTGGAATAAATAAGGAAATAAAGAGGACTGTATCAGCATTAGGTCCAATTATGATGTTTCCTCTGTTATTTCCATTACCTGTTGACCAATAGGCTAGAAATCGTACTATGAGTCAAATGTATATGAAGTGATCCCTTTTCTTTTTGTTGATCTGAAACATTGTTCAGTGGATTTGGAGGTCAAAGATGGAAGAATTGCAGAGTTTCCAAAGATAGACAAGCCGATTTCTCTAAGCGAAACTCGTGTTGACATTGCCCTCTTGGCTGTAGCTTCTCCACCTTATCCCTCAATCACACACATGCAGACACTAGGAAGCCACACTGCAGCAGAGCCGGCAAGTGTTAACTGATCAAAGAGTTTAAACTTTCTTCAAAAACCCTCATTCAGGAATGGATAACTTTTAGCTTTCTGTGAGATACTGATTTGGCGTTATCAGTAATATCAAGAGTTTTATGCTGTTTTGAGAACCCTTTTGGTGGAGGTAGCTTTATGTTGTTTCTTTTGTTTCAGAAGTAGCAGTGATGATCATATAATAATCATTGGTGAAATGGATAGAAAAATGTGCCTTTGTTCTGATTTACACTCTGAAAAAAATTATTGTGCTATCTAGAATCTAAGCCTAATCTTCTTCTATTGCATGAGTTTTCATTTGAATGTTGCTGCTTGCAAGCTTTCTGCTGTTGTGAAAGTATGGAACTTCAAATCTTCCCCTCAGTTAGACCAGAAAAAATCATCGGAGTTAATTTGTTACTCCATTCTGGTGGAAGGAACAAAGAGGTTGTTTTTGCCTTTGGCCTGCAATGCTACAATTCACTTACTTCACCTGTTCTGCAATTCCCAACCCAGACATACAAATTTGTTTTTCTTTTTGATGGCAAAATCCTGCAGCAGTCTCTTCGTGGTGACTGAAACAGCAAATTCAGGTCATTATTAGCATCAGTTCAAAATTTTATAACTCGAGAAAAAGCATCAATCACTCAAAAAACTAGTTGATATAGCATTAGACAAGGTAGACCTAAAACGAATAGATGTATCGGCAAATGGACGTATGTTATGGTAGTAGTACCGATTAGAACTACTTAGGTTAGATTGTAGTATGTGTTTATCGTTCACATGTTTCATCTCCTGTTGAATTTCTGTTTTATCTCTGAACCTCTAAAGTTTCACAGAAAGGCAGGAGTTCTTTTGGAGGCATCTTTGCTGAATGTTTGTTTAAGGGCTACTTTGTATAGAAAACCACACTACGTTGTTATTTTTTCTTGTTGCAAAGACTGATGTTCAGTAATCTTTATTACTTGTCTCCTCTTTCCCACATTCCCCTTCAGAATATCCAACATTCTATTGATACAGACATACACAGATAACACCTCTCCCTCTTTTGTCTAGAAATTCAAATAACCAAACCTTGTTTGAGCTTAATGTTAATATGAAATGCATCACTGTTCAAGAAAGGCATTGGAAATCATGAAATGTACCTTTTGCCAGCGGGTGCTGTCCGGCCTTTTCAAGACAATTATGGAATTAATCCTTTCGGGTGACTCCATTTTCCACCTACAATAAGGATAAGACTCCCTATGACGCGTGTAAATCCCGATGATTTGCTTCCTTCCTCTATCATATCTGGTTGAGGACATGTAGTATAAGAAGGGCTTCTGACATGGATGTTTGGTAACTGGCCTAGTGTTGAAAGCATACGCTGTGTAATCCGCTTTTCGGTACCAATTAAGGAATGTTCTGGTGGGCATCTCTAGCTCTCTGGGAGAAATGTTTCCCCTGATGATCTGAACCACATAGCCCCATGAAACCGAAACAGACCAATACCTTTTCTTATCATAGCAGATGGACTGTTGTATAATGCTGGCAGAATCCTGCCTCACGGATTGAAAAAGGCGTTGTAAACTGTTAACTCTGTTCAATTCTGGAAATATTGGATCCACTATATCAAGGTGATGCAGTGAAACCAGTGGAGTTACTGGATGTGCTCCAAGAAGGCCTAATAGGTTTCCATACACATCATACTGCAATATTTCAAAAGACAACATTTACTAACTATCAATTGGATCTCAAAACTACTAATGATCATTGAAATAGAAAAAAAGGGTGATTGATCAATTTGATCTGATCAAACCAATCTATTATGCTTTTCTCTAACCTGATGAAATCCAGGTTCTTTGGTGAGTGGAACCCCTAGCTCAGCCATGCAAGCTTGAATCCTGTCATCACTTCCGTATAGTCCGGGATATCGTTGAATGCATCGATCTTGCATCTTCTCTAATTCTTTTGCCAATGGATAACTAATGGCAAATCCACCACCACCATAGGCCATACCATAAGAGAAGAAAATGTTCTGAATATGACTTTCTGAAGAGCTGCCAATGTAATAGTACTGATTGTGATCATACTTTGAGAGCACTCTCAACACATTTTCGACCACGAAAACCGTGTCATCGTCTCCCATCACGAACCACCTCACATCTTCCATTCCCAACCTCAATGTCTCAGAAACCACCCTGGAAATCCTCAGCGCCGATCTCGACCCCTGGCGATTCGTGTACTCGAACTGTGAAGTGTTCCCTGAAATCTTAATCTCAGGTAAGGCCTCATTCCTGCTAGTTTTCACTATCTTGTCTAACCAAACAACCCCTCTAGTCTCCCCTGGTCTCCACCATATCTTAATGTATTCTTTCCTCTTATCCCACAAATTCGACGAAGCCGCAATGCCGAAAACAATGTGCTTGAGCTCTGTATCATCCCGGAAAGCCAGCCTCGCCGGCGTTGCAGGTTCCAAAATTTCCCTCTGATCAGTACTGCTGCTTGTGTTGGCAAAACTGGTGGCTAAAGAATTATTAATACTACTATCACTATTATTGCTCCCTGATGATAAATATGCAGGGGAATCATCAAGATTCTCTTTTGTTGAGATTATATCAGAAGAAGATGGCAATGAGCAATCATGCTGATTATTATTATTGAAGATCAAATTTGATGAATACAAGACATAAACAGTCAATATAACAACGAATAACCAAGTAACAAAACTCCTGAGGCTGTTTAGGCCTGATGGGTATCGTTTAGCGGAGTTCATCATAATCTGATCTGAAACAATATTGGCTTTTGTGGGAGTGTGTGATGTTTTTTGGGAATTGATTTTGGTCACCATTGCCGGATTTTTTTCACCTTCTTCTCCGGCTGAAGCAGCATGGATAGTAACTCTGAATCTGATCAAAAGGGTTTGGAGAAAGGGAGTGATTGGGAATGAATCAATGTTGGAAATCTGAGTGATGTTCGGATCTAATTTTGTCAGGAATTGGACACCATTTTTTTGGTTTTCTTGAAGAAAGTTTGTTGAGGGAAGGAACGAATATGAAGCCGGTCAACATGTCTCACTTTGCTACAGATGTGCAGTAATTTTGGTGTTTAATTTTAATTTTTTTTTACAATTTTTCTTTTCTTTTTTTGGTTTTTATATGAAGCCACCAAATTGTCCCCCTCATATACTCTTTCCGCCCTAAAATTATTATCCAATTTGAATTTTTTACCTTTAGTTCAATATGAGATAATAATTTTAGTAGAGAGAAAGTATATTGAAAAATATGACTTCTTAGAGGTCTTTTACACACATTTAATACGACTGACATATTAACTTTGGTATCACCGTTCACTTATAAGTCAATTGTGAATCAAATTTGTTGTCATAGAAATCACAACAAGTAACTATGTAGGTTTTTCTTTCTTACTTAATAAAAACAAGAAAATGACAAATCTATTCCTTCTTTCTATCAATACTTGTATTGATTCATTATTGTGGAAATCACATGGAACACAAAAACTATATTGTATTTAGGTCTTTGCTTTCTTACATAAACCAAAAGAAAGAAAATGGGGAAAATATTCGGTGGTTAATGACCACCAACTCTTTTGCAAAAGTGCATATCATAGAATTAGTCACTTATTGATTTATAGTAACCAGCTTTAATGATTTCACCTGTTTAGGAAAATTTGGAAAAATCTTGGAATTGATACACTTAAATGCCTTTTACCCGTAAATAAATAGTATCTCTTTCTTCAACTTGCAAACACAAATTTCGTAGATACAAAAACTACGTTTTGCCTTTTTCTGAACCATTTTGAAACAATGGGAGACCATTTCAATGGATATTTGAAATCGGAAGATGGAATAGCAGTTTCACCTGGACAGAGAAAAGGTTAGTTTCCCCCGAATTATTAATTATTATTATTATTATTATTATTATTATTATTATTATTATTATTTTTACATATCACTATCACGTAACTTTATCATTAAAGATTGTTATGGTCTATTGTACGGGGGGTTGATGATTAACCTATCATCAAAGATCGCATCAATAAGGTGTTATCTGACTATTTAATTTGTGTCAGATTTTTGCCAACCTAGTTACCCATAGCATATGTTTTACTACAAATTTTTTTTTTTGGGATAAATTTTGTATTAGTTTTTGCTTCACGAAAATACAAATCCATTGATTAGTTTTTCAATTTCAATTTGTTTTCTATTTGGAGTTCGGATTCATTTAGCTTTGATCCCTCATACATATACTTTAGTAATTAAACAATAGTATTTTTTATAAATATTTAATGGAACAATCATTTAATCGCGACAACATTTAAAGAAGGATACTTCGGAGAAATATACAAATCTTTGAAGATGCAGACTCTAATAATATTAGCTTAGAAATACACTATTGGTACAAGTTATTTGATATTGATAATAACAATAATAAAAGACTTACAAACGTTGTGACATTTTCATTTAATTTCATCCTATAAGATTAATCGTTTCTTAAGCACACATTAGTGTAACTAGTAATGTATTTATTTATTTTTGTAGACAACTATGATTTTAATAAAATAAAGATTAGGTGTAGCCTGTAGTAGATAGGTTTGGGACTTCAGGAGGGAACATATGTAATCATAGTATTATAAATTATAGGTCGAATTAGTAACTTGTCTAAAATTTAAATTTAAAAAGACACTATTTGTCACCGAATTATATCTCCGATCACCGGAAATTTTATACCGGAGAAGGAAAAGAAACGTTGGCTGAGAGTAGTAGAAATGGCTACCGTGAAGTTACTGACGCAGAAAACACTAAGAAATGGGCCTTCTTCTTTCCCGTTATTCCTCCGTGAAAGAAGACTGTTGTTTAATTCCCTGCGAGCTTTCTCAAGTACAGGAGTTCTGTCTCCGCCGTCCACGGCGGTGGTTTACGACCAGCACGGTCCTCCCGACGCTGTTACAAGAATAGCGCAGCTTCCCCCGGTGGAAATTAAGGAGGATGACGTCTGCGTCCGGATGCTCGCTTCTCCCATCAATCCTTCCGATATAAATCGAATTGAAGGTAATTATATCAGTCTCTACTTTTCAGTTAGTTGTGTCTGCTTGTGTCCTGTTGTGATTGGCAAGAGAAAACATGGTGGCACCTGCATGAATTTGGAATCGGGGAAAGAAGTTTTCAATTGTATTGCACTAAGTAAATGTTTAAACTGGCAAAACTTTCTTTACTTGAATGGTGATGTAATAGGTGAGAGTGATTGGATTTTATTGTCATAATTATATTTTTCTGTACTTGTCTTAAGAGGTGCTTACAATTAAGTAGTGCAATTTCATGTGGAGTGCAAATTTTGAACCAACTATGTAATGCTGTTGACCTGCTTGTGAAAAAGACATTCTGAGTTTCAATTAGTGTATAAGACTGTTTTGGGTGAAAGTTTTGAGGGCTACGAGAGGTTTAGGTGTGGGCTGAATGAAGTGTGTAGATGGAAAGATGGAACATAAAAATGTGTAACTGATTCCAAATAATTACAAGATTGAAGACTTAGGAAAACCAAACATCATATCCGTTTTTTGTGTAACTCCATATCTATCCTTACTATCTTCACTTTATTGCAGGGGTATATCCGATTCGGCCCCCGGTGCCAGCTGTGGCTGGTTATGAAGGAGTCGGAGAAGTGCACTGTGTGGGTTCTGGAGTAAAGGGCCTTTCGCCGGGTGATTGGGTCATCCCGTCTCCTCCTTCTGCAGGTATATTTCTCGGTGAAGCTTAGCTGAGTTAATGGTTTCTGTCATTTGCTTTACTTCCCCTATTCTCTAATTTCTGAATAGGATTCAAGCTTGTAGCAGTACATATTTTGTTGCACATGTAAGCTGACTTGCCAATCTTTTGAAATCACTACAAAATCTACTGTGTCTATGCATGATTACCCAAATGTTACATCTTAAATCTCTTTCAAGGTCTAAAAATTGTTTCCTTAGCATGCCTTTCTAGTAGTGAAAATTGTCTGTGGATGAATATATGCGCTTCTGTGAAGAAAGTAATGATGTTTACGTTTAAACCATACAGGATGGCTAGCCATCATGTAAATATTCCTTCTTTTCAGTAAAGTCACTATGTGGATAAAGCCTACTTCTTACATTCTGTTAAATTCTGTGAATGATCTTACTGATGTTTACATGCGTGTATGCTTTTGTATGTCTGCTTCTTTTCTCGTATAAAAAATTGTTTTAATATTTTTTGTTCTAACTTTTCTCTGTTTTAAGGAATGTGGCAGACATATGTTGTGAAGGAGAAAAGTGTTTGGCACAAAATTGATAAAAGAATCCCTATAGAATATGCTGCAACAGTTATTGTCAATCCTTTGTCCGCCCTTAGAATGCTTGAAGACTTTGTTGATTTGAAATCAGGTTCTTCTATACTTGCTTATTGTCTTAGTATGGCTTGCTTTTGACTGTGTAGTCCCTGACAGTGGGCTGTAATTATAGGTGATTCAATTGTTCAAAACGGGGCCACTAGTATGGTAGGCCGGTGCATCATCCAGCTTGCACGTGATCGAGGCATTCATACAATTAACATCATACGAGATAGGTAATCGCAAGATTGCTGGTCTATTTTTTCTGCCCTTCTCACTTGGTAGTGTAATTTTGCCATTTGTTCTTCTCAAAAGTAATTGCCAATGAATAGAATGTTATTGGTTTCGTCTTTAGTGGACAAATGTAACCAGCATTGATTATCTTGACTTGAATCTTTGTGTTGGACGGAATTGTGATTTGCTTTTGTCAGATGATGTAGGCAGAAGTTTCCTAATGAGGAACAAAACCATAATTGGATCATAAGATCCGAGCAAATGAAACGATCAACTTTGGATGAAAGGAAACTTCAGATACAACTTGTGCCACTTGTCAAACAGCTTCTCACATCCCCGGGGGGTTGTTTTGCATCTTCCTAAGATGAAGTGAATAAAGTTCCTCAGAATTTAAGTTGATGTCTGATTCCAAGTTTAAAGCTTCAAGTAGTATACCATAACTCTACCTGTTTTCAGCTACCTAAAATGCTTTTAAATAGTGGCGGCAGGTCATGTTTCTCTTGTTCTGGAGCTTTAGGAAGTTTACTCACTGTTACGAACATGTTTATCAATTGCATTAAACCTTGCAACTAGTAGTATATGTGCTTTGAGGGCACTCATATCTTTTACTTTCTGTAACCTTGGGCAGGCCTGGATCTGATGAAGTAAAAGAGAAACTGAAGAAACTTGGAGCTGATGAAGTTTTTAGTGAGAAAGAACTGGAAGTAAAAAATGTTAAAGACCTGGTAATATGTTTTAAAGACTCCAAAACCAGTGTGGCTAGATTATCCCTTTGTTTTTAATTAAAAAGAATTCTACGTAAAGGAAAAGTGTCTTATCAAACCATGAACACAAATTGGCCTATTTCCTGAAGGACTTTGAAATATTGGTGTTCATGTTTGCTGTAGGTTAATTTGCCCGAACCTAGTTTGGGACTCAATTGTGTTGGTGGAAATGCTGCTTCATTAGTTCTCAAGTTTTTGAGGTGAGAATGATTTCCTTAAAAGTTTTATTTGTAGTCGTTTATTCTATATTTTTACTCTCAAAGTGTGGTTTCCTGGTTCAGGCAGGGTGGGACTATGGTGACATATGGTGGAATGTCAAAGAGACCTGTTACTGTATCCACTGCATCGTTCATATTTAAGGTGGGCATTGAATTTCTTGCTATCAATTATCACCCAATGTTTTATCATCCTTACTTATAGGTCAAATTGGGAGTGATTGGAATTTTTTTTTCTCAGTGAAATTTCTCTCAGCAGCTTATCTGGCAGAATTTTCTATTTGGCCTTAGCTAGAGATTTTTTACCCTTCATGACTATCAAATACAACAGAAAGTTTTCTGAAAGAGACTTGCCTAGATTTATCTCTTGCCTAAAATGTTGACCTCTCTAAAGAGTTTAGACATTTGATTCAGCTAGCAAGAAACATATCATTTTGGGGATTGGTTATGAGATCAGAGGAAGTTGTTGACTTGGACATGCTACATTTTTGCATACTCTAGCACTTAATTATTTTTGTACAAGGAACATCAAAATGTTAGTTTCAGATGCTTACCTTGTGGCATTTCTTTAATGTCCTTGTAGGAACTTTCGTTGCGGGGATTTTGGTTGCAAAAATGGTTGGGTTCAGATAAAGCGAAGGAGTGCAGAGTCATGATTGATTACCTTTTGGCACTGATTAGTGAGGGGAAATTGACATATGAGTATGCCCCTTTTTCCTTCTTCCCTCTCATCCTTTCTATTCAGACCTGATTTGTTGTTGTTGTTGTTATTGCTGTAAGGAAGTTCTACGCTTCCACAAGTCTCAAATTAGCTGCGTCACCCTTAAACCTTTTTTTTTTTTTTGGGTTAAATCACCCTTAAACCTTTGACACGTGTGTGTGCGCAAATCAGTATCTGTATTATGCTATCATTGCATGTGCCATCCTCTACAAAGTCTGCAGCTGTTTTTTGTGTCGTTTGATTTACAGTTCTTCACCATTTCGCACTTCTTCATGTTGTGTTCACGTGTTTCCTTAATTTTCCAGTGTGGAGCTTGCTCCATTTGAGGATTTCCACACAGCCCTAGACAAGTCACTTGGAAAGCTCGGAAGTCAACCAAAACAGGTCCTCAAGTTTTAAAACTTCTACCTTAAGAGAGGTTGTGCTTGTACTATTCTGTAGGAGCTTCTGTTACTTGGGAGATGTGGAGTTTACCGATGGGAAAAATCTGCTGCCCAATCCTAGTCCAGCGCAAATCCAAAATCAGTTGGGATTTAAATGGGTCTGAAATTTTGATAAAGTCTGTGAGACTAGGATTCATACTTGATGGTCAGGTTCATGGTCAGGTTCATCTTCTTTTCGTTGCGGTGTCCAGGGTCGATACCAATGTCTATAATCAATATAAATAACACTTTTTTTTTCCCGCCCAAAAAAATGTAACTAAACCTTCGTCCGGGTCTATGGTATTAATATTCCGGTAAAACTAAACTGTCTCGTTTCTTAAATTTTACTCTACGAATTGGATTATCGCAACATGGGTAAAGATTGTCTATGACTTTCGTTTACTTCTTAACCAAAAAAACTCAGTATATATTATATAAAAATTTGTTGCGAATTACCAAAGGCAACATTTATATGTTACCCGAATAGTTTAAGCATGAGGCTCAGGAGGTAGTTTCTTTATTAGTCAGTATTATTTTTTCATTTCAATTTTGTTCACTGATTAAAGTGAGTTGGCAAGATCTCGTAAAACAACATAATTTTAGCACTAAATAGAATGCGTTGTAATAGTTTAAGTACTTCTTCTTAATTAATATACAAGTATTTTTTTTTTAAAAAAAAAAGATTTAACCATGATATCTAATCCCTAAGTTTCTCACAATTTTAATCATTTAAATTTAAAACTTAAAGATAGATAAGCATTAAGCTTATGTATTGATGATTGTCCGATTTGATTTTGGAGAAAAGAAAGAAAGATTTTGTTTTGAATTTGACTTATGTACATTCTTGTCAATAAACTTGTAAACACGATGATTAGAATAGATTTTCGCAACTCTTTCAAATTCGCGGTAGGATATTTGTTTATTTTTTATTTTTTATTTTTTGTTTTCAACAATTCAGTGTTATAATTTTTTATATGAATAAGATTTGGAGGATGTTGTTTCGAAAACATAAGAAAAATAATTTGATTTTTGTGAATTGTGAAGAGGATAAATGGTGACCCCGAAAATGTAAGTAAGGACATCACTATCACTTTACTGATCATTTTCATTCAAAGATGTCATTTACTGATCACTACATGTTACCCACACGATTTGCGTGGTTTATCATATATATTGTAAAAAATATATAAAATAACAACATCATCTTTTTTATTTTTAAAAATAAATTATATGTGATTAGAAATAGATTAAACACTATCTCATTAACAATATATATGTGTGTGTGTATACTGTCCTATATATTGCAAAGGAAACATATAATAATGCAATGTGTAAATATAATAACTTTTTTTAATTAGATCTATCATATGAAAACGTGAAAACATGTTTACATCAATTAAAAACGAAGTAAGAAATTAAAAAAATCTATCATCGAAAAATTATTCATTTTATGACCATATTCTCATCTGCAAAATAAAGTCCTTAAAATACCACTAATAAATAATAGAATTAATAAAAAAAATAAAATTATATACGCTTGATTTTTACAATTCGGTTGACTAACCTATTCATATGACTATACCAGAGATATGATATAGATATATGACCATTAGTATCTGTCCTAAAATTCTAGTTTATGAAAATTTCATCTTTAACCTCAAAAACATAACAATAATAGTGTTCACCAAATATGCCATAGAGTTTAGATTGTCTTTTTTTTTTTACCTATAATTGTTGGAGTTACAAATAATGGTAAAATGTTTTAGATTATAGAATCCAATCTTCTTCTCCCATACAACTCCATTTACACTGAAATTCAACAATTTTCAAATGATGTCAACCAAAATTCAAGAAACCAAACCGAACAAAAACGATATGTAATACAATGCTTAGAAATTACTTCTTAATAAAAAAAAATAAATAAATAAAAACAAAAGCACAATTTTTTCTTACCTGTGGGTTTACAAAAGCACAATTTTCTTTCAAGGAGTAGACGTTTATATTAAAACAATGATGGTTCTTGTAAAGCACCAAAAAATAATTTTGAATTTTGAATGATATGATTAAGATTTTAATTCTAATTTATTTAGTAAAGATTCTTGAACCACATAAAAATAGCCATTGTTGACATTGTGTGCACACGGTGTTCCGGGATCAATAATAGAATTTTGAAAAAGGATAAAGTTCAACAACAAATTACCATATCAAAATTTGGTTCAAAATTCGAACTCACAATATGTTTTGAATGCACAATCACATATTGATGTTTTGATGATTTAGTTAATTTCGGAATATTCCAAAATTTTAGTCCACGGGTAGTAATAATCTGAATTATGGGATTATTCTGAGAAAGGATTAATATTTTTGGAGATTATTTTAGGAATGATTATGTACTTATCATAGTTTTTATTGCATAATATTATTAATCAATCCTGTACTTTTGGAGATTATTTTTGGGGGGATTAATTTCAGTACATTAATGTTGATTAATTTCATCCATTAACATTTGAGTAATTCCCATTTTCCATTTTGAATTAATGTTTTGAATGTAATTTTGATAAAACCTTATTTACAGAAAATTCGAAAGACTATTAGTGTAATTGCAAAAACTATTATTTGAGTTCTTATTTGATACCTTTAGAATTTTTTTTTTCCTTTTTGTGATTTCTCTCTTAGCATAATAATAGTATAGATATTATCACTGATCACGTAGTATATTATTCAAATATATGACTTTGGTTTAGTAAGGTCTGAAAATTTCTTAAAAACCTTTCGAATCACGTTGGAAACACGCTATAGTGAATCCAATTTAGAGTTTAACTCTTTGTGGAAAAAAATCCATAATACCTACGCGTTTTGTTTCATATGAAATCATGGATAATTACATTGAGTTTTTTTTTTTTTAATTTATTTTTCGCGAGAACCAGGGCAGAAAATTCCATTGAGTTTCTCTGTACATTTTGTAGTAATTATATAACAATATAGATATTCAACAAATTCTACCAATAACCGAAAATCATTTATTAGGACCATCATGACTAAGATTATTTCGATGTTGACTAGGATTAACTAATTACTCTCTCCTGTCCTTATTATAAGGCATTTTGATTTTGTTTTATGTTTTACTTATGATATCTTTTTAATTGAAAAAAAAAATCTTAAAAACTTATTTTATCGTGTTTTCTTCATTATAATAAATTTTTTTAAAGTTTTTATTTCAATTAAAAATATATCTTAGATAAAATCTAAGACGAAATCAAAATGCCTTATAATAAGGACGGGAGGGAGTATTATTTTATTTTTCTAAGTTGTTACATAGGTCTCAATAAACACACAGGCGGTGGCCTAGAGGCCCTAGACTTGGATCTCAAAAATTTGGAAACACTATTTATGCATTGGTCAGGCCTAATGTACGATGTGCTACTTGAGATTGCGACACGTATATCAAGCTTGGAAGATTTCATGGCATTAAGAGTTGTGTGTACTAAGTACTAACTAGTTGGCGAACCGCCGTCACCAAAAGGATAAATTCGTCCTTCGTCCTCTAGAGTTCCGTCACTAATGTTACCAGAGAATAACAACGGGGAATGCGAGTTTTATAGTCTGTCGGGAAGAAAAATTTAGCATGAGATTAGTAATCCCAGAATTAAAAGGTACACGTACAGCGCGATGAAGTGGGATTCAGTTGGACGTCCCTCTCTCATGCACATACGCAACTCCCTAATTATAGACCATTCCATAAATGGAAAGGTGTTATTTCTAATTTCATAGAAAAAGCAGTATTGTCACACAATCCTTCCCCAAACGTCAGATTTTGTAATAATGACGATTCCCTGCGGTGGCAGGTTTGTGGCCATTCTGAGGCGTGGAGACATGGCATGGAGACGGATAAAATCACGTGATGATACATTCATGGACAGCGCTACGTCTAGTGTCTCTGGTCTGTGTCATAGCGTGTCATTGGCTACGTCTAGTCAGCGCTAACATATATGTTCCTTCCTCAATATATAGTCCACGGCTTCTTCCACCGTATCGACCACCTGCGAAAAAGAATTTCCACATTAAACAATTATGCTCACTATTCTTAAGTTGATTCAGAAACAAAGGGGAAAAAGTTTCAATGCCACAATCTGGTGGAAAAGAGTTTCTACTTTGCTCATGGCATGTTTGGCTAACAGCAAAGTGGAGACATACAGGATTGAGGTAGATAAAATGTGAACTAAATCAGCATAGAGAATCAAAATCCTACCAAATCTGCAGGATGTTCAGTGTGATTTCCCTCTCCTTTGAAGACCCCTGTCCGTGTTAAAATTGAAAACCAAGGACTCCCAGCCTGGAAATTTCATAATTTCACTTCACATGCTCATGGACAAATTTATGAACTTCAAGTAGAACAAAAGGAACAGAAAACCCAACCTGCCGAGCTCCCTTGATGTCGATTGAAGGATTATCCCCTACCATGTACAGGGTTTTGAAGGGTTCTGTTCCACCATCTGCTTCAATGTTGTTGTAGGCAGATTGAACCACTTGGGTCAGCACATTTTCAGCATTCTTGAACACAAACGGATGTGGTTTCCCATAAGACGTGTACTCCATATCCTTAGGGTGAATACTACACAGTAAAAACCAACTTTAGAACATGTGGAATAGAACTTTGATGGTACAAAAACTCTTTTCTGATGATATGTCACCTAACCTTATTCCCCAAAAACCAAGAAGACAAGCCTATGGGCCCTAGACTTCAGGTGTAATTTTGATTAGAAATCAATTCACTGTTATGGAAAAGAAATTCAAGAGCCTTGCGATACAGCAAAATGACACTTCCAAGTTATTGGGAGATATTCTCATTATCCTAAAATCATACTTTAAGGTTGAAGCTAGTAGGCCAACATGATAATAGATTCTCTCTGATAGCTTACTTATTGCACTTGATCGAGTGGTACCTGTTAAAAATAGATTCTAATGCAATCCGGAAAGCACCCATTCCAAGCCGTTCAGCAGGAAACAATGCCTATATGTTGTAGCACATCATCAGAATCTCTGCAATTACCTGATATTCAACTAAAAACAACCTAAGCTCTACAGAAGAGGATTGACCTGATATGCAAGATCATCACTCGCAAAGAATAGCGGTGGCTGGTGTGCAGTTTCTCTCCCAGGAAGCCCACCCGTTCGCAGAATGTCACATAATACCTACAGTTGGTATCAAAGCATCACGCTTGAGAGACAAATTACTAGATTATATTGCGGGGTACTGAAAGAGTAAATGGCTATCCTGAAACCTCTTGCTTGACATCCCAAAGAACATAATTCTGATCTTAGCAGGACCCGACATCCAACCCAAATTACAGGCGAAAAAGAAGATACAATTGCTTTACACAGCAAAGACAGTGCAGCTTTGACCAATTAATTTTATTTACCTTTTTTTTTTTTAATAATCTTTGCAACATTTAGGTAAACAACACTGAAAATATGCATTTTTTTATTTGTTACTACTCCCCATCACTCCAAAGATTAACCGAAATTTGAAGCAGAATAGAAAAGAAAACCTGAAAGCAGTAAAAATAGGCATAAAGGCGTTAAAACCATAAAAGGTGTCTATTTCTTTTCTGTTCTGTAAGCAATTTATCAAGTTCAATTCTTATGAGGTCCTTCACTGACAATATGTCATATTTAAGCAGTATGTCACATAAAGATAATCAATTCATCAAAATAACAATTACACAGGAAAGAGAACAGACCTGGATGTCTCTGCTCCAGTCAATCGAATCACTAACAACAAAAACAGCCCCCACTCTCTCAGAGTCAGGATTAATGGTCAAGCTCGCATGTTGTTTGACAGCCTGAATTTCTTTCCACTTTTTATATTGAGCCAAAGGATCAATATTGTCAAAGAAAGATGCATAGTCGTCTATGGATAGAACATTTCTGAGAATGAGATAAATAAAGCAAAGATATCAAAACCGGGGGCAGAAATTAGAAATAAATAAATAATTGACAGCAAAGGATTTCCAAAAGCAAACACATTCCGTGAAGACAGCAAGCTGAACTTACTTGAATCCATATTCAGACATGACAACTGCAGGTTCTCCTTTTCCTACAGCAACAATGAGATCATTCTCAAATCTGCAGGGAGTGGTACAGATAAACACTACACATCCAGTATTCTAAAAAGTAAGAAAGCAATTTGTCTAAGATACTTCCACTCCATTTTGAATAGAATCAAAGGAAGGGAATGAAAAGAGATTAGAGCCACCACAATAGTTGAAGGCACTCTATAACCACCCTCAACTTTGAATATGTCTCATGCATAAAGACTCCTCATTTAAAGAGCTGAAGCTTCACATTGAGGCTCAACAGATTTCAAAGTTTTGCTTTTGGTAGAAAGAGGAATGCGGGTAGAACATGGCATCTAAAACTGATATATACTTGTGCTGTCAAATGAATTTCCTGGTATGCATAGTGGTTTAGATAAAGAATGTACCTTTTCACCAGTTGCTTAAAAGGAGTATGACCCTGTATAACCTGCAGCAAGAATTCAGTTAAAAGGCCAAATAGAAACAAACAGTCTAAGATACCGAATTGAACAAAGACAATACAAGATAAATACAACCCCAAACTATGAGCTTTTTAACTGTAGTTACCTGCAACGGGGAGATATTGACACCCAACTGCCTGGCTAAGTCCTTGGCTCTTTTCGATTCAGGAACTCCACCTCCTATTGACAATGTTATATGATTAGCGTTCATGAAAAAACAGGAAAGATGAAGAGTGAAGTGTACCAGAAGGGGAAAAAATGCCTCAAACCGCAAGAACAGAAAATCAATGCTATATTCACATACTCACCATTTGTCAGGAAAACATAAGGAATCTTCAAAGCACCTACAGAACATTAATCAAACCATGCACATTAGTTACACTACTTTAACGAGTAAGAAGCAGTACATTTCAAAATTATTCACCGAAATTCAAACCAACCAATTCGGGGCATTTTCAAGCATAATTCAAACAAACAGAGATTAAAGCTCATATCCACCAAATAGGAACGACAAAAATGCACAAACAGAACTCAACTGATAGTGGCGGCAGTGGCAGAATCGTAATAAAGACGTCTGAGAGCTTGAGGTGAGCCGCCGATAGGAGTTTCGCCGCGAAGAATTACGCCGTCGATGTCAAACGCAATGGCGAACGATCTCCGACAATTGAACACGAAAAAGTAAGAACAAAATTCAAACCTATTAATTGCATTTCTTAATTACGACGGAAAATTTTTCAAACTTACGGTGGTTTAGGCGGCGAAGAATGGAGGCCGCGACGGCGGGAATAGAGCAATCCGGGAATGGACAGAGCTTTGGCGCCATTATTACTAACTAAATTGTTGAGCGAAGAAAGAGATTGAGGTTGTTTCAATAACAAGTGAAGGAGCGAACTCATCATCATCAATGGAGAATTGGTGCCTGTCTTTTTTTGGGTTACTGGATCACAGAGTAATAAAAGGAGATGATTAATAAAGTTACAAATATAATATAAGTAATTTTAATAGCAAAAAATTGCAAATGCTTTCTTGTTCTCCAAGGAGAATATTGTTTTTTTTTTTGGGGAAAAAGTTTCTTTAGGGTTTTATAGTTTGAAACTTTTAATAAAATTTTTTTACCTTTAGATGGAAGTAGTTTATAAAAGCAAGTTTAAATGCTTTTTAGATAATCTCTTAGCACATTCATGTATAGAATGATTTAGAAATAGAGTTTGAAGATTGATACAATTGGTAGTTTGGTACTAACTTGTGAGAGATTAGTTTGGTAAGATGCTACCAAGATTGGTACAAATATCATCATCATGAATAATCCAGATTCCCATAATTATTTACTATGCAAATTTGCTAATCTTATTCCCGAAAAAAGAAAAAAGAATGCTAATTATCTTTGAAGTTTGGTTATCATTGAAATTCATTCAAATTTGAAGTTAGGTTATCAAGATCGTTGAAATTCATTGTAAGTAGGAGAAGAACGCAATGGCAAAACCTTCTTCCTTTAATGGACTGTTCATCAAGGAGACAAATGCCAAACCAGATTATACACACATTTGCTTATATTTCTATACACACTGACACAGCACAGAAACATAAACAGCCTCAAGAAAAGGAGGATTTCTCATCATCACTGTCTTAATGTAATATCTCTATAAAGTTTCTGTTTCTTGTATACACCACCCAAGCTCTCAAAATCACTCAAAACTCGCAACAATGTGAAGGGGAAAAGGCAAACTTGTATACATCATGATGCCTTCTTATCCGGGTTGAAATTTAAGGTCTCTATCAGGATAAGCTCCTTCACTTCTTCTTCGCTCAATGATGTCTTTTCGAAATCAAAGTTGAAAGGGGATGTACAAGTAGGCTCCTCGTTGATCTCGTGCAGAGATAACAGGAATGGATGGTTTAGTGCTTCTTCAACTTCACAATGGAACAAACATACAAGCAGAAATGATAACTTATCAGTGTAACTCAAAATGTTCGGGAACGTCAAACCATTTAATTCAACTCCATGTACATTAAGACATACCAGTTATTCTTTTAGCTGGATCAAATACTAGCATTCTCTCTGCGAGATCAAGAGCAACAGGAGATACATCTGGAAACTTATCGGAAAATGGCCTCTTTGGAAAATTTGGAAGCTTCTTCACATACTTCCTGGCAGTCTCGCTACGTATAAATTCAAGATCTGAATCATCTGGGGAACCTAATAGCTGGCACACCCACAAATGCATTAGGAACTAACCCATATGACGAAACATAACAATCTTAGCCAACTGTCCATTATGCAATCATTGTAACAGGATTATTCAGTGTAGACATGCCTTCGATGTTGCATAGATAAAATGATTAAACTTTTGACATTATGGCCAGACTATATGTGCCAAGGGTGCCTGTGTATAGAAGACTACCAAGGAGTAATGGATGAGTACCTCCATTATCAGCCCCATTTGCTGGACATAGTCTCGGCCAGGAAAAATAGGTTCCCTTTTGAATATCTCCAGCAAGATGCACCCCACTGACCAAATATCAATTGCTGCAGTGTAATCTGAACAATTGAGAAGCAACTCGGGAGCTCGATACCATCGAGTTACAACATACTCTGTCATATAGTCTGTCTCTGAGGTGGTCCTAGCAAGGCCAAAATCGCATATCTTCAAGTCGCAATTTGCATTAAGAAGCAGATTGCTGGGCTTGATATCTCGGTGCAGCACATTAGCAGAGTGTACATACTTCAGCCCCCTTAACAATTGGTACATAAAATACTGGCAGCAGGATATATGAAGATTGATTAGAATTCAGCATTCACCAGACTCTTGAAAAAAAAAAAAAAAAAGAAGCAACAGAAGTAAGCTGGTACCTAAAACTGCAACAATCTGTTGCTTTTACATTCATAAGATTTCAGGAATCTGATGCAAAATTAGACAGACCACAGCTAGTATTTCACATCATACATTACTAATTGCACATTATCATTTGAAAGATTCACCATCGGCGATGAATCAAGAAAAGAGGATAAAGCTCACTCAGACGAATGAGATTAAAAACACTCACTTGGCAGTGATCTTCAGTGAGTGGTTGGGAGGAGCATATTATCTGATGGAGATCAGTATCCATTAACTCATAAACAATGTAAACCTCATTAAAATTGTCTTTTTCTGGTGGCGCGATTATATCCTTAATTTTGATAATCTGCAAAGAAACATCACCAAAAAACCTTCATCATCTCCCCGAGCCTAAACAGTCTCCATATCTCAAAAAGGAAAGGAATAATGAGCATCTAAAACCAAATTTATTAGTATCATCAATCTATTCGTAAACACCACATGTTTTGGCTTCTTACTATATAGGGACTCATATAGACAGATTGTGAGCATTTGATTGACGAAGTAATCACAAAACATAAAGAAGTATCAGACAAGACTATACACACCCATAAAACTTAAAATCCAGAAGAATTACGGGTAGGAAGTGTGAGTACATTTTCGTGATCCATATGGGTAAGAAGCTTAATCTCACGAAGGGTCCGCTTGGCATCAATCCTGTTGTCAAATGCATTTCCAATTTTCTTTATTGCAACTGGTTCCTTCGTCTCAGAATTCGTAGCACAACTGCAACATCCAATCCATTTTTAACAGTTCAGAACCATACACAGAATTATCAGTAATCAACCCTTTACAGAAAAAAAAAACCCCCAATTTGAAACAATCGACAGCATAAACAACCCAATCAAGAATCAATCCCAAAATAAATAAATAAAAAATTTAAAAACCCCAAATTCAGAAATTGAGAAATGGGCATACCAAACGACTCCATAAGCGCCGCAGCCAACGGGTAGAATTGGAGGGATGTAATTGGAGGTGACCTCAAACAAATTTCCCAGAACATTATACTCTACATATTTCCCACCGTGAGTTGGGATGCCCTTCACTGTAATGGGCGTTTTCTTGTTCTCGTTTTCATTCTGGTTTTCCTTGTCTTTTCCCATCCCTTTTACTACTTTCAACCTCTTCTCTTTGAGGTAGGATTTGCGGGTGAGATTCTTGAAGGAAAGATGCCGTCACTTTATTTGTTCAGTATCAATTTGAACGGAGAAGGAAGCAGGGGAGAGATTTGCTGCTTTCGTACTACAAAGGATATTCTGAACTGAGCTGAAAAATGAGAAGAGAAGGGAGGGAAAAAAAAGGTGTTTGGGGGGATTTGAGTGGGGAAAGGGACCGTTTCTTTGACTGTTTTTCAGCTTTAAGGCCATTGTTTGTTGCCTTTTTGGGCTTTACACTTTGAATTTTGAACTACGATCAATGCCAAATGGCCTCTTTCCTTTTGTCTCTTTTCTTTTCAGTTATTTTGGAGTTAAATGAATTTTGTTCAAATTGTAGTAGTATTTGTTTTCAAAATCGCAATTTGGATCCAAACATAATGCGTACTTCCTCCGTCCCAAAATTATTGTCCAGTTTGAGATTTCTGTTTTAGTACAATTTAAACTAAAAATGAAAACTCAAATTGGATAATAATTATGGAACGGAGAGAGTACTAGAATTGGATGAAGGTTGTTTCTAATTATGGAATCGATCATGAATCATGTTATGATATCCTTAATTGTGGTACTACTTGTAAGATCAATCAACATTGTGAGTTTGCAAAGATTTTGTCGTGCCATTGAAAGTGATGCAGCATTGCAGCATATTATTGTTGGAATTCCTCTATCTCATTGTTTAGCCTCAGTTGTGATTTATTTTACATTTATGATATGCATTTCCAAGATCACTTTTCACGTCTTCAACATCTACCACTTTAAAAAAAAAAAAAAAGAACATCTATGCCCGATTGCCCATCATAATATGTAGACTTCGACCCATTCAGAATGGGTACAAATTTAAGGGAAAAAAAAAAAAATCTGAAGTCGTTTCCTCACAATAATGACATTGAACTTTTATTCTTGAATGGGAACCAACCTAAATGGTACAACAATTGTTACACGAAGCATCGGTTTATTAACTGTTTTCTCACCAAGAATGGAATCTCCATCGAAGATCAGAACAGACTCAAATTCCATCCACAGTGCAGATTACTGTATGCTGCCAAGATTTGACATCAGAATTTAAGCATGATACGACTTGGTAGCCAGACTATTCAATCTTAACTGAAGCAACAGCAGACATGATTTCTTTTGCTCGTGGATCGTTACTCTCAAGAGATACACCATTAGGATCTTCTCTCACCAGCAAAGCGAGGACATTGAGTGAACTCCAAACCTTGATGACATTGTCACTTGAAGCTCCAAGGGTAACAGCAAACACGGCATCAAATCCGCCTGCACCAGGAACACCGGCTAACAGAACTCCTTCCAAATTCATTGTAGTATCTAGAAGCTGAGTTTGTGATTCAGGTTCTATCTGCGAAGCAGTCAAATAGATTATATGTAAAAGGATCTACCCTGAACAGGATCCACATTATCGAAGCAAGCAAAAGGATTAATGCAAAAGGCAAAATGTTAGAATTTGATCTCACAGACTTGCACCTGGATTAGCAAATTCTAAACCATTTCATGAATGTGAAAATTTAGATAGTATCTTCAATATAGTTAGAAAATCAGTCTGAACCTCCTTATTATGTTTGCAAAAGCGACAACTATCACCAGTAGATAAAGAAATAGGTTTTGGTATCATTTCATAAGGAAAAGAAGAATTCCAAAGATTGTACTCCATAATTTGATCTTGTATGACATTCGTTTCATAAGGGAAAAAGAAAAATTCCGAAGTTTGTACTCCATGATTTTAAAGCATGTTTAATCTAAGCAAATTGATTCGAAAAAATTCCAGGGTTTTCCATAAAAGTCATCAACTCAATAATACTAACAGTTAGAGATATTTTTCACTGTATATGCATGCCAACACAAACACACACAAATGTGAAAATCCACCCACAAAGAAGAGAAAAACAAACCGGAATTCCAGCTGCCTCTCCCATCTTTCGCATATGATATCTGATACCAAGCATGGCATCTCTGGCTCCTAATAAAGCACTAACAACTGCTTGGCTTGAATTATCTTCGCCTCCAGCCCACTGTTAATGGAATAGTCATTCATAGCAGTCAGTGAATGAGGTTTCTAGAAAATATGGAATATTCTCACCGGCATAAAAAACTGTAAGTAAATGAAAGAAGGTAGCAGCAACTTTTCTACATGTTCATTCCAGTTACATTTGCAAAGAAGCAGAAGCCTTCTTTTGAAAATTAAACAGAACAAAAGTCCATTCGTAACATAGCCACAGCAACCAACATTAAATTATTGGCCATGACGATTTTATCTTAAAAGTCTGTTCACCAATGTTTTACCAGTGAATCCCTCAACTATTCCCAATAATAACTAAACAAATCGAACCAAGACACTAGTAATGTCAATAAGAATAACTCACCTTGATATGGTAAAAAAGACATGACAGAGAAGGTTTCCACTTCAGCATAACTATGAAGTTCACTAACATTCGATATTTTCGACTATTATGTAGATTATAAGACACTGAAACAACTAGGCACTAGAGCATACTCAGAATCACCTTTTCTGCGGTTAGCATACTGCACTTGTTGATGACGCTTCTGTAAGAATCGCCATGTAATTTTGCTAACTCACTTAACGTATTGAGATGTAACTCCAGTGTAGAATTTGCTTCTGACAACTTCTTCCATGTTTCAAGAGATTTTTGAGGATCAGATTTCTGCCACTTCTTTACAGCACCTACCATTGATGGTGTTGATGACCCTCCAGTTCCTGGCTCTCCAAGTAACTGCATGTACATGAGATTACTTTAGATTATTTCAAACATTAACATTAGACCTACATTGACTTATGACTGATAAGTATCTTCCTCTAACAAACTATTCCGTGCAATAGACGGAGGGGACAAAAAACAATTTTCAGTTATTGAAAAGTAATCTCAACTGTCACAAGAATTTGATTGGAAAACTTAGCTTTCGTTAAAATTTAAGATTGGCAGCTAGAAATGAAAAGCAATTAAGCACAGAAACTATTGTAGTGGTAACTTTATCAGTAACCATCTTACAAGGACAACACAGCATGAACAAAAGCTGAAATAAATCTCTGCAGGATGTCCATGTAACTTACAAGAGTCATTGAAGGAGGCAAAGAAAACTTAGTTCTCTCATGGTCCCAATTAGCTTTTAGGACATCAGCTATCACTACTTCCAATGGAACTCCTCTACCCGCACCCTGCAAGTTCACGATGAGACTTGTTCACTTCATGTACAACAATAACAAAAATATGTCTTCATATCCATAATGCACGAAAACAATTCAGCAATATGTTAAATCCTTCTATCTGGAATCGTCAAGAAGGGCAAAATCAAAGGCATCCAAGCCTGTTAAAAGAGAAATACCACATCTACATTAACTGAATTAGTCATATACCCGATTTGAATAAATAAATGATTTATATGGAGAGTAGGATAAACAATTGGCCTGGTTAAATAAGTATTTGTTTCAAGATGTGTGCACTTGTAAGCAAAACATAGGAATACCCAAATGTTAATATTAAACTGCATTAAAAAAATGCTGGTAACTCCTGAACTGATAAAGAAGTAAACTCTATTGGTGGCTTTCAAACTTTTTTTTCTACATTTCAACCTCATGGACTCTAATGCAACAGGGGAGGAAAGAACGTGTAAAGCTGCTTAACACTACACACTAATTGTCAATCATCACACATAATTCCGAGTGAACGACCACACTTGACATATGTAGCAACTATCAATAATGATTATGTTTTTCATATACAGAACCTAGATAGCTGAATATGTCTGTTCAAAATATTATATGTGCCAAACAGAAATCCAGGGGCAAAATATCAACAAAATAAAATGGAAAACCATTTATTTGACAATCTCAGCGACTGGTGTTCAATGGATATATAATCCAGCTTTTTCTTCTTTTCTTTTTTTCTTTTTTACTTTTTATTGGGCTAAAAGTAATCCAACTCTTCCAAATAGTTCATCCATTTTACGGCAACCACATCATGACGAAAGTTTGAGAAGAGGTACCTGAGCAGAAGAAAGCACATCTGGTGAAAAGCGGACATAGCGCTGACTGCCATAAACAGCAGAACTTACATCAAAACCACTACCAACTTTGCCCTGTGCAATGCAATGAGCTGTCTGAGCTATCATGTGAACAATGTCCAGTTTTGCAGTGTCTTTCTCTTCGGAGGAAAGATCAACAGCTCCAAGGTAATGCAATAAAGCAGCAACCACTGCAGTTGTCATAGCTGCAGATGATCCCAATCCAGTTTTTGCAACTTCAGGCCTTTGCCCACTAGATTCTTCAGCATTGAAGGTGATAGAACTAAAAGGTGGAAGTGAAGCCAAAGAATCTGGCGTCAAAGGCAATCCACGCATCTCAATCTACAAGCGGAACCAATATAATTCAGAATGCTATCATCCAATTTTGAGAATCATCATCTAACACCAGACATTAACAACTCAACACAATTAAACAAATACATGCGTCATGTATGTGTACAAAAATGACACATATACACGAAGGCAGAGCTTATGAGTTGTGCCAAATTATTATGCATAAAGATGGGGAAAACTTTCAATTCCAGCAAAATACAAGGTACTTCAACCATCCCAGAAATTTCATTGAAAGAAAGAAAATTCCTCAACATTGGTAGCAAGAAACAAGTTCAGAACAGAATACTCGTTCCCTTCTCATTCTTTTTTGGGTTTGTTTTTTTTTTAATCTTTCTTGAAAGTTCGAACCTCATTCTTTGGTTATGACAAAAGCACAAAAAGGGTCACTCTCACAACTGTAGATGACCCATGACCATCTACATTATGTATTATACAAGCACCAGAAGATAAAGGTTAAAGATTATACTTAAAAAAGGCAAAACTAATTGATTGTCGATTGATAGCTTCAGACCAGATAGAATGTAGAAATGATTTGGATGTGTAGCTATCTTCTACAGATTAATTTTTTCAAAAAAAAAAAAAAAAGAATCTTGCAGAGCCTGTTTAGTCACAAGAACAAGTCCAAGTAGGAAAAAAATATATTAATAAAAAAAAAAGAGAACTTCCACAGAAACCACTGAATTAATGAAATACAACAACCTAAAATATAATACCTGGTTCCTATACGAATAAAACTCATTGCACCCCAAAATTGTGATATCTAGACCTGCATAACTAATACGATATTGAAATCATGTTCTGTTACATTCAATAACTCAAGAACAAAGGCGAAGAGTCAAATTGTCAAAACATACCTTGCAAAAGTAGTTTGTGTATCTTGTTTTTATCAAATTTAGCAAGAGCTGCTGCCACAGCATATTGAACTGCATGTTCTACAAAAGGGTTTCCTGAGTCACTGCAGTCAACAACACAATGCATTATGGTAATAATTATTTTCACACTCTGCATTGATGATCCGAGTACTGTAGTTATCTCATGATCAGTGGCATCTAATACATATTAACCTACAAATCGGTCAACTGAACACAAGAACCAATAAAATATAAAATCAAAAACTTCTGTTACTTGCCTTGATGATGTAGGCTGAAGTGTCAAATGTTTGAGTGACAACTTATACAAGGTTTCTCTGGACATCTGAGGGGAAGTAAGTTTGACATCTGTCCAAGCCTAAAAGTGAAAAAAAAACAAGTAAAGATGTGACAACCAGCTGCTAAAGGCAGAAAACAGTGCACAATTGAAAACCAGAAGGCACAAATTTGATAATTAGAAAGTTTAAAACCAAAACACTAGCTACAACCAAAATCAACACGAAATACGTTTGCAAACAATAGCAAATCGCATTCAGTACAAAAGCACACACATCATAGCATCTCTAAAATTTCAACTGCTTCTCATCTTCGCTTTTGAAAAGAACAAAGCATTGATTTTGATTCGAACATGTGCTAAATCATTTACAGAAGCAATTCTAAGCAAAGCCACACAACAAAATGAATTGACAGTTACCAGAAACCGGAACAACAAAGCAAAAAGAAATGACATACCCATGCCCAACTTTCGGGTTTAATTTCGCCGTAAAGTGGCTTCACAACTGCATAAAACCGGGCGTTCGTGCTGAGGACGATTCCGGCATTCGGCCTCTCCAAAACTAAGTAACCCCCAGTCATCAAAACCTTTCCCGGGGCAGAAGCAACTCTGTATCAGACGAACAAAATCAGACAAATATTGGAAGAATGCACAATTTTAAAACCTCTGAATAACTACTACCATGAACTTACACGGCCATTTTGTGACTCTGCTCAACCCGCTGCGATTTCCAATATGTTGAAACTCAACTTCAGAAACCTGCAAATAAATTAACAGAGTAAACACTCATCAAAATTACCTTCTACAATTTGCAAATCTGAACTCATATAGCTCTATCAAATAGAATGATCATAAGCCAAAGATATGTGATCCATACCGGCCAAAACTCACTGAGTTGACCAGAGCATTAACAGAAATCCAGTACGAATTTAAAATTCCAATCTCCATTTTTAAGAAATTAAAGGCAAGAAAGAGATAAAACTCACCGGTTGAAAACTTTAAAGGTTGAATTCGGAGTAAGACAGCAGCTAAAAGGTGGTGTGACTTAAGATTCCTCTTCTTCCTTAAACAGATGACGAAGCTTCGATCATTCCTATGACCTCCTTGCTAGAAAATTGGAAAGGGTTGGGGGAGAGACGACGTCGTCAAAAAGTCGGTGTCAACTTTTGTAGGCGTTGGTAATGAGGTAATCAATCAAGGAACATGTACTTGTACCTAAAATAAAATTTACTAGTAGTAATAAAAATAATGAACTTGACCACAAAAAAAAAAACAATTGTAATCAAATGGAATGATATCAAATTCGGCTCGCATTAATTCTTGTATTATTCATGGAATATTGAAGCAAAAAAAAAAAAAATTAGTATAGCACAACTAAAGACCATGAATTTTAAGGTTCGTCGACTTCATTGTGGAGTTTTTTAGGTCGACGAAAAAGTCGATGCAAATAATTTCGAAACATTTAAACATTTTACGATTGAAAAAAATAAAATAAAAATTAAAATTAACAGTAAATAAATTTTAATTCATCCAATGGTTAAGATTTTTTTAATGATATTTAGTGATTAGTTATAAAAGCCGACGAAGAAGTACAAAATCGAATAAGTGATATCAAGTTCGGCTTGCTTTAATTATCACATCATTCATGGAATACTAATGCGAAAATTTGAAATACTACAAAGAAAGTTTCACAAAATAAATGAATTTTAACGTTAGTCGACTTTGCTAAGTCGACATCAAAGTAGACCAAATAATTTCCAAACATTTAAATATTTTTTGAATTTTTTATTGATACCAAGACATAGAATCAAAAGATATTTCAAACTAGTGGTAAACTTCAAAACATTTAGTGGTTAAATTTATGAAGATATTTTTGCATCAAATCTAATGGTTAGTCGGAAAATAAATACCGAGGAAAAAGTATAAAATGGAATACATGATATCAAATTTGCTGTCTCAACTCTCATATCATTAATGGAACATTGAAGTGAAATTTATAGCACCACAAAGAAATTTTCGTAAAAAAACAATGAATTTGATAATTCGTCAACATTATAGTCGACTTTGATACGTTGACAAAATTGTCGACAAAAAAAGTTTCCAAAAATTTTGTTACTTTTGGATTGATAGCAATAAATATTTCAGACAAACAATGAACTTTAAAACATTTAATAGTTAAATTTTTCAATAGACTTTTGGAGCACATCTAGTAGTTAGTCGGGTTATAAAATCATATTAAATAAAAAAAGTACTAAAGGGATTACATGATATCAAATTCAGTCTACTTCAATCCTTACATCCTTCATGAAACATTGAAGTGAAAATTCACTATATCATAAAAAAAAAAATTTAGGAAGAAAAACAATAAAATTAAACATTTGTCGACTTTACTAAGTTGATGACAAAGTCGACGCCAATAATTTCAAAACATAAACATTTTATGATCTTTTGTTGATACTATTAATAAAAAAATATTTCGAATCAACAGTAAACTATATTATTCACTAATTAAATTTTTAAATAGATTATTGGATCGCGTCTAGTGATTAGTTGAGTTATAAAAGGTGACGAAAATACAAAATGGAGATATCGAATTCAGTTCACTTTAATTTTTGCATCATTTATGAAATATTACAGCAAAAAATCATTATACCACAACAAAATTTTCACAAAAAAAAAATAATAATAATTTCGACGACAAAGTCGACACAAATAATTAAGGTCCAAAAACTTAAGAATTTTATAAAGGTTGCCCTTTTAGTTGGGTTTACTTTTCATTTGACTGAATAATGAATCCATCTTAGTCTTCAAAACTTCTGGAGCTGTATGTAATGTAATGATTTCAATTTTCAACAATGCCATGAACAACACTTATTGATGTTTGCAGGTCGACATAAGGAGATTGAAAGATGACGCCGTATAGATTTATATCGACGTCTCCACTTGATTGAACCGACAGCCATGGCGGTATCAAAAACCTAAAACCTGCAAAAGAGGGTCTCGGGGTCTCGGGTACACACTCCGATACTAAGTCAGTAAGAGTAATTGTGATAGGGGTATGAATTGTGGTGCGTAGAGCATACCTTTGATGTGAGGGATTGATCCCTATTTATAGAGCTAGGGTTACCTGTTTGTGAAATCCTTTCTTGGTAAGAAAATAATTAGCGACCGTCCTAGAAGCTTCCAAAGGATGGTTGAACTGCTCGTCGAACTTGGACCGACCTAGTCGTGGGTCGTAATAATTAGGACTCGTCAAAAGACAATGTTACGGTTGGGCAAAAATCTGGTGCAAACTGAAAAAAAAAAAAAAATTAAACCCCTTTGAGGCACCGTCAGATAGCTTTCAAATCAATTATGATGATTTCTTTAAGTGCGATGAGGATGGCAAGTGTAGACGGCATAACTCAAGATCTATATGGTTGCTAGGTAAATAATTTCATTATGAATATTGGTTTTCTTGCGATCAAAGAAGTTCGCAAATGGTGGCAGAGCTAGATAATCTGAGTATGGTGTAAATGGTTCGAAGTAATGATACAATGTAAGTGTTCAGTCCAACTCCACATTTTCACCAACCAAATAAATTTAAGTCAAGTATAATTGCATCATAGATCATCTATGTATGGGAAATAAGAGGCTAACAATAGATTCGGGTGTTTCAGAAAAACAAGAACCAAAAAGAAGTAGGCTATTCAATCATAATAAGAAGTCTTCCTTCTAAAACCAGACCATCATGGCGAAGTGCAGAACTAAAGTATCTGTAGTTTGATATGTGAAGGCACCAATCTCGGGAGTTGCTGCTTAGCACACCTTCTGGCCTCATTTGTTACCTGATCAGCTTCTAAACTCCGTACCTCAATATCCCCGAACCAAGGTTCACTGTCTTGTCCAACTTCCGCACGCGGGTCAACGATCATCTTCTCAAGAGAAATCGCATTTTTAAGGAAGTACTTGACAAGTTCCTCCTCAATACAAAGGCCACGATATCCAGATATCTCGACATTTCAAAGATGCGGAACCAGGTAATTTACAACAGATTTCCTGGTGGTCAATAAAACCGTTTGGTCCGAGTATCTCATCTGCAAAAAATCAAAATCACTGTACGAAAGAATCAAAAGATCTGAGATGTAATATGGGAGTATTAAGTAAACAAACCTTTATCACGAACTTCTCCAAGTTTGGCGATGCCCTAAAGAACGAAGTAAGTCTAAACGTCCTCTCTTCTTCAGGAGATAAGAATAGTGTTGGGCCCGGTTCCCCTTCAATTGGGCCAACAAAGAAAAGGAAAATAAAACCAAGTCAACTTGGATTTTGGTTTGGGTGTGACGGATAGAAACAAAATCCACTCCAATTGGGTTTTAGTTTTCTTTTGGCTTTGCTCTATAAAAGCAAGGCTTTGTGCACAATTTGTGCATGTGTTTTCAGCCGAGAGAGAAGGAGAATTAGGGCAGCCACGCAAGGATTTTGTGCGAGAGAAAAAGAAAGAAAGTTAGGGTTTAGTTTTCGGTTTAACTCTCTTTTGGTGAGATCCTTTCGGTCCTACTTTCTGATAGGGGTGTGTGGAAGAGTATTATTGTAATCCACCTTTGGGTGAAGTTCTGTGTATCCACCGGTTGGTGAACACTGTTTTCTATTGTTGTGATAGTGGAGATTTGACTGTTGTTACAGTCCTGTGGTTTTTCTCAATTTGGGTTTCCACGTAAATTCGTGTGCCTCCTTTATTTTATCAGTTCTTGAATTATTTTACTTGTTTGGTTGTCCTATTTTATTGGTAGTACGAAAGGAATTTTTCTTGGGAATCGTTTCCGCTGGTTTGTTGTGTTTATACCCTTTCCGCCACAACAGTGGCATCAGAACTCAGGTTCGGTAGTTGAGGTGTTACACCAATAAAATGGAAGAGTCATCAGGTATTAGTATAATGATTAAATTGACTCCATCCAATTATCATATGTGAAAGCCTAGAATGAAAGATTTGTTGTATTGCAAAGATTTGTTTGATCCTGTTCTAGGGGATGAAGGTAGGCCAAGTGATATGACTGATAAAAAGTGGGCTGATATGCACAGGAAGACTATTGGTAATATTCAACAGTGGATTGATCAAAGTGTGTTTCATCACTTTCCAGGAGAAACAAAAGCTGATGAACTTTGGAAAAAAATCCAGAATATGTACTGGAAGAAGTCCAGCATCAATAAGTCATCTGCGCTAAACAGTTACCAGGTTGAGGTACAAAGATTGTGCTAGCATGAATGAGCACTTGAGTTTGTTTCAGGGTTTGTTGAACCAGACAGTGAATGTAGGTTTAAAGTTGGATGATGAGGTGCAGGCTTTGTTATTGTTTAGTTCTCTTCCAGACAGTTGGGACACTTTGGTAGTATCAATCAGTAATTCAACCCAGAATGGTATCTTGACCTTGGATTAGGTCAAAGAGGCTTTGATGAATGAAGAAGTCAGAAGAAAAGAGCAGAGTATTGAGTCTGAGTCGCAGGCTCTGGTGACAGAAAAGTCAGATAGAAGAGGGAGAAGTAATAGCAGAGGGTCACGTGATCGGAATGACAAGTCCAGAAGACAATCTAAATCCAAGAAAGATGTCTTGTGCTACCATTGTCAAGGGAATGAGCACTTTAAGAGGGAGTGCAGGGTTCTCAAGAGAGAACTAGCAGCAAGAAAAGATAAAGGCAAGAAGGATGAATCAAGTGATGATG